TGCTGCTAGTTCACCGTGCATGTGCGTGCACAAGCGTGCACGTGCGTGCTCTTGCATATGAGTGTGTTCTTGCACAGGAGTGTGTAGCTGAGCGACATCCTGTAGAAATATGATGCATTACATCTGGAACCTGCTCTGGCGTTGCCATGGAAACGCCCGTCACGCTGACAGGCGCCCGTTGCGCGCTCAAACACACACGTTCACACTTCCACACACACAGTGGTAATGAGAGACTGAGAGACTGGCAGCATGCCAGGGCAGTCAGCACACACACACACACACACACACACAGACACGCACCTTCCCCCATGCACTGGAACATTCTGAGCACACAAACTCTGGCCTGGCGTGTACATCTCTTTCTGTTAGGGGAAAACCATTTTTGTGAAGACATTTTTTTCAGAGAACATTTTACTTACCTCACAGCTTTGACTAACCATTTAAAGGTTAGTCTTCAGGCTGGAAGGGCAGATGTTTAAAAGAGACATTTGATGAGACATTTTTTAATGCTACCTGCTATATTTAAAAGTGTTTGTTGGGATAGAATCTGTCAGGATTTGTAGCTCTTTTCACCCTTCGTCTTTTAGGTCTGCCATTTCTGACCCTCCCATCACTCTTATTTTTGTCATTCACATTTTGAAGTGCATTTGCAATCTATCTGCTTCTCTCCTTTTCTGCCTGTATTATCAGAAGGCAAGTACTGATTCTGCTCAGGATGATGGTTCTCATTGGATCATTGTAGGTGAAACATGCCATGTCAGGAAGACACCAAAAAATTTCACCAGAAAAGCAAAAATCCACACAATGAAATACCCGGATTTCAAAAAAATAAAATGCTTCTGAACAACACTAACAGTCCACACAAACATTCGTTTTGGACAAAGCTGTAACCACATTAGTGTCCACTACATGACAATCTAATGAGGGAATCCTCATAATTATCATCCTATAATCCATGTTGATGTCTTTGCTCAATGTCATAACAGGCAATCTCATATCTACAGAGGTATTATCAGTCTTTTCTAATTGGTGTGTATACTGCCATCAGTGTCGTGGACTGTGAATGAGGAAAGGCGGACACAAGCAGGAGATAAGTCTTAGGAGAAAATAAATACGATTGTTTTGTTTAAACCAATGGTGGTGCGATGGCAGGATGCCATGAAAAAAAGACCAGGTCAAGAAAAAATCTGCCACAGGAAGAAATCCAACTTAAGACTTGACACTAATTCACATTTTATGTTGCCGTGAAGGATGTTTGAATGTGCTCTGCTGAACTGCAGGACATTCTGCTTTTCTGCCCTCCCCCTACACCTATCCCCCACAGAAGCATGTGCTCTGAGGACAACAATAGATTGAAGCAAGGGATGTTGTCATCCCTTTCATAGATACTGGGATTTTGCAGAAACAGATTTTTCATGCGACTGTGTGTGGAATGGATGTGATTTCAGGTGTTACTCCTTTGCTGTATCGAGGTGTTTGTTCATCAGGCCAGTGTCACCTTTCACTACACAGTTAAAGTATACAACAGTGACCAGATAATAACAGCCAGCCTGTGACCACCGATCGGCACGGGTCCCAGCAGTACTGAATCAGTGATGTAAATATTAAAGAGTGCGAATTTGAATAAAGTGGTGCATTCAAATGTGTTACACAAACACCCAGCGCACTTATCAAGAATATCTGTGATTGATTATAGGGGAAGAAATGGGAACATCTCAAAGAAAATAATTACCCTTGCATATTTCAGAAGGACCTTAATGTTGTATGTGCATGCCAAGTGCAACGCAAAGTCTTCAAAGACATTGAAAACTTAAAAATTCGAAGGGAGGAGCTAATAGATTCCATTAGTATTCAGCTTGAGAGTTAAGCAGTGTATATGTGTGTGTCTTGTCAAAACTTGATAATACAGTGACATTTACATGTTTACAGTACACATCACGAAGTGTGACACTTTTTATAGCCCAAACATGGCAGGAAACACTAAACACTTTTTTTTCACAAACTAGCTCTGCCTCTCTAGTAAAATGTAATCTTTAATCTATCATGTGTTCAAACACAACACGCCCACAGGGTGGAATCAGATGAGCGAAGTCACGGTTATAACATAAGCAGCCTCCACAGTGTTCACAGGACAAACTTTTTTACTGTCCAGATAAATTGTCAGACTTTTCTTACTATATTATTGTGTGGGTGGGGGTTCAAAAGGTAATATTATCTTGCAAAGGGAACACTATTTGCTACAAAGTAAGTTTGTGAAGTTTGGTATTATGAATGGACACAAAAGCATACATTTCTATGTTTGGTGACCTAAGTAGGATTTAGCACACTTAAGCACATAAAAAAAACAACTCACAAGCACTGTAATCAAACTGAAGACACTACTGGAAAATGTAATCTAACACTGTACGCAAAAGAAGCATGCTCACACAACAACACCATGACCACTGAAGCTTATGAGTATGCACGTCTGTTCTCAGGACAAGCCTATTACTACTTGACATGCAAATCTCTTTTCTGACCTTCTTATGTCTGTCAGTCTCTCTCTTGCACCTCACCCCATCAACATAATCTCTGTCTCACTGTCTCTCCCTCGCCTCACCAACTTATTCCCTGCTCCAGTCTGCTTACTTTTCTCTCCCATATATTCACATTTCAGCCCAATTTTCTTTGCCTCATTCTTCTTCTGCTGGACAAAGGACTTCCCTTTAATTTAACACACTCCCTAGCACCTGCATCTGCTGGTATGAGTTTGTGCTTGCATAAAATACAGAGTGGTCGGAATGAAGCATGTGAAAACAGAAAAAATTAGCCATGTTTAAAACAATACATACCTTTAAAAAGTCTTGATAGAAAAGGCGGCGTGTGGTTGAAAGTGATTTTTCGATCTGGTACTGTATTGGGTGCACGTGTATTTACTTTTTAACAAGTGCTTTGCCAGTAAAATGGACTTACAAACGTGGTCTCCCTGCATGTATTCGTCTGCCTGAATAACCAATTCTAATTTCTGTACAGGGAACTGTGTGCATACATGAACCTGTGTGTGAGTGCATGTGAGTGTGTGTAAATGATTAATCCTCGGCTTGCTGTGTATACACTGCCCTGCGCATGAAGCCAACTGCCTTGCCACAGACTATTACCAAAGACTCAGCTCCGAGTGGATCTGTTTATCATTTACTGAGTCAAAAAATAGGTCTACAAGGACATACAGCCGCTTACAGCTCTGTCTATGTCTAGAATGACAACTACAAGCTCAAGATGTTACTATCATTCCCCTGATGCTACCACAGATACTGAAGTGCCTCGCGCTATTTTGTGCACTTTTTTTGTGCTCTTCTGTATTACGTTTGGAAAAAATAATTAAATGTTTTGCTAATTTGATCATTTCATGAAAAAACATGAACTCATTTAGAATTCTATGGCAACAACGCTGCCCCAAAAAGTAGAAACAATGTCATTTTTCCCACCTGTTTTTGATCTCTCTCCCTTCTTCAGTCTGTAAACATCTGGGAATCGAGTAGAGTGGTTGATGGACCCTTGGGAGGGGAATTTTTCGTCGTGGGGCTCTGGCAGAACTTGACAGACTGTAATTCTTATGTAAAAATAATACTAATAGACATTGATATCATACACATAAACGTCTTTACTGAAACCAACAATTACATTAATTCTGAGAACATTTGAAGTCTGGTGATGGACCTGTGAGCTTTCAGGGGTTGTTTGCATGCTGTCACCTGATGTAATGCCAGTACGATCTGCTGTCTCTTTCAGTTTTTAGGTGTCTACAATTATTATGAGGTTACAGCATTATCCAGATTTAGCACCTTTATAACAGATGTTATATTATAACATACCATGTAACTGTAACCTTTTGAAATGCATGAAAATCTTTTAGTCGAGCCTTTTCTGAACTTCCAGGTTGTCATAAATACACCCTCCTCTGAAGCAATAAACAGGATAAGCCAGGCCTTTTGTCAAATTAGGCCAACAGTGCTTGGAGTCTACTCACTTATTCAAACAATCTATAATCTAATCTTGTCTTCGAAACCTGGTCAAATAAAATCATTACTTGGCAGAGGACGAACCCTGCCTCTCACGCTTCCTCATAGTCAAAAACACACAGATAAGAGAGATAACTTGCTAACAAGGTTGGGGGTTGTTTTTGCCATTGGTGGGTCAATGGTCATTGCTTTCCACACACACAGTGCTGCTCTCTGTAAGCAGCAACAGCCTTTGTCTGAGCGGTGAAACGTTGGCAGATTCCACTCTATTTGTTTCTCTGGTGTTCAGGCATCTCTCTTGTCTCTTTGTTTCTTACATGGCAGTCAAAGCCACACAGCAAAGGTAATCTTTCCATCCTCTGGATTCTGCAGCTGTAATTTGTAAGCAGATATTTTCGCCTTCCTTTCTACATGTGTATACACTTTGAAGGCAAGGAATTCATAAATGAACACACACATTGTGGCCATCCCTTTGGCACCAGGATGTTGTGAAACATGAAAAATAATTTTGAATAATTTGCCATTTAGATAGACATTAAAATAAATAATGGATTTAACAGATGGATTTGTCATATGGAGTCTTGGCTACACTCTTTTAAAGCATGTTGGTTGCAAAACATACACATTTTCTTTTGCCAAAAAAGCTAGATACGCTAAATACGTAGCAAAAATACGTTCCAAAGATACGGAATGTTTTCGAAACTTTATTTCCTTTTGGCACGTTTTGTTTTTACATAAGGGCAATTGCGCAAATAATTGAATTTAAGAATGTGATTAAAAACTGAAATTGATGCCATCTTAGTTGGGGAACTGTTCCGTTTATACCAGGCTTCGGTATCCCAGTGAGATTTTTCATTCCAGTGACCTGCGTAGCTACCACAGGATTACCGTGTTGTCACTCATCATTTCTGTCGATACCATTTGGCTACTTTTAATTGTGTTTCGTCTTCTCAGTCAGAGGAAGTGGTTATGTGTTTCCTGCCCTGTCTCCCCCCTCCAGCAACACACACACACACACACACGCATTCAGCCCGAGCTGAGCTGAAGTGAATGCAGAGAGGAGGGGGAAGCGGAGCACAAGCGAAAGAAGGTTAGCCAGCAGCGAGTGAAGAAAATGGCGATCACGCAGGATGAATGCCTCCCCTCGTAGATGCTGCAAACGCGTTGAATTTCTTTAGCCTTACAGTCGGCTTTCCTTTCCACTCTGTTGCACTTTATACTTCAATGAGGTGAGGTTGCCTTTTTTATGTTTTCTCGGTGTTTTTTCCTCTCCTGTCGAGTTAATGCAGAGCACAAGTGCGGAGCAGGGAGACCGGGGGTCGGTGTAGTCAAGTTGGGCAGCCGCTGTTGTTTAGTTAGCCATGACTGTGCTAACATAGCTAGCTTTTTGCCCGTACCAGCAGCACTTGGCAAGGAGACTCGGTTGCAGTGCGGTTTAAAAGTGCGTGGACAAGAAGCAAGGTTGTGTTTGTCTGCATATGACCGAACATTTCTAAGCGTCTGACGGACTGATATTTGTGTTTGGAGGCGGCTTAACCTTGCGCCAACAGTACGAGTTAACCTCAGCTCGCCAGCTGTGCGCAGATATATGTCATAAGAGATTATTAGTTAATTTTTTTCAAAAATATTTCCTTCATTCGTCACTCGTGTGGCTTGGGTGTCGTGTACAATTGTTTTTACGATATAAACAGTTTTACAGTCGCTGGACTCGAAGTAAGACCGGGTAAGTCAGCTAGCCCATTCCTAGCTGTTAGCATTAGCAGCTATGCTAATTTGACGACGCAGGCTGTGCGGCGGTTGCAGCGCACCGTTGTCCGACGTCTCGGTCATTTTGCACCGAGAACGCAGTTTGTGTAAATGTCCGTCGAGCGCCCCATTTTCGGTGGCCAGTCGACTATTTACGCGAATTAAGCATTGGGAATATAAACCTGCAGAAATTGCTTTTCGAAGCGAAGATTTAACGCCCTCTGTCGGCGGAAAAGGCGTCAGCCGACAGACGCCGGACCTCCGTTCCTCCGGCTTTGCAGCCATGTTCACAGTGCTTTACATGGCGAGCCCACAGCGGCATCAACGCGAAGCAGCCATGTTGTAATTGAATAAAATCGCCCTTTTTAAAAAATGAAAAGATGTAACGCGAAGGCCGTGTTTTTTTTTTATTGCCCTGGAAAAACGCATTGTCGACAGAAGCCATGTTGGTTAAGCTGTAAGTCAGGCATCAGCTTAGATAATGGCCGATCAGGATCTGAGCTGTAACTTTGACCTACACACACAATTTTTACACGTTTTCTTTTCAGGTTCGAGATTGATTCTAGACCATAAATATGCTTGTCCATGTTAAGCAGTTCTAAGCATTCTACATTTCTTACACACCTGAAATACTTAAAAAAACACGTTAGTCTGAGTTTGGATATTTGTGTTGGAATATGTATTTTTTCATGTGCCCACTTATCTCATTTAAAAAAAAGAAAGAAATAAGATCATTGTGATTTTACCCTCCAGGATACAGTTTTTTCTGGCACTTGTTTACTTAGTGTAGACTGATGCAGGCACACCTCCAGGTTACGTATAGTTGCATATGAGTAATTGGGTCATATTTGGTAAACAATATTTTTCCCCCCTATTCAGAGATTGGGAATTGGAAGCTGTTGCCACCAAAGAAACTGAAGCATCTTAACAGGTCAGTGTGCCACCGCATACACAGAGATATCCAGTTCTCTGTTCACTACATACATTCAGCTGAAATCTGTGCACTTTAATGCACACAATTGCGTTTTATGAAGACTGTTATTTTTGTTGAAAGTGCTAGAGGTGATTGTGTAACGATAGCTAATAAAATTCAAGTAATGACATGATTCATGGCATTGATTTTATTTTTCCAATTTAATCAGCTTCAGTGGAGTGTTTGTTTATTTACATGAATACCAAAGTGAGAGATTTTGAAAAAAAGTCTAGTTGTTTCTTTAGAAACAACCTGTCTCTGTGTGGTGTGCTACCAAAAAAGGAGGGGTGTGGAGGGGGGGCAGCTCCTGCTTATGCTAACACATGCAGTTCCGTTTGAATTGAATTGGAGGGTCTGGGTTGGTCTAGGCCACATTGTGCTGATTAAGCTTTGCTGTTTTAAAATCGCTAAATGAGAAGCCAGAGTCCTGATGTTTTTGTGTGTGGAGAGGTGTTTGAGCAGGTCATTGTGCTCATACAGTTGGTCCGCATGCAGACACACAATAGCGTTGCAGACCGCAACTTGTTCATCATCTCGCTCAAAAGACACAGTCTAATCAGTTTTCTGTTTGTGGGGCTTACATCTCTTGGGTAAATCTGGTGTCTCTGCTAAGTTTCCTGTACAAAGATCTCTCCCCCTTTTTTTTTTAATGATTGGATTTAGCTCTAATTGTAGAAACATCATCATCAAAACAGCATATCCATCTTCCACTTTGCAATAGTAGAGCTTCATGGGGTTTTGTATGGTTGGTAAGGTGTTTTGTTATTGTGGTTTGTTTGGGGATGGTTGCTACAGTTAGCTTGTGTTTCACGGTTTCCAAGCACTAGGCCATATTTTCCAGCTGTATGAATGATGGTGGATTAATACCCTTAATATAAAACAGTTCGGGTGACTTTTGAGTCACCGCTATTTTATTCAGGGCACGCTGCCATGAGAGAAGTTTTGTTTGAGATCATTCCATCAAATATTTTTGGAATTGGCTCTGCTCTTGTTTTAAAAAAGACACTTTGTTCTAAAGCTTACAGATGGTATTCTGTGGATGTTTTTGTAACGGGCAGCCGGTATCAGAAATGTGATTCTTTCGAGGCCCTTGTGGGCTTTGCAATCTTCATTCTAAGAACATGCATGGCAATTTGAAGCACATCAGCACCAATAAAACCTCAACTGTCAAGTCACATACAGGTCTCTTTAATCTTTTGGAACCCTTGTCTATTAAAAAAAAAAGTCATTGATTGACTGTCACAATTTCCTTTTTACTTAACTTTCAGTTATGGGTATGCGTTTCCCTGTTGCTGTGTTGTGTTGCTAATATTTGTGTTAAGAGGAGGTTTATTAAGTGCAAAAGCAAGTGCACACAAAATATCCCCTTGGTAAAAGTTTCATGCTGAGATTGTCATGTTTGGAATTTGATAGCGCAGTGCCATAAATTCCCAAGATGTTGCAACACAGCTACTTTGGTGCTACATTGACTGGCTGGGGATCAGGTAGTTGACCATTGCCCCTATGGGCAATTAGACCACACCTGCAGATGGTCATGAGATTGGAACAAGTAAGGACAGACATGAAGAATTTGATGCAGCCGACCTTCGCAGGCTCTGACAGGATGTGAGCCGCACACAGCCGGCTTTGCATAAACAAGTCAACTGGCTGTGTGGATAGGCAAGCACGTCTTTGAAGTTTGAATCACAGAAGTTATGTCTAGCTGTGAAAAAAGATGAATGATTTCCTCAAAAACGTTTTGGTCAAAGTCCCTCTTTTTTCTTGTGGCTCTTTCATTCTCACACCTGAAGAAAAATTCAGTGTTCCTGGAGAAGCAAAACACTGCTTTATTACTTAGCCAAATTATGTGTCATATTTAAAATAAAAGAAATTCAGCTTAGCTTGCAAAAATGAAAAACAAACAATAAATCTTAATGTTTCTTCTTTGATAACTGCCTGGTTTGATTTCTCTCTTCAGCCAGGAATATCACATAGCTTTCTTGGCTTACCATGACCTGGAATGAACTGGCCCCATTCTGACTGCAGCAAACGGATATGATGCAGCTTAACTGGAAATGTCAGCCCCAGAAAGCTGTCGCTCTTTGGATATGTGTCATAAAAAGCACTTGTCGTCCATCACTTTCCTGCACAGGCTGCAGTGTCAGTGTGAGAACATACTAATTCAAACTGATGCAAATGATGTGCAAAGTAGCCACGCGACTAACTTTTTGCCTTTTGTTCTTCGTGAACGGACAGCCTCAATCTTCTGAGCCTATTTGGGAGTGTATGTCTGGTGGCTTTTGTGAACAAAGCTTCTCCAAATCCACAAGCACAGTCATCAGACTGCGTTTGCTACTTCTGTGTCATCTTACAGTTTAGGTCCTCAGATTTCTGATCAGAAGCCCTGGTTTATTTTTAGTGGTCCAACTTAATTTGACAGCAGGCATGAAGGACTTTACAAAAAGGAGCAGTAAGTTGCACTTAAATCTCTTATTTCCTGTGAATCTCACATGGAAAGTAGGCTCTAAAATTATTCTGAACTTTAACTCATTTTTTAATGTTTACAGAGAAATCTGAGGCAAAGTAATTAAGATGGAACTGGCACATTTTCTGATGAGGCATGTTTAAAAGCTTGCATTTCTTCAGTCTGCCATCACTTGTGAACTACAGGGCAGCCATTACCAGCGACGTACAGCAGAACTAGACCAACAAGAGCTGGTTAAAACCGTCGTTCTGCTTGGAATAGCAACTATATAATCAGCGCTCTTAAAAAGCTGTTTGAACAATCACAGCTATCTGAGATAGCCAGACTAGTTTACAGCTTGTGGTTGAACCACAGATGTGATGTGATGACCGATACAGCAGAGCAGCGGACGGACCTCCAGCTGTCCCAACCACAGATATATCTACATCTCTGATGGGGGAAAAAAAGGTTGTTTTCAGCTTCTTGCTTGCAATTTTCAGCCTGCATGAGATGTATTTTATTGGTAAATGTGTGTTTTCTGTATGCCTTGTTGACTTGAAGTACATGACTTTAATTTTGTACTCCAAGAATGTGAAATCGGTGTATACACTCCGGCAGACGATAAGCGTTGTGATTGTGGAATAAGTCCATATTTTCATGACTATCTCAGATGGCTGATTATCTGTAACTGGCAGGATGTGTTGTTGTACATTAACAGACTCATTAAAGAGGACAAACAGGAATCAAAGTAAATGACGTGAACGGAACGTGTTGTTTTAGACTTTCAGTGTAGATTTGTGGTATAATCAGTCAAATGTTGATCAGTAGTTCCTTATTAATGGTCAAAACTCATTAAAAAACGTTGTTGTTTACACTCACTCTGGTGTTAATATGAAGCCCTGAACTTTGGACAGGAGGTCATAAAAAGGATGAATATGTAGGTAAGGGTCTGAGAAACTTGACTGCCTCGTCTGTCCTGCATTAAAATGAGCAGATTGACTCTCAGCCACTTGATACAGGCTCTGCTTGAGTTGTTTGTTTTGTGTTGAGTTGTTATTTAGTACTACGTTAACAGGATAATTGGATAAAATGACCACCATCTTATTTTAGGGGTAAGGTGGGGGTGGGGGATCGTTCTGGCTGGCTGTGCCCCCACCCCCCCACCCCCGCTCTCAACTGTAGTTGTTGGGGGAGGGGTGTGTTATTAACACATGCTGTATGTGATGTGTATGCGTGCGCTCTGGGTGGGCTCTGCTTTGGTTTTTTTAACCCTGAGCCGTCTGCTGAAGCTAGTTTTCAATGATTCCCTTTTTACTTTCTAAGCTTGTTACTGTTTAATTTATTTAGCATATTTTGACCATTTTGATCTCTATGTGTAAGTGCTAAAGCAGGAAGCTGTTAACTGTCATTTCCATGTTGATCTGAATGGTGCTGCTCTGGAGCCAGCATTGGGTTGTGTGTAGAACTCATAGCTTGAGGATGCTTTTCGCAGATTTCAGCTCTTTCCAGCTTGGTTCAATAACATTTAAGTTTTTTTTAAATTCATTTTGTCACATATGTCTCATTTAGGCTGCTTGGTTATGTTAAATGGTAATCAGGTATATTTTCCAGCTGTTTTCTGTGTTATAACTTTCCAAAATACGAAAATCTTCTTTGACATCAGAGCTGCATGCACAGCATAGATTAAAAACCTCTTAACCCTGTACCACAATATTTTTAAGAGCCACTCTGCAATTATGAAGTTGCCAAATAATTACAATTTTTTGCTGCTGCCACAGTGTCTGAGTTGTTGCAGCATCTCTGTGTCTGTGCAAAGCTAAGGTAAATGCTGTGCAGTAATCCATTTAACGGATTAGACTGCAGCTTTCTCCTGAAGGCTAAATGGCACACCCACCCCATGGCAGCTAAACTTAACAATCAGTGAGGAGAAGCAGCAGCCCTAAAGAAACACAATTCCAAGAAAATGTTAATGTAATTTTTGAGCACTGGAATATTTAAAAAGCAGATAATTTTTTTGGTTTGTATTTTCTTTCAAAAAGAAAAGTATTACGGAGGCGTTGCAGCCTTTTCGCGTTCCATATTTGCCATTTAAACGCCCACCTATTGCATCCAAATTGTTTGGATTTTTGGGGTTTGGAATTTGCAAGGAATCGTGACTACTCAGCCGACCTCGTGCAAGATAAAGCATCGCATCAAATACATTTACATTTTTTTTAATTGATTTCTTTAATAATTTAATTTTCCCATAATGAAAAGTACATATTTACTTGTGATACATTTGAACACTGTACGCGGATTAGTTTCAATCCAAAGCATTTCACAAAAGCAAGATACTGTTTTCAGTTGTCTGAGCCTTTTGTCCATTAAAAGAATTGGCAGAAAAAGAAAGACCCAAAAAAATTGACAGTTTACATTTGTCATATTTCAGGGAACGCACCCACAGAGGGAAGAACAGTGGATGGAAGAGAGAGAGAGACGGGGAGTGTGACAAGAAAGGAGGATAAGAATCTGCAGGACTGGACAAAAGGTGAGAAAAAGCTTTATTCACATTTGTTGTTGTACTAGATTAAAAAAAAAAAAAAAAGTTTCAGCTGCTCATTTCTTAGATTATTTAATTGAGGAGGGTCCCTCAGTTGCTGTACAAAATTTCTTGCCTCTTCGAGTTGACGGTCAGTCTTTGGTGGTTGTTCTTTGGGTGGACGTGTTGCCTTTCAGGCCTTTTGGACGTCTGTGCCGGTTCTCACTGGTCCAATGTCCATTTGCCCAGTTGTCAAGCAGAATTTTTAACACTGTAGCCAATCTCAAAATAGTTTAGTCCCTACGTAGCCCAAAACATAAAAAAAAACGAGTAGAATAATAACGCCCCCATACAAAGTCATTTGAAGGGCATATTTTTGTAGATTTTATGTGAACGTGGTGGGACTCTTTGACGTCCCGTCTGCTTCTTCAACATCATTCCTTATTTGTGCGGCGTGCTTTTCTCCAGTGACAGCTGGTGTACTTTGCCTTGTGACGTAGTGCTGTTTTCCATTTGAAATCGCTGCTAGTTTCCACCAAGTCCTGTACGCAGCAAAGCTACTACTGTTCCAGGGAAAGCCGCCGGAGCTGCAGCACGCAGGGTGTCCATCATTCACCTTGTGGCTCTTTTATAGCTCTATTGGTTATTCTTTTCTCTCATCCTTTTTTCTCACTGTTGCCCTGTGCCGTCTCTCCTCTCCCTGTATCAGTATTCTCCAGGCAGATGCGTAGTTCAGAGTTTTGAGTTGTTGGCTCATTCTGTGTACTGACGCAGCCATTTGCTTCCCCAGAAGCTTCCCCCAGAAAATGGTTCAGTGTGCGTTCGTCATTCCTCTAGAAGGCTGTCTCTAACTCGGTATAGCATGATCCTACACTAGTACAGCACCAGTAAGCCCAGCAGTGAGTCAACATATTAACAATACCTGAATTTGTTTCAGGTATTTTCACCAGCAGAATTTTCGCTCTTGTCTGACATCTGAGACGTTTGATCAACACACAGTTTTTCAAGCTTGCAGCTTCCTAATGAAATTGAGGTCTAACAGTCGGTGTTCTGAATGAATCTCTGGTTTCCTCCGCACACACCTTTTTCACGCCAGGACAGATGCAAATTCGCTGTGTGTGAAAGAAAAGCGGCTGGGTCGGGCGGCAGAGCCGATCAGTCGCTGACACCAACCAGTGCCAGAGAGGAAGGTAATGACTGAGGCAGCAGCAGCGGGTTAGACATCTTTTTATGCGTGTATGAAAGGGTCTGCTGAAGGGGCTGGGGGGGCTGGCTGGCTCCAAACTCCTCCCAAAGCTGATGTGACAGTGGCAAAAATGTGGCAAGTGCTCTTATCTGCTCCTGCACACTCCACTCTGCGCACGTAATCACACGCACTGCACGCTGAAGGGGCCTCACATGTTCCCCAGTCACACCTGCAGCTCTTTGCTGATCAGTGTTCGTTTTCCTCAACATTTCCTGGTCTTTTGAAGTTCTCCTGTTTGCCTCACATGAACAGAGGGAATGTGACTGAGATGCAGATGTTCTGGTTTTCACTGTGACTTCCCCAAGTCTTTGCGGCTTGTACCTGAAGGTATTTCCATATTTGAGACACTGGTATGTGTTCAAAATACTGATGTCATCTTGCTCGGACAAGCCCAGAGGAATTAGTGTTCAGGAATGTTGCCATGATAACAGGGCCTTCCCTAACAGTTGACTCACCCCCAGGAAATGTCATTTGGAGAGTTTTCGCTTGAACGCTCATCGAAATATTTTTGTCAAAGCTTGGTATACGTGTTTGGGGATTCATGGTTCATATGACGAAATAACGAAATGATTGTTTTGGTATGTCGTTTTTGTAGTCGCATCTGATAAACGGAACTGCTTTGAACAAAGAAGACGGCTAAAAATGTGGCACTAAGGAGTTCATTACGTTGCTGCTCTCTTTGGTTTCGATTCGGTTGTGCAGATTTTCGAGGGTAAACCACCTTTTTATGTGTTACGGATTTATAGACAATTCTCATCTGTGATGCTACAGCTAAATTAACAACACAGGTTGAACAATATCAGACATTCAGCGCCACTCCCCCTGCAGACAGCCCACTGCTCACTCCAGAGCCACAGCTGAAATTTCTCCCACAGACTTGTAGCAACTTCTTATGATGGCAGCCGCCCTTTCGATGAGCCGCAACGAGCTGTGAATATTAAACGCACGGTGAACGTGTAACAAACCCTGTTTCTTTTCTACCCAAAACAACATTTTGGAGATGTCGTAGTGCATGTTACTGGCCAAAGCTTTGAAATGAAACTATAAATTACTAAAGAATGCAACTAAACTGGAGTCTACAGCCAGCTCTGGTTGACCTCTGAACAAATGACTGGATTCAGAGTAATAGAAATAGAAATGCAAAAACCTCTGACTCCCTTTGAATATTTAGATTATGTTTATACCATTGTTTGAAATATACTTCCTTCTGATATAAATGATGGATTTTATGCACAGTAGAACCAAAGTTTTGTTGGGTTTACTGTGCTGTCTGTGTTTGACGGAGTGGAGGTGTTTACAGATGTTTACAGAGCAGCAAAGACTGCTCAGCACGGAAAATGGTCCTCATTCTAAACACTGATGTTATCTGGAAGAAATGCATTCCAAATAAGATTACTTTGATAAATTTGGAATGTCAACTCGTATTATTGGCCAAATGAATAACTTATCCCAGGTGGAAATATTTACCCCTGAAAATGAAAACTTGTTCATTCACTGGAGGAATGCGCAGAGCCGCAGCACGACATAGTTCAGATCCAGTGACAAATATTTCCTCGTTTCTGGAATGTTTAAGAGTCAACATCTACACCAGCGTTTGTGTTGCTTCACTGTTGTAGCGCTCCCTCTAATCTCCAGCTGCCACATTAGTTTGCATTTCACTGGAACTTAATTTTTTTTACTTTCAGTCTTATGCCTTTTTACAGCCGAGTTACCTGTAACTCTGTCACATGAATCTACAGTTTGCTTTTTCTTTGACATAACTTCTTCTCTAAGACGTGTTCTATTGTACCATTATGTAAATGATATTCCAAAATGTCTAATTTACAAATAAAAAAATCCACAGATGCTTCAAATAGATTAGCTGTTGCATAGCAACAGCAGGACCCATGAAGGAATCCTTGAGCTAAATACAATGTGGAGTTGACAGCCACGGCACACAAGAAAATGTAACACATTTTGTTGTATACATTTTTGGGTGTGTTAAACTATAAAGATTATATAAAAAAAGAAACTAGTGGTGAGGTAGACATACCTGTTGCTCAAATATTCAGATTTTTTATTACATCAGTTTTGACTGAATGTTGCAGCTCTATGATGATTTGTATATTCCATCGTAGAAAAATGGAAATCACTTATTTGATCACAAAAACACAAAACAATGTTTTGACAAGCAGTTGATTTTATTACTGTCCCAAAATCCTGGTTTCATAAACCGTTAGTGACTCTTCAGTCGCTGTGCAGCTTTTGCTACACTTAGTCCGTTTAGCTGAGCTCACTTCATACTTGATTGGTGTGCCAGTAGAAGCTGCTGCTGTACTCTCAATGACGGGGTTCTGTCCACGTTTTCCAACTTTCCAACGCATTTAGAAGGACTCTTCTTGTTTATTTAAATCTTTTTTTCTCTCATTTGTCACTGCGCCCACCCCCACCCCATCCCCACTGTAAGATGAGAGGAACAGTCAAGTTGCTGCCAGTTCCAGGGGCCCTCATGAAAGCCGGCCGCTCTCAGATGGAAGCAGAGCAAAAGGGGGACAAGCTGTCCTCTATGTTCTGAGCTGCAACAGTGGACGTGCTTGCATTCATTTGAGAAGAGGGGAAAACTTTTGGACGAAAAAATATATCAAAGCAAATAACCTTCTTTAAATAAGACTTCTTAAAGAGGCAGGTTGGGTAAGACGAGGACTTGTAGTTGTTATGGAGTTTCAACCAAAATCATCAGTTTTCAAGGTCCACTATTTGGCTGATAAAGTCAAAGAGTAGCAAAAGGCATTTTGAAAGCCTGAGGCATCTGTAAAACAATCTAAACACAATGGTTTTAGTGTTGCATAAAAGAAAATGAAAAAAAACAAATTGAGTTGTAGAACTATCCGGCCCCCTAATTTTTAATTTGTCTCCCCACATATCAGTTTTAATCGTGCATTGTGTAACAATATCCTAACTAGACCAAAGTAAGTTATTTTCCAAACTCTGTTTTTGGAAGTCTGCCCAGGTATAGCTACTAATCCTTTAAGGTGATGAAGATGGGGTGAAAATGGGTTTCTCCCCTAGTTAATATTGTGGGTGTTTTTTTTACTTCGGGAAATATTTTTGTTATGATTAGGAAAAAGTAATGGTTAAGAATTACAACTCCACAGGCTCCAAACACATTTGCGCTTCATAGGGTCTGCACACTCGCTAGTTGTCCACACATGGGTTTGTTTGTTCTCTTATCGTGTTGGCTGGTGAACAGAGTGGTTGCTATTTGAACTGGGGATTTATAAATAGACTTGTGTACTGCAGGCAGGCAGAGAGAGTTAGCACAGTCCAACCTGGGCTAAGAAAGGTCGGGACACACGCATACACTTTACAAACGCACTTTGGATGCAAATTTATTTTTTTACTTTAGATTTCAACATTTTGTCCTTTCAACCAGATTTTCTCTGTGTTTTGGACCGTCCTTTGTCCCATTACTTTTGCTATTGCTTGCCTTGACGTCTTAGTGAAGGCTGCCAGCTTTAAGCCTGTTGTCAGGGGTGGGCGATTTGACCAGGAGATCATATGACAATCTTAAGGGGTAGAATTACAATGAACGATCCGCATTGCAGCTCTCCTCACAGATTTAGTTGAGCTCACGTTAGATTTGCATTAGGTTACCAAGATACAAATTTTTCCACTTAAGTTTCAAAGGTGAAAAGACCCACTTCAAAAAAGTTTGAACCTGTTTTGGTCTCATTGTGTTTAAAAGATCTGGCACTGCTGCGTTGACACTTTTTTGTGAGGAAGCTACTCTGCTGTATGATATTCCTCTTCCAAAGTTATTTGGCTTTTGCTGAAAAGTGATATGAAAAGCAAAGCGCTCGTGGTCATCTGTCATAAAGCTGCCTCAGTGAGTCTGGCTCTGCAGATGGACTCGGTTGACCCGGGACTGCAGCTGGCAAAGGTGTTGAGCTGTTTCACAGAAGGTTACTGTCATAAAATCCTTGTTCTCCTCTTTTTGTAAGCACTGCATAGCAACACAAACCACTCAGCTCGGATCCCCAACAGAATCTGAGATGGGAGGAGTCGCAGGCTACTCAATGACTCGTTAGAGGGGGAGATAAATCACAGCAAGGGTAGCCGCAGCAGTGTGTTGGTCAGCTTGTAGGCTGGCCAAACACAAGATGGGCCATAGTTAGCTGTTTAACAGATTAGGAGGCTTGTGTAGCTGACACTAATGATGCCGTCTGTTTATTTCATCTGAAATCACATGACATGCCAAATGCTTGTTTACCATCTGAGATCTGCAAGATTAATTATGTTTAATTGGCAGTCATCACCCATTTGGAGGTCCTGTACTCAAATGAGTTGTTTACATTGGGTACATGTGGAAAGTGTGCTTGATACTTTATATTATATTGAGTAAATAATTTTTAGAATGCTACAGCTTATCCTCAAAAACGGCCGATTTTTCTGTGAAGTTATTGACCACGTGTGCACAATATTTAACGATGGACTTTTTCTCCTTCTTGTTTTTCTCCCTACAGCGCCAGTGCCGATTCAAGACTGAGTCTTTAATCTGAACCACGTCCTCCCCTCCCCTTCCCCACACATAACGCACGCTCACACACAGATAGTCCTCTGCGATGCCAAGGGGGGCTGATCAGCTTGCTGCCCGTTCTGACAAGCCCAGCCTCCTCGCCTCATACCTCTTAGGCTGTGCTCACTGAGCTTTGACCTTTGACCTCCCTGTGTCGACCTGGGAACCAAAGGTCACCTATTCTCCACTGAAGCCGGGGACCCCGCTCTGCCCAGTCAGGAGTTGCAGCCTCCAGTGGCACTCAGAGGTAAACGCAAAAAAAGTCAAAAAGTACTCTTTTAGCTTGATTTAATTTATTCGTTTCTCCTTTTTCTTAGTCTTGCTCGCCCATTCCAGGACCTTTGTCATGTTTTTCATGATTAAAGACTTATTCACAAGGGGTTGGCATATATATTGCACTTTTGCGAGATGCTTCCATTGAGTAGGACAGAATTGTACAGTAAATTTGAGGATTGTTAAAGAAGCCATCTTTCCTGAAAAGTCAGCACTCCGAACAAGGAGCCATCAGTTTTTCTTCATTCTGAGTACAAAGTGGTTTAAACATGGCCATAAATGTTCTGCGTTGTCAGTTGACTGGTGAGGATGATGCAGTTGATATCATACCAGCTTTGACCAGATGTATACAGAAACCGTGAACGCTTTTGCTGTGACACATTTTTTAACGGTTGTTTAAAGGCACAGGACAATCCACAGCAAACATTTTTGTATTTCTCATTTACTGTGCATGACTAATCAATAGACAGTTTATTAAGCTTTAGTTTGGATTTAAAGATCAGCATTTTTTGTTTTGTTTTTTTGATTTCGAGGAGTTGAGCCATTTTTTCCTAAAACATTAATGATCTCCTCAAAGAAAAAAATTTGTTCAGTGCAATATATACCCTGCGTGCTTCATTTGTTAAAAGCTTCTACTAAATCAGTGCAGAGCCTCACAGGAAATCCGTGTGGCTGCAGCGTCGTACACACTGCCCTGATAAACCACTGTGGGGGCACTCAGGAGCCTTTCTGTGTAATGGAGAAACGCCAATATAGTTGTGGTTTCACTCTGATGACAAAGAGTTAGGATTTGGGGGGCAAAAGGAAAGATTCTTAACTTACTTACTTATAGTTGTATGAATACTTGTCTGAATTTAAAAGTGAATAGTCCTTTATCTTATCATATTCAAGTTAACTGAGTTCACTGGAGACTTGGGTTCAGAAGCCGGCTGTGTCTGACTACTAATATACTTTCAAGCCCTTCCTCCTTTGAACTTCTGACTTTTTTTCTCCTTGTGTACACTCTCTCCATTTGCTTGATTCTTTTTGGATTGCCAATTTGTCCCAGCTGTTTCTCATATCTCCTATCTGTTTCTGCCTGCCTTCCTCCAAGTCTGTTTGACAGTCTCCCTCTCTGTTTCCAGGCATGGCTCCCATTCGGGATTCCGTCAGCCATTCCCCTAATCAAACAGGTGACTACATATTGCCTTCTCTGTTTTACTCATTTTCTGCATTTCCCCCCTCTTTCACAGTGTCTATTCTTTGGCTGTCTGCAAAAAAATCATCAGACTGGGTCTAGACCTCTTCTGATGATGAATTGTATTCTCTGCTTATCGGAGAGAGTGAGAGAAAGATGAATGAATGAGAAAGAGGGTGTTAAAGGGTGCAAGAGGAGACTTGGCAAGCTAACCCGATAAGCTGCTAGAGCTGGCAGCCATGATGTGAGAGAAGCTTTGAAAGTGAGAGGCGCTTAAAGTTCAAGGACCTGAAAAATGGGCAATAGCAAGCATGGCATGCTGCACCTGCATCAAAACTTTGCATGTCTTCATCAAGCTGAGGCTATCTGACCAAAAGTACTGTATGAATAAACACAGGCGAAATTAAAATGAGGTGATGCTCGTTATCTGCTGCTGACTGAATGCAGCAGTGAACATTTAGTTGCTCGTCCCTGAAACACAATGAGCTCATGCTGAATGTTAATCAAAGCAAAGTTGGATGTGATTTGTGATGTGTAATTTTAGAGACGTAGTGCTGGTCTCAGACATTTAGCTTATTATAGCTGATTACCTCCTGTCCCCAGCCAAACCTGCGCCCACTTCCCTCACCCACTTCTTACCCAGTTGTCATCTCTGCTATGCTCACCATCTCTTCCACTGACTCGCCATCTGGCTTGCTGAATCTTAGTTAATAGTTTTGGCATGCTTCTTGGTCCTGCTGTGGTGACAAAACGGAGGCAGTCGATTTCCAGGCGCAGGCCTGGCAGTGATCACATCCTAAACAGTTTGAGTCTTGGCGAGAAGAGTATAACGTGAAAAAGTGTGAATGGAGGTTCAATATAGTGCCTCATGTTTAATTGTCTCTGCAGAAAAAATACTTTCATGAGATGAGTTTTCCTGTTTGTTTTTCCTAATTGAAGACCTTTTGTTTTTCCGTTATCCTTATCTGCATCCTCTGCCATGTCTATCTTTTTCTACCAGGTCTGGAGCATCCTGGCTTGGACTCCCAGTATGAGCCTTCCCCCTGGTCCTCTGGTTCCCCCTGCAGCAGTGACAGCAACTGGGGCAAAGTCTTAGTGGACGGAAGCACGGACAAATCCAATAACCCTTGTTCAACCAGCTCTTCTGTCTGGCCTCCCTCCTCCTCTTCATTTTCTTGCTCGTCCTCCTCCTCTTCTTCTGGTTGCGGATCAGGATCAGATCCTGAGTTGGCCTCAGAATGCATGGATGCAGATTCTAGCTCCCCAGTTGGCTCAGAGAAAAACCTTGGAGCTATCGCTGCAAATACAGTGATGATGATGTCAACAAATGCTTCGTCCTCGGTGTCCTCCACAGCTTCTTCTCCATCGTCCTGTTTGGGGACTGCTACCATGATGGTCGGTGTTACTGTGAATGGAGACGGCATCAATTGTCAGGTAACTGGAGGTCTGGGAACCATTAGCAGCGCAAATAATGGAAATGACCTAACAGGATCCTCACACTACTCCATGGCTGGATCCAGCAGTATTGGCAGCAATAATATGAGTAACCACAACAACAAAATAGCCGGCAACAGTGGTGTATGGGGCACCCAGTCAGGCAGCAGCATGAACACCACTGGTGGGAGCAACCCCTGCATTAATGGAGGGTTAAACCCGAACACTTTAAACCCAAATGCCAACCATGGTGCCTGGCCTCAAAATCTAACCACAAGTTCAGTGTGCCAGGGCCAACGGCCTCCACAGGCTCAGGGGATGAGTTCCAAACTGGGTTTGACTCCTCAACAGGGCCCCATGCTTGGGTGGGGTGGCATAGCAGCTCCAGACAACAGCAGTATGATGGAAGAAGCTGAGGTGAACAATGGTACATCAAACAGCAAGGTGTTAGGAAGCAGCAGCAGTGGAAATGGTGGTCTGCAGCCTCCCAACCTTAACACTGAATCCAATGGACCAAATAACACTATCATGATAAATACTACTACTACTAACACCACAATGACCTCTAGTCCACCAAACTCTACCGCCTCACCCCAGCTTAGTGGGGATTGTTCCTGGGGTTCCATTGGAGGAGGAAATGGGGGTCCACTGGCCAATGGAAACCCGTCATCTGCCCCTCAGCACCCCCAAGGAGAAATGGGCAGTACTGGGGCCTTTGGTACACCTTGGGGCGCAGCTGCCTACCCAGTAGACAAGGGCCCCCCAAATGCAGACACTGTGAACCCCCAAATCTCCCCTGCTGCTTTCAAGAGTAATAATAACCCCAATAACACTGGGGCCCCACACTGGGACCAGGGGCCCACCAATAACCCAAACCAGCCTCCGGGTAACTTGTCCTGGGGTACTGGCTCCAATCAGAACCCCGGCTCCGCAGGCCAAACTCCAGGAAATGGAAACCAAACTACTATGGGCCCTCCGGCAGGCGTGCCTCGCCCCTGGGGTAGCAGCGCATCCTCTTCTTCCTCATCGTCGTCCTCCTCCACATCTAACAACAAGAATTCCAATGGAGAATGGGGATCGACAGCTTCCAGTAACAACCATTCAGATGTTGGAAATCACAAAGGAAACTCTGCTAACAATGGTTGGAAAAGCCTTGAGGATGATGCCATGGGCATAGGGACAGGTAGTGGAAGCCATGGCTTAGGGAGTGTCCCTGGACCTGGAGGCTGGGGTCGCTCTGGAGGAAGTGAAGGAAGTGGTGAGAGCTCTGGAGGTAGATCCAGCTCAGACAGAGACAGCAACCAGCCTAAAGGAGGAAACCGCAGAAAAGGTACCCCTTCAGCGTCAATAATCACGGCGTTGGCCAGGGCCGACGTGGACCCAAGGGTTCTCTCCAACACTGGATGGGGTCAGACACCCATACGGCAGAACACCGCTTGGGATGTCAATTCTCCTAACAACAATCAGCATCATGGTCCCAGAGGAGATGAAAGAAAGCAAAGCAGTGGAGGTTCTGGGTGGGGCACAGCGACACCGGCAGCTCCCTCTCAAACCTCTGGAGGTACAGACATCATGCGCATGAAACTTGTCTTGTATATAAAAATGAACATACAAAACAAAAGTGAAATTAAATAATAACTAACTTTCATGCATTTACAGGTTGGGGGGGTGGGCCAAGCGCATCAGGCCCAGAGAGTGGAGGTTCTGGCTGGGGAGAACAGAGACAAACATCTGGGTGGGACAATAAAAACCCCCATAATGGAGGAGGAGGGCAAAGTAGCTGGAATGATGGACCCAGTTACAAGAGTGGTAACAACAGTAACACCTGGAGCAACAACATTAAAGATGACAGGTGAATAATGGCTTTGCATTCAGCCTTTGTTTAATGGCCTCTGTTAACTGTTTTTTAACCATTTAAACTGCTTATTTTAGGTCCAGCACATGGACTAATGCACCCAAACCACAGCAGGGCTGGGGTTCCAATAGTGGAAATGGCAATGACACCTGGGCTGGTAGTGTTGACGGTCCTCGAGGAGGGGCCAACAACCACTGGGGGGAACATCAGAAGGGCGCAGGCTCAGTGGGCTGGGACAGTGACAGCGACCGGTCCGGCTCTGGAGGTTGGAGCGAGCCTAGTAGAACCAACACCAGCAGCAGCAACACCTGGGTGGGCAGTGGAGGATCCAATACTCCAGACCAGAGCACTCCAAACCCAGGCTCCACCTGGGGGGACTCGGTCCACAAACCTAACCCTCAGCCTAACAGTCAAAACTGGGGTGAGCCAGTGAAAAACAACCATGGAACTCAGAACTGGGGAGAGCCAAATTCCAAATCCTGTGAGTGGGGAAAAGGTCCTGAATCCAACATGTCTCGAGGCAATCAAGGTTCTAATAAGCCAACAGGTAGATTTTTTCCTCAGATTTTTTGGTTGTTTCTCCTGAGTTTTTTTTCAGTGAAATGGCAACTAATACACTAATTCATATTTCAGGCTGGGTGGGAGGCCCTATGCCCACGGTCGGTCAGAAGGAGGAAGTTGCTACTGGATGGGAAGAACCTTCTCCAGAGTCTATCCGTCGGAGGATGGAGATCGATGATGGAACTGCAGCTTGGGGTGATCCTGGTAAACGCTCGGTCAAAAGTGAATCTCTTTTTAAGAAACAATACAAAGCTTCTAAGATCATTTGGACTGGTGGATTAGGCATTATTTCTTTTGACCTATTTTTTTGTTGACTGGCTTTTAGGTAAATACAGTGGTGGAGCTGTCAACTTGTGGAACAGAACTAGTCAGTCAGATCAAGACCCCAGTGGTCCGTCCCCTCAGCCCCAGTCCCACCCAACACACAAACCCATGCAGCATCTAAATGAAGAAAAAAGCTGCAGCTCTGGTAAGTTGGAACATGTAAATGTGCATGTGTAAATTCCTGTTGCCAGTGGATATTAGAAAGCATACATTTATTTGAGCTGAATGTTTAGATTTTTGAGAGACAATCAAACATCTAGCTATGGCATGAGGTACTCATTAAAATGTGACAAGCTTGAAAATACAAGCCATTTGGTGCAGTCTGTAAGTCTGCACCAAGAACATACACTGGAAAGGATTCCAATGGTTCAAATAAGGTGGACCCAACAGTCGTCATTAACCAAAACCAGGCTTTAAAAGTTCATGTAACGATGTTAGTCCAACCAAGGATGGGGATGTGGTTCAATGCACCCATCCAGTTGCAGTCACAGTCCTACATCACTGTGCATGTAAGCATTCTGAATAACAGAAACAATTTTCAATCGTTTGAAAAAAAGACTTGACCCCCCCTCTCCCAGGAGTGTCGCCTGTACTGAGGACTTTTTGTAAGGCTAGTTGAGTCATCTGTTCGGAATGCTAAGAGCATCTATTTTTCTCTTTTTTTTCAACCCCCCCCTCCCTCTTCCCTTTCTTACTCACCCACCAGTTATACAAGAAACACACACACACTTTGTAGAGCTTCTGTAAACGAGAACAAATGACACTGTGTGTGGCAGAGGAGGTCTGCTGTCTTAGCAATGGGAATAATTCCAGTGTAAAATGGGGAATCTAAAACAAGCAGGACAGCCTTTTCTATAGAAGGAGCCTGAAAGGGACAAAAGCAGGAGGGGTTTTTAGTTATTCCAAGTTCCTGGTGTGTGAGCTAACCAAAGTGGATACGTGGACAGGGCTGGGCAAGCCACCCGTACACTGCGCTGGGAAGTTTTTGTGCATGCATGGATGGAAATTATGGAGAAAAAAAAAGCCAGATCTCTTGACTGTTGTTTCCTTTTAATTCAATAGACTGTGCATTTGAGATGCTGAAGTGTATGCTTAAGTTTATTTTTGGATGAGCAAATGCTCTTAATTGTACAGAATCAAGTGATTGCAGGAGATTTTTTGTTCTCTGATTAAGAGCTAAAGTCTATCAGGAAGAATTCTTTATGGTGACCTATAAACATGGGCAGAAAATTGCAGCACTCACATGCACATTTTTGGGGGCTGATATTAAGCATTCAGCTGTGATGTTGATTGTGAAGTTGTCCTGTTTTGGTTTGTGTGCCTGCTTCTTTTTGCTGTTACATTAGCAAGCTCTCACATACAATCACAACAAGAACTTGGGAGCCTGAAGCCTGTCCTATGATCTGTCCTATTTTTACTGGGAGGTATCCCCGGCATCTCCCAAAACTCCTCCTGTGAAAGGAGAAAGTGTCTGGTCTGGGTGGTCAGCTGTAACAAGAGCCCTTTGAACTCATGCACTTTAAGAAATACCTATACTGTCAACTGAAAGGGGTATACATGTAAATAAACTCTTACATAGTCAAGTTGACATGGGCCATGGCCTTCTCTTCCATTTCCTGATTTCAGCAGAGTTTGCTCCCATCACCCTTTATGTAATGCATACCACCTTCCAATGTGGAAAACACCTGGTGTGACTGCTCAAAGGACAGTTGCAGCAATAACTGCCAGGGTTAGCAGTGACATTCAAGCAAAAATATATTATCATTACTAAATGCCAGCAATAGCTAAGCTCCATATGAGTACACTCAACTGAAGTCATGGTTTAAATTTACACAATTTCTTTTCTCTGTCTAGGTTGGGGTGAGCCCTACCCCCAGCAGAAGGAATCCTCATCATGGGGAGAGCATACCCCTGCTCCACCTGTGGCCGTGGACAAAGGAACGTCTGCCTGGGGGAAGCCTGTGGACAATAGCACTTGCTGGGATGAACCCAGCAGAGATAGCAGAGAGTCTGGGTCTGGATGGGGTACCCAGCATAAACCTGGTGGGTTCTTCCTGTATTTCAAAAGAAGCTCTCTCTGTAGCAGGTGTCTATATTTGCAGTGTATGCAAGGTACTGAAGGTGCCTATATTCAGTTGCTATTTTAACTCCCAAATAGGAACAGGTTCAAAGCCTATGGAGACGTGGTGTAGTGAGGACGTGTCCATGGGCAATAGCTGGGATCAGGAGGAGGAGGTGGAGATCGGAATGTGGAGCAACAGCCAGCAGGACAACAGGCCTCACGACCAAAACACCTGGAACTACAAACATAAAGGCTCCAACAGGGTTTGTTCGCCTCAGTGTTCTACATCCTTTCCTCTAAAACATGACAGGAGAACATATGATTTAAGGGAAATAATTACAGGATTTTGAATGAATGCATTTATGTTTACGAGTCCTTAGTGTCTTTTTACCTGATGTTTCAGATGAACAAACCAGTCAACAAACAGGATGAACCCTGGATGAAACCATTCATCAGCCAGTTTAACAGCATGAATTTCTCAGTAAGTATCTCCTCCTATTCACTTTAGGTTTAGTCTCTTTGATCGCTGACATGGGTACAAATTTCTGATGTGTTCTTAAAAAGTATGACAAAGTATCCTCTGGAACATAACCGAATCAGATCAGAGTTCTCAGACTACAGGGAACTTTGATTGTTTGTTTTTTTGTCTTCGCTGTTAATGTTTCTTCCCTTTAAACCTGCAGAGAGACTCTCCTGATGACTCCATGAAGACAGCAGCAGGGATGATTTCGGACAAGCGCATGGACATGAACAGCATGGGCGACTTCAATGGAGTCATGGGGAAGAACCCAGGGCCCCGACAACAGCTCCACAAAGAGTCTGCCATGGATCGTAGTCCTTACTATGACAAGGTTTGCAGGCTTTGATGTTTCCATATCCATTATAGCCACCAAGGCTGAAGTTCAACCAGTAGCAGACAGGGATGGGGGGGGGGCTTGGTTAGGGATTGTGTTTTCTCAACTCTTTTGTGCCCCATGGTGGCTGTCGTAGAAAATTGCATGCGTGGTCTTTGAAGGGCATTTTCCTTGTTGTTTGTTTGATGTTTCAGCAATGTTTAATATGCACTTAGGTGTTGAATTTGAATTATAAATACTAGCTGTGCATGTAAGGTGATTTGGAAAAGTCGTGAGAAGGGATTCCCTTCCAGGGTTCTGTAGACTTAGCTGTGAATTTGTTTGGCTTTGGTTCATGCTTTGGGCCCCAAACTGCTAATTTGGTGCAACCTAGTTTCCATCTTTCAACTGTTTACCTCACTTGTTTTTCTTCTCAAACATCGAGCACACATCCCTCATTCTCGCCCCCCACCCTCCACTCATTCATTGGTTTTGGTTAGCTCATCAAACATCCTTATTTTGGCCAGCTTTCCATTTCACGTCTGCCACATTTTCCTTTCCCACCTCCATCTTTGAGTTTCTCTGTAAAATTAACTATTTTCTTTCCTTTTCCTTACTGTGCTGCTTTGGCTGCTGCTGTGTTTCCTGCCCCTGTCTGCTTTCCGGCCGTCTGCTGTGCACCTGGTATCTCGCTTCTGCAGCTTTCTGCTTATGATAGTCCGGCCTCTGATGAGCTCCCCTCCAGTCAAAGCATGAGCCTTTCCCCTAGCAATTCTGCTCGGCCTATCCCCTGCCGCAACTCCGGGCCGTCCCCTTCCCACTCTAATCCTGGGGCCGCTCAGCAGGTGAGTTTGGCAGGGCGAGGAGATGATTGTCTTTAGGTCTTTAGCCTGTTGCCACTGTGACAAGACAGCTGTCACCCTGACGGATGGAAAAAGGAATTAGTGTTTCTGGCTGAACATTTCATGGATGGGATTGTAGCCTGGAGTTGCTGACACATTCCTGATGTTTCTGTTTCAAACGTTTTATTAATTGTTTTTATGTTCAGTCATGATTTATATGTCAAAAGTTTGAAGTGTCTTGTTTAATATTGTGATGATTTGTTTTTGTTTTCCTTTTCTCAGAATGTAAACCCTATGATGGGTGGCAGCAGCGTAGCACAGGGCCGAGGCGGGCCCCAGTCCCAAGCCCCACCTCAACCCAATTTTCGTAACCAAGTGCCTCCTCCCATCCTGCCCTCTCAGGTACAATTTTCATGTGGGCACTCTGACTTCTTTGCACCACAGCAGTTTCGGTGGTGGTGGCTCATGGCTTTTTCTCAAACTAGTAGTTTCAAGCTATAAACTTGTTTTGCTGTGCTTGAAGCTGGGTTTTGTTTTCCACCGCCACGTCTTCACGACACACGTCTTCCAATTCACTTCTCAGACTGCTTCTGGAGTGATAGTTCTTCTTAATTCCTTAGTTGGCCACAGCACAGGGAGACAGTTTATCTTTAGGATTGTGTCCTCTCTGCACGCCAATATCTAAACGCCACCAGAGTAGTCTCTAAATGGTGCCGCAGTATCTGAACTTGCAGGCTTTGGCCTTAAGCATTCATAAACATGTCTAGGACATTTAAAACAAATGGCACCAGCAGAAAAAAGGAAAGAGAGCTGGTTTAGTCCACCGTTTCATGTCTTTATATCTCACTTTTTCAAATGGAGTTGATGCCTGGGTTACACTGGTTTTTCAAATAAGTAGTCTGAGCTTTGGCTTTTAAACCAGAAAGAATTGTTTTGCCTCCAATTAGCTATGGGACCACTTTAATGGAAAAACTCGGCATTAGTCTTTTGGCACATTTTGACTTATCGTACAAATCCCACAATATGTTCAGTGATCATAAACGACAGCATGTGTTATCCTTCCAAGTGGTCCCTTAGATTCAGTGACGAACAAGAATATTCACTGAGGAATTTAGCCTCATCACTCATTGTTGGCTTTAAGTGGATTCAACATGAGGGCATATCAGCTTCAGTGCAAATATTGCTAAAGCAAATGTATCCCAGCCAAAAGGGTGTCACACAACACATTTTCCAGTCGTTTTTTTGTGTCAAACGTGGTGTGTGGAAACAAACGGCGGTAAAGCTAAACTGCTGTGGTGTTTGTGTCCAGGTCCCTCCATCCCTGTTGAAGTACCCTGGTGGAAATGGAGGTCTGAACCCCCTGTTTGGCCCTCAGCAGGTGGCTATGCTCAACCAACTCTCCCAGTTGTCTCATCTCAACCAGATCAACCAGTTACAGGTACAGATGGAGACAGATTTTCAAATGTAAATGCTATGTAATGTTTAAATGCTGTGTTTCTGTGAACATTTTTGTGAGATTTGTAGTTTTTCAAAGTGTATTTAATGCCTGTTAATGCTCATTTCTGTATACTATTTACATTTTGTGACCTTGTGTCTCTGTAGCGTCTGCTTCTCCAGCAGCAGCAGCAGCAGCAGCAGCAGCAGCAGCAGCAGAAGGCTCAGAACCAGAGAGCCATGTCTGTTGGTCGTCAAACTGATCAGGTGGGTCACTTCAAACCTCAGAGAATTCTGCTAAATTACACCTCCAGCTCGATGGTTATGATGCTCCACTGCGTGCTGTCTGTAAACTGTCCACCTTCTGTCCCCAGACACGTCCTATTGGTTCATCTCCTTCAATATTGCAGCCGCCACGACACCTGGACCCCTCCCTGCTGAAACAGACCCCCCCACTTAAACCATACTCAGACGGCTACATGACCCAGAATACCCCTGAAATGCCTAAGGAAGCTGCCACTCATGGATCCTTCAGCAACTTCCCTTTAAGTATGTTAACCACACGTCGGTCATATCCCTCTGCTAAAGCCAAGACGTTTTGGTCACAACGGGACAGTGCTTTTTGATGTGAATGGCTCCTTCTCCTCTTCCTCCTCCTCCTCCTCCTCTTAATCTCACATTAGGCTTGAACTCTAATCTGAATGTATCCCTGGACATGAGCGTTGGTGGTGGAAACGGTGGTGGTGGAGCTGTGAGCTACAAAGAGCCACCCCAGTCCAGACTGAAGAGTCTTTGGGCTACTGACCCTCTGGAACAGAACAGCAAACCCGGTGTGTGTGTGTGTGTGTGTGTGTGTGTGTGTAAAGGTGTTGGTGGTGTGTTGTGTTTTGTGTCAGATCAGCTCATGTGCGTTTTCCCCCCCAGGTGCTATGTCGTCTGGGCTGCGTCTGGAGGATTCTCCCTTCTATGACTTCCTGTCTCCTGGCACATCTCACCTGAGTCCTCCTGGCCAATCAATGGGCTCGGTGGGCGATGGCTGGCCACCACGTGCCAACTCTCCCCCGCCTCATGGAAACACTGTCACCTGGCCCCCAGGTACGTGCTCCCTAAGAAACAAACAGACGCGTCTAAACGGCCCACCTTGAACAATGCTGATCTCTGCCTGTGCTCGTTTGCAGAGTTCCGGCCCGGGGAGCCGTGGAAAGGTTACCCCAACATTGACCCTGAGACTGACCCTTACGTGACCCCCGGCAGTGTCATCAACAACCTCTCCATCAACACCGTCCGAGACACAGACCACCTCAGGGACAGGAACAACGGTGGGTCCCCAACTCACAGTACGGCTTGAAGAAAGCTGCCACGGGCTATTGGTTTTTCGATGAGCCGAAAGATTTTAGAGAGTATCGACTAAAAGAGCGGACACGCCAGCGACCAAGCTGGCCTTAATGTAAAAACACGTACAAACCAGACCCCCCCCTGTTGATGTGTTTTAGGGCCATCCTCATCACTGAACACCACGATGCCTTCTAACAGTGCCTGGTCATCCATTCGTGCCTCCAGCCTCACCAGTACAGCACAAAGCACTTCAGGTATGTTTAGGTTCACTCTCCTGGATTTTTTTTTGGTTCTTTCTACATCTTGGACAAATAACGGTTTGAAACAACGCTAAGCTTGACCAATATGATACTGGAATGAATTCATGTTGATGTTTGATCGTTTTCTAATGGGTGATATAAAACAGTGTCTTGTTTAAATGGATGAGCAGTAACTGGGCCTCTTTGGTTGCTTGTATTAATAGTTACATTCTTTCATACTCTCCATTTTGACCAAGAACAGTTTAAATGTTTAGAAAGACACTTGGTTGCCCTCTAAAGCTGACGTCAAGTTGTAAACAGGTTTTATCTTTCCTCTGTCCCCTGGCAGCCAGACCCAGTGAGTCAAAGTGGTCTCCTGGTGGCGGTTCTGTGTCTAACTCATCCCTAGCCCATGAACTTTGGAAGGTCCCCCTGCCTTCCAAAGCGCTGCCAGTAGCAGCCCCCTCCAGACCACCACCCGGCCTCACCGCCCAGAAGCCCAGCGCCGCCCCCTCTGGTTGGGACGGCTCTGCTCTGAGGCTGGGGGGCTGGGGCTCCACTGAATCCAGATACACACCTGGTAAGACTTTTTTTTTCTTTTTTTTGTGGTCATAGTTATTAATTTGACATTACAACATGGCATGAAGGGCCTGATGTCCTCAAGTTCTAACCTGCGATACTTTGGGCAAAGGCTGTGGTACTTGAGCAAGGGAAGCTGAGTATTTGGTATTTGATCACTCATTTCTGATGGCATACTGTGTGCTGTCAGGTTCCAGTTGGGGTGACAGCAGCAGCAGCAGCAGCAGCTCAGGAAGAACTCAATGGCTTGTTTTGAAAAATCTCACACCTCAGGTACACACACACTTTATTTGTTCAGTTGGATTTGTGTCCAACGGATGATTATCAGTTGTGTTGATGGACTGTTTTTCTATGGGCTCTGGATTCGCAGATTGATGGCTCTACACTGAGGACCTTGTGCATGCAGCATGGCCCTCTGATCACATTCCACCTCAACCTGCCACACGGTAACGCTGTGGTTTGCTACAGCTCAAAGGACGAGGCTGCCAAGGCCCAGAAAAGCCTGCACATGTAAGAGCATCAGACACCAAACAAACCTTTCTCTCTTATGAAGCCTAGCATCTCGTTAAATGGGTGTGTTGGAGTTTCTGTAAATGTATAATTTACAAGCGCCTTACAAGTGCTTTAAGAAACAACAAATCTTTTTACTGTGACGTGGGTAAGAGATTCCACAAATCTCAGGAGGAAACGACAGTACTAAGCCACAGTGGAGTAACAAAAACAGAATGCTCTCCTTTTTTTTTTCTTTGTTTAAAGGAAAAATCAGGGTGACAGACTGGGTCTAATGCTATAATTTCTTAACCGGTGGACTCTCTTTAGTTGAAAGAACTGGATTTTTTTTATGCTTTGAGTATCAGTTAGCTTAGCCTTCTTCTTTGAGAGCATTAAACCAATCCCTCTCAAAGGAACTGGCAGCATGTCCCTTAAGGCAGAGAACTGCTGAAATCCCTCTCTCCCTCACTCACAGGAAGTCTGTAAGTGTGCCGACAGTAACTCACAGTTTATCCCTACAGGTGTGTTTTGGGGAATACTACTATTCTGGCTGAGTTTGCCAGCGAGGAGGAAATCAGCCGTTTCTTTGCACAAGGGCAGTCAATGGCCTCTTCCTCCTCGGGCTGGCAGGCCATTGGCTCCTCTCAGAGCAGAATGGATCAGTCTCACCCTTTTCCCAGCCGCGCTCCCGAACCGAACCAGTGGAGCAGCAGCGATCTCCACAGCTCTCCCCTCTGGGGTAGGCCCAACTTTTCCAGTAGCCTGTGGGGGAGCCCCAGTGGCACCGAGCCAGGGGGGATCAGCAGCCCCTCTCCAATCAGCTCCTTCCTACCAGTGGATCACCTGACAGGGGGCGGAGACACCATGTGAACTACCTGCCAATCACACAGGCTGGAGGGAGGGTCAGTAAAGAATTCTCAATAATCAGCAGAAGAAAATGGAAAAACAAACAAAAAAAAAATGTAGTTATTAACGCAATGGCACTAGTTGGACTCTTTCTCACTTACAAGATATTCAACAAAACGGGGTCTCCCCTGTGGAATACAAGTTACGTTTCTCTCTCTGCACATATGTCCACTTTGTTTTCGCCCAAAAACATATCAGTCGGAATACTTGAATCATGCAGGCCAATTCTATAATGTGAACGGATGGATATTTGCTTCCAGGTAGTGCTCTTTCAGACCGAAAAAAAGCTTCACTCGAGCTCATTATTATTATTATTATAATATATATTTTTTGTTTCATTCGTCATGTTGAATTCCAATTCTCTTGAACGTTTTTTTCTTTTAATTTTTCTCCTCTTTCTTTTTTTTTCTTTTTTTTTTGCATTTGTTTGCTGACAATGTTGGAGTATGAGCTTTTTTTAACTTTGCACTGAATGTGGTTTTTTTCTCAGTATATATAATCTGCAATATAGAGGGAGCAGCCAGTTTTTTCCAGTGTAGCTGTTTACTCATTGAGGTCCTTACCGTGTGTGAGTGTGCGTGTGTGGAAGTACTTTTGTATGTATGTGATTGCGATTGGTGAATGAGTATGTGTGCGCTCCTCTCTGCCTTGGCACGCCTACCTTACTGCGTTGTCGTGGAGTTCATGATCAACAGATGGTCAAAGAATGAAACCTGACCTGGGTTGACTATCTGCTGATGGAAAAAGTGACATTAAAAAGTATTGCACCGATTTTTGTTTTAAAACTAAAGAACGTTGAGCTCTGCAGTGCAAAGGACTGTAGCCGCAGCTGGGACTAGCAAGCCCCGCCCACTTTAATACAGGGGCGGGGCCTATCTAGCAAGCCCTCTCATTAGCCCCCTTGTGGGCAGGGAGGGGACAGCACTTTCAGAATAGGCTTTCAATGTTTTGGAGGTGCCACACAGCAACCTCTTGTTTACAAGACTTAGGAGGCGGAACGTGTGTTCATTCTTCATTTTAAAGAGAAGATAAAATAAAATTAAAAAATGCACAAAAAAAATTTAAAAAGCCAAAAAAATCTTATTAAAAAAAAAAAGTACAAAACAATATGAAAAAAAAAACAGAAAAAGTAAACTCTTATTGAGGATGAAGACGATGCTTTGTAACTCTGGGAAATCGGATCAGTGTTTTTGGCCATGGCGTTGGTTATTTAAACTATTCCTCTTTGTCTGCTAAATAACCAGCAATGGTTCTCAGGAAATCAAGCCAGTCCCCCCCACCCCCTTGTAGTTGAATAAAAAAAATGAATAAAATAAAAAAAAATTAAAAAAACTACTACTCCTTGTAGGAAAGGAAAATCCAACTTCTAGCACTGAAAACTATGTATAGGTCTGTAAGTTTCTTTTATTTTTTTTCTCTCTGCCAAATAACTGCTTTAAGCTGGAGAAGCTCAACACACTGCTTTCAATATGCTGTCTTTAGAGGGAGGGGGAGGGCCCCCGGTCACAGGGGTGGGAGGTGGAGGACGGGCTGAAGAAAAGCCAGCGCTCCCTCTCTCCTCCTCCTCCGCTCCTCCACTCCACTGATGTAAAAAAAACGTAAATAAAATTTGTGGGCAGTGTTTCTGGTGAGTGTGTGGCGGTCAGTGGAAAATGTCCTGTCTTGTTAGACTTATAAACCAAGAGAAAGGCGAATCTGTATCTATGCATACTGTAGCCTCTCACATTCACATGGCCTACTGAGAGGATTTTTTTTTCTTTTCCTTTCCCTGTCTCACAAAAATGTTTTAAATGTTTCATAAGTACAACAAATGCAAAATATTACTTGCTTTTTGCTTTTAAATCTTTGCCACATTGTTTTTTTTTGTGGGGTAAACAAAAACTAACAAAAAAAAAAGGAAGACAAACTTAAAATCCTGTTTTTGGTTGAAGATATTTTAACAGTGCAAAAGTCGTCCGCATTTCATTGCCTTGATCCTAATTGTGTCCGAAGATGCAACAAAAAGTCAAGTGGCTTCTACCTGTTTACAAATAGAATATGATTGTATTGTTGTACTGTTTTTTTTTCCTCCTTTGGGTCAGGGGAGGGTGGGGTACTCATCTGAAGTTCCTGACATCCTGAATCGTGTGCTTGTATTAGGATGTCGTGTGAGTGGATTTCTTTTGTTTTTTCCCACCCCGCTGCATGGTTGGGATTGTGTGTTAGTGTGTGTGTGAGCGACTACAGCGTGAATGTATATCCACCAGTGGTTTTTGTTGGAAAAAGAGTAAAATTACAAGTGTGAATAACAGATTTACTTACCTACCAGTGATTGTTAAGTTACTACGATGCACAATTTTTCTTTTCTTTTTTTTTTTTCTTCGCTGCATAACGAGCCCTTAAGAGTGGCGCGAACGAGAACATCAGCATTAGCGAAGCCTTGGACCTTAACTTCTGTTCCTCGCCGTGACTTTTTCTTTATTTCTTTTCTTTTCCTGTCGAACATTCGTTTTCCTTTTCCTGCGCGCAGAACACATTTCCTCTCCCCCACATTTACATTTCAGAGGTGCTGTGAGCGCCGGCTTTAGTTGCGTTTGCGAGTGTAGCCGTTAGCCTCCGGAGCGCGTGGAGGCAGACGGAGCCCCGAGTATTAGCCACACCTGGCCGTGGGGGGGGTGCCAGTATTCAACGCTCTTTACCAAATAATTCAATCATACAAAAAAAAAAATCAGTTTACTCAATTCCACATGTCTTTGCTTAAACTATATAGGAGTGTATCTCGTCTGTATTCGTATCGTCTCGTTTGGCTAATTGTTATCGAGCTAATTCTTTTGTGTTGCTAACTTCAGTCGACGAAATTGAATAATTGAGGAGCCTTGGATTTTGCACTTGGGCAGATTGGAGGAAAAGGCGGAGTATGCGCGTGCAGGTGGTGTGTAGTCGTCGTGTCGTCCCCCCGTCCCCCCAAATCTTGTAGCTGATGACGGTTTAGGAGCGGAGCCTCCTCCTGCCTCCCTCGGCTCGGCACCAGGCCCAACTGTGAAACCACCGCACAAGAGAGGTCAACCCGGTTCGTCGGATGCGAGTGGACCGTCGCCATGGCGACTGTTGCCGTAGATGAGCTTGACTTGACACAAGGCTGAGGTTTTACGTTGGCTCGTTGCGACTCTGACAAAAGCGGTGCTGCCGGTTTTTCGTGTTTTTATTTGTGTGTTTTTTTTCAGGGACACAGGGTTGCACTCGCCCCTCTCTGGCTTACCCAGGATCAGCTCTCCCTCCCCAGCCCCGGAGCTTTAAAGGAGACGGAAGCCGGGGGGGGGGTGGCGGCTGGTGAACTTGAACTAGTCTTTTTCTGCTCGTTGAAATGGCTTAACACTTAATTCATTATGATTTTGGCAGCGCGTGTTTCTCAGCGCTGATCTGAGAAGCACATTTGTCCCTCTTCAGCATCCTTACTTTAACCATTAGAAGGACAAATGGCTGATCTCCAATCAGCTGCCCAGAACTCAGCACTGCTGTGCTGTTAGAGAAGGGACAAGCAACGCCTCTCCATATTGTTACTGTTTAGGTCCTCCAGCGTTACCTCACTGTCTTTCTGTCATCCAATCTGTCAGCTTCTGTGTGTGTGTGCGTGTGTGTGTGCGTGTGTGTGTGTGGGAAGATGTTTAAACCCATGGTTGTGCAGAAATTTTATGTGGAGAACTGTGTGAACTCATTATCATGCCAAATCGAGGAGGGGAGGGGTTTGAGGGAAGGAAAGGGATTGATTTTCTTTTGTTTTTTGGTTATTTTTAGTCATATGTGTGCATATATGTATTTAAAAAGCTGGACAATGTTAAATGCTTGAAGAAGAAAAAAAAATTGCAAAAGGATGATGTGAGGAAAACCACCAAGAGCAATGTACAATCCCCAGGGCTGCCAAGCAGCTTCCCCACAGGGCCAGAGAGGGGAGGAAGGAAAGGAGGAGGGAGGGAGGGAGGGAGGGGGGTAGGAGAGGAGGGAAGCTGGCTTGTGATACTCTACTACTTTTTAATATTTAAGACAAAATGTGACTCGTTGTGTTTCTCTTTAACTATCCTGTGAGTAAATGCTATATTATATCATAACACACACCCAACGGCTCTTACAGTCGATCAAAAGCGCTAAGGCTGTTTTTTTTGTTCTTGTTTTTTGTTTTTACTGAAAAAAAAAATGGAAAAAAGAAACAAAAAAAAGACCAAAAGAAAAAAAAAACATAACACAAAAACTGTGAGAATCTGCTGTTTTTGTCATTTTACATTTAGTATGACCACACAAACAAACCCTGAAAAGCTTTAGTCTAACCAGCACAAAGATGTGGGGGGGAGGGGTGGGGGGCTTTTCGGGGGGGGTTAGGGTTGGGGGGGGGGGTGGGGGGGGTTGCTCAGAGAGACTATGCAGTGGAGTGTTGAACCCAGGCTTCCATGTCCACCTTGGGTTTTATTTTTCCTTCTTTGAATAAACATGATTAAAAAAAATGTTTTAAATCCCTTCTTTTTTTTAGATTTTTTTTTAAATACAGCTGAGATGGGATTCCTGATAAAATTCCTCAAAACTTACTGTGCCATCTTTGAAACGTACTACTACTACTACTAAAAACCTGACAAACCTTTATTACCTAGCAGCCGTCGGGCCAGTTGTAGCAGGAGAGGACAGGTGAAGATTCGCAAAGTCCATTTCTTTATTTTCACAGCTCGTCTCTTTGTTACGCCGAGGGGAGCAAGGCCGGTGAAACTGCAAATTTTACACAACTACAATGTTTTTTATAGAGATTATATCAATCCAGTGTGTAGTTGAATCACCTGTAAACCTATTATGCACATTGCTTTGGGGAGACTGTTGAAACTATATATAATATATATGAGAATATAAACGTACAGTGTCTATAATCAGAGGGGACGTCTTCCTCTCAGACAAACAAAACAGGAAGTAACTTTTTATTTTCAAATGTCTTCCTTGGCTCGTCAAAGGATTTTATCTTAAAACTTCGGTGGAATCTGCACTTTTTGAAGGACAATCTTTATTTGTAAGGGTTAAAAAAAAAAAAAACTGAAAAATCGACAAAAACAAAGTCGCCTGACATTACATGGTGTAAAATAAAAACAACTCCAGTGTGCTCTAATAATGAATGTCTCCTCTGATGCTGTCTTATTTGTTTGGTTTCATTTAGTATTTTTCTCCTTTGTTGCTTGGTTTGTTCTGTAATTATTTTCCCTTATTTTTCTGAATTTTAGTGCTCTTAAGAGAATCTGTACTAAGGTGTAGAGTAGTAAGTAGTAGGTCTTCTGTTGGCTGTACTCGTATACTGATTACTGTTTGTAACCCTCTGGCTCCTGCAGCCAGCATACAAAGCTGTATAACATGGGTACAACCCTCAATAAAAAGACTAACAATGACAACAGTGCTCACTTCTGCCTTTTTAAATCAAATTATTTCTAGTTTGGATGGAGAGGGGCGAATCTGCTTTCATTCTGTGGGAGCAGTTTTTCCTCCGCATTGTTTAAGTCAAACTGAAGAATAGATGTTTGGAATTGCACAAAAAGGAAAGAGTCAAAGCTCTCAGTTCAGCTGCAAAACCTACACAGATTTCTGAGGCTGCATTGTCAGATTTCCACACAGAAAATGTACTATTCGTGGGACATTCATCATGAAAACATACAGCATGTGCCTTTTGTTGAATTTGTTTTCTTTATTCATGAGAAAGTCTACATCAGAACCACAGGCTGGGGCTGGAAGAAACATAACAATCACAGCTGTGTAATATGGTTTTAATCCAATTTTTAATCTCCAAGCTCCCAAAAACATGTTCAATTAAATACAGTCAAACACAAGACACAGCGGGTGACGCAGACGTCTTTGCAGTGGACAGAAGAGCTGATGAGGTTTGAGCGAGAAACGGTTCGGCGCCCATCCGCTTTACCAGAACTTCCTGTCTGTGGGGCGGGGGGGTTACCCACTGGAGGCAAAGATCATTTTATTCTTAAACAAAAACATACAAGTTCTGAGGAGCAAATGAAAAGTGGGATCTGACGCACCTGAATCTGGTGAACTATAGAAACAGGCTATTCATAAACGTCTTTCTTGTCTGCGATGTACTGTACAATCTCCTCTGGAGTCATCAACTTCTCTGCTTCTGCGTCAGGGATTTCAAAGCCTGCAACAGAAACGCACATCAGATCCAGAGCCCCGGCCTTCAGTGGGACGGTTCCATGCACCCAGTGGAGGGCCTACTGCCTCTTACCAAACTCGTCCTCCATGGCCATTATGATCTCCACCTGGTCCAAGCTGTCCAAACCCAAATCTTTCATGAAGTGGGAGGATGTCTGCAGCTGTGGGACACAAAGCGGGTAAATGAAAGCATTTCGTGTATAAATCGGGACTTGTGATCTGGCTCTGTACAGATGATGAATCGATAGATGAAACAAGAGCTATTAGAAGAATAAGTGCTGAATCTTTGCTGGCTGTTGATGTAAGAAGACTCTAGAGCATCGGCAATGGGAACCTGAAAATATCTCATCTGCTTTGTCAAATGAATTGACACCTTTCTGACAGGATTTCAACATCTTTCCATCAACTTCAGAGCTAAAAGTGAAGAGACTGACCAATTGTGAGTCAGCTGCAGACTATTCTCACCTTCTCTGGGTTGATCTTGTCGTAGAGCTTCAGAACGTACATGACGCGGTCTTTGATGGTTTCTAAGGTGAGGGGGGGCAAGTCTCCATACTGTCGGCACAGCACGCCCACAGAGGAGATCTAAGAGAGGTCAGAAGGAAAAAAAGGTTAATTCAACCCTTGCATTGACTCCTATTAAAATGCTAATAATCTGGTAAAACGCTTTATTCGAAAATACAAATTGTGTGTCTGCAGAGGTAAGGCGTGCACTGAGCACACCAGCCCACAAACTCGTGTCCAAAAGCCAGATGGGACACTTTTTTTTTTTACAAGCAATGATTATTCGTGATCAAAATGACTGTTTTGCTAATTATATAAATTTCTAACATAAATACGCAGAATCAAATGATGTTCTTATCCGGGACACTTTATTTATTGTAATTACCAAATGTTTCTTTACCTCTTTATCATTGGCGAAACTTTATGACCGTTACACCACTTGAATGTATTGCCATTATTAATAAATGCTAAATCTAGGCTGCTTGTAGAGCGATAATTCAAGCTTAGGCTTCAAAGTCTGTTATAAGAAAGTAATACAAGTACATTAACACAGACATGGCAATGAACTCACCTACTATGCTAACAAGCTAACTCTCAATGCTAACAAATTAGCTAGCTTGGTAAGACGCAAACATGGCTGTAGTGCGATCAAAATAAGCAGTCGCATCTTGTCATGGGTTTAGGGATGACTGTTACGCAAACAAATATCTATTCGAAGTCAAACACGTTGCTGCCCCGCACCGTGGACCCGTAACGGGCTGCATAAGCCCGACAAGTTTGAAAGACATCGGTAGGTCAAAGCTGCGAGCGGTAGGCCACGACTATCCAATGTTAGCGGGGACTCACCCGGCTCTGGCCGAGCCACCGCGTCCTCCGGCTGTCCGCGGCGAAGGAGACGGGTCGGAGGACGGTCGCCGCCGGGGCAGCGGCTGCTCTGACTGCGAGGTTGACGGAGGAACGCCTCAGCGAGGGCTGGGCGAGCAAGCGGACACACTGCTGCAGGACACGAGCCGCCATGACGGAGAGAACTTACTGGCGGATCACCAGCACGCAAAGGCGGAGAAGAAGAGTCGAGGTCAAGGGCTCAACACTGCGCATGCGCAAGACAAATTACGTTATTTCATTTAGCTTTTAGTAGTTATTTAATGTTTTTATCGTGTAATTCAATTTTGGAGCGTATTAAAAGACTATCGCTCAGTAAATACAACGTCTGCATGAAAATAAAGTTAGAAATAGGCAGTCACGTAAATATTGAACTCAGGGAAGACTAATCGATCACAGAAGAGTTTTGCGTTGATATGGTTAAAAAATTCCTCATAGTGGCAGAAACAGTTTGAAAAACAGTGGCAGCACTCGCGAGAGGCAGCATGATATATTCCTCCATTGTTTACCCACCCACTCACTTTTAATCTTCACTATGACACATGAACAACGACTTCTGAAATATAAAACTCCAAACTCACTTATGTTTGCTTTGGACATACCAACTTCACACAGAGAGCCACACAGCTTTTAAGGAGTCTTACTTAGACGATATTGGTATGAAGAGTGGAGTTAATTTGCATTGTCCGTGTTTATCAAGTTAACATTGAGAGAAGAAACTGCCAACTAATGTTCAGCAATTAATACAGTTTTCTGCTAGGGATTTGTTCTAAAATTCCACATATGCTGGTAAGCAAACAACAAATATATATATTTGTATTTCTCTCTCAGATCTTGGTCTGTATTTTGGTATTTTTTTCAGCTGTCACTTTTGCTCTTTCTCAATTCAGCCCTCCTGTTTAGCTGTTACATGTTTCATTTCAGCCTTTTACAGTGACTCAGCAAAGATTCTATCCTACTTTAAACCTTTCAGCTTTCCTCCTTTCACTTAAAGATTAGTTCTTGTCAAGTTTTATTGTAATTTTGCGCTAATCGTCCTGTTTTCTTCAGCATCTTCTGGTGACCTCATTCAGCAGGTCAGCTGTCTACATGTTGTTTGGTAATAATAGCTTCTTTAGTTATAGGAACATTATTTCCATTGTGTAATGATCACTACAGGAAAGAGCTATACGGTATAAAAAAAGTATAGAGTAATTGCATTTTTTGGAATGTAGTTCTTAGTTTCTTCAATGTTAAGTAAGTGGAGGAGCACTACTTAGTGATATACATGCGTGTGCGCGCGCTCCTTCTCTCCCAGATTTAATTGGTGATGACGCCATATCCGGACCTGCGCAGAAGGCAGGAAACGGCGTTTGCTGGCAGCGGAGCTTCGACACAGAATTGATGTCTTACCCCAATTATCGACTATTGCGTTTTTAAAAAATCATTTATCGACTTTCTCACCATGGAGCTGTCTGAAATACTGTACAACAAAGCGGAATATATTGAGACGGTAAAGTCCGTATTTACATTTGCTAATGTGGCTAGGTTTTCTGCTAACTGGTAGATGAGGCTGAAAAGGGCGTTGGATATCTCAAACAACCGCTGTTCTCGCTTTACATGGCCAAAAAAGAAGGAGCATTCAGTAACTTGCAATGTTGTTTTTATTTCAGGCCTCTGGAAACAAAGTGAGCAGACAGTCTGTACTGTGTGGGAGCCAAAACATCATTCTTAATGGCAAGGTAAGAGCAAAAACACACCTGAGAATCCGGGTACGGAGCTAAGTGTATTCTCGGTGTACAGCTGTTTGTGGTTTCTCCTTCAGACTATTGTCATGAACGACTGCATCATCAGGGGAGACCTGGCTAATGTCAGAGTGGGGAGACACTGTGTTGTGAAAAGCCGGAGTGTCATACGACCACCGTTCAAAAAGTTCAGCAAAGGGTAAAGTATCCCTCTCTTGAGAAAATAAAACCCACAACCTATAATCATACTGATCGTACTACCATGACTCCAACAAGGGGATTCATGTTTTGCCCTGTGTTTAATTTGACCACAGGTGACACAGCATACTAAAAAAAGAAAAAGCACAGTCCAAACCAAATGAACCTGTAACCATTGGCCACTGATTCCTGTTTCCACTTTCTCTTTGCCGCCTGTCAACTCGCTTTAACTCTCCAGAGTGGCCTTTTTCCCTCTCCACATCGGAGACCACGTCTTCATCGAGGAGGATTGTGTGGTGAACGCAGCGCAGATCGGTTCCTACGTCCACATCGGCAAGAACTGCGTCATAGTGAGTGAGATAAAAACAAACGCGTCTGCAAATGTAGAAGCATGACTGTGTCAGTGTTTGTGAGACTTGGAGAGAGGCGATACGGTCTCTAAAAGTGTTTGCTTGCCTTGAAGGAGTGGGGGGGTGTAATAGTCACATGGAAGTCACATTGAGACAAACTGAACAGTGGCTGTATCAAACTGCAGGCAGCGACCAGCAGAGAAATTTCTTTCACAAAGAAAAAAGGGAATTAAAAGGTTGAAAATGTTTGGATGGGTTTTACGATTAATTTCGCTGTTTGTGTGTCTGGGTCTGAGGCCATCGCAGGTCAGCTTAGCAAAGTATTTTGCGTTCAGACTGGCTAAAAATTGTGGGTCCTGAACCGCTGAACATGTTGAATGAGTTTTAACTCGGTGTGCAAATATCTGGAGGCATTTGTTTAAAATGGCGTTTTACACTTAAAATCTCTGTAAACTGGCTTCTGTCACCAATGTATTTGTCTTTGTATATTTTGATAGTTTGACCTGCTTTTATTACTGTAAAGCACTTTGGTCAGCTCTGGTTGTTGTAAAGTGCTATATAAATAAACATTGATTGATTGATTGATTTCATTTAACCGAAGTCCAATCGTATTGAATAAGTGGTTGACAGAAATCAACCTGGTTGAAGAAGGCTTTGCCTTTTTGACTCAAAGCAGGACAGAAGAATATATTGTTTGCTTAATTAGATACAAACATTCACACTTGTTACAGTCAGGTTATCCCAGAGCTAAAACTTTGTTTTGATCATCGCAGCTTTCTCCTGCTCCGCGACAATCACCAGAGGGAAATCTTGGAGTTGTTGAAGGATCCTGACTATTTTTGTGTGTATCACTTGCAGGGTCGACGGTGTGTGCTGAAGGACTGCTGCAAGATCTTAGACAACACCGTGCTCCCCCCTGAGACCGTGGTCCCTCCTTTCACCGTCTTCTCCGGATGTCCAGGTCAGCAGGACCAGCCGTACTAACGTCTCAGCTCTGTCCAGCCTGCCTCTGACTGGTTTTGTCTGCCACTCTCCATCAGGTTTGTTTTCAGGAGAGCTCCCAGAGTGTACGCAGGACCTGATGATTGACGTAACCAAGAACTACTACCAGAAGTTCCTGCCCCTCAGTCAGATCTGAGTCCCACTCCTGAATCCTCAACCAGGGCCTGTCCTCTGTCCAGCCAGTCACAGCCAGACCCCGGGGGCCTCAGGTTGGACAACAGTGGACTCTTAGAGCTATCCTTCATCCCTGGGCTTCACTATGCAGAGGAAAAACATCCCCTTTGAGGTTTAAATGATAAGAAACTGCACTTAAAATGGTCCACACTATCCAGAAATGCTACTCCATGTTTAAGTGCAGACACTTTAATATTTGCCATCCTGGCTAAGACGCCCTAAACTTGTTATTTATATAAGCACCCTGGTATTCCCTAGCAGTGTCATGGAAAATACTTTTTGATCTGTGACTTTCTGACAGCAGCTCTGTCTTGGAGCAGAGGAGGACAAGCGATGAAGGACGGGTTAACAAAGCTTAATGGCAATGGACCAAAACGGTAGCAGTGATTCTTTGTTTCCAGCACCTTCTACAGGAAAGATGTTGTCAAAGGATGTTTATTATTTGCTTTCTCCGCTACTGGGTACACATTTTAACACTTTGATTTCATTCAGTGTGATAACTGTTGGCATTTTACCGGAGAGCCCGTTTCATCATTCTTTTTATGAATGTGCAAAAATCACAGCAACACTTAGTGAAGCATTTAAATAAATTTAAATGTGTCTTTAAAAAGTACCATGTGTGTAGTGTGGGATTGTGTTATCACTGGGTGTAAAGTGACCTATAGGATTAGTGATACAAATCATTTTGTGACTTTTGTAGGTTTTTTATAGCAGTTTGATCAGGAGTGGTGATGCACAAAGTTGAAAGTACGCCCACACCGGTTGGAAAAAAGCAAAGATATTGCTAGTATTAAGTCTAACAGAAAAGATTTAATAGTATGTCGTTTTAGAGTTTGCATTTTTAACAACTAACTGAATGTTTTATTTACTACAAAATGAAGAAGGCAGTTTTATTTTCCTCAAGTCTTCTTATCAGTCAGCTTCTGGCGCCCTTGGTGGTGAACAGGAGTACTTCAGTCTGCATCACAGACTAAGGAGCAATGTTTGAACTTTTTTCATACCTAAACATTTGAATTTTTTAAAAATAATTTTCATGCCAGATGCATTTATATGGATAATACACACTTAACACTTTTCAAGATTTAAATTTCAGTTGTTCAGTCTAGACACTTACTTTAATCAGTAACTCAAAGTAGAAGAGCTGAAAAATTAAAGGTATGATGGGAAAAAAAACAATTAAAAGCCAAAACAGAAGTTTCCATTTTCCTCTTTTCTTTTTTTAATGAAACATAACCCGTCCAAGTCAAACTCAATTGTTTTATTTCTTTTACAATGTGGACCACATATCATACCAATAATTAAATGTTAAGTATATAGATTAGCCATTTATCCTTTTTTTTTCTTCAAACAAATAAGAAAGAGCTGATAATAATGTTGGCTCCAGAGACATGTGGCACGAGTCGGCCTTAAGGAACGATGTTGGCGACCGGCTCAGGGAAGAAAGGAAAAACGGTAAGTGCCACTTCTATCCTCTATTGTAACCATGCTACTCAGTGAATGGTGGAGGCGACCTCCCCTCCGATATTTAGCTTTCAAACGGAACAATCCATCCTGCTACCAACTTTGCCTTTAAAACGTAAAAACAAAACTATTTAAAATGTGTTTTTCCAATCGGAACACGCTTCCTACCATCCCTTTAATAGTCATGTTATAACAGAGCACAGAGATGTCACAGCTATGGTTTATTTTGTTTTGAATAGCTAAAACACCCAGTTCAATTTCAAATCTGCCACCAATGCCAAAGTGGAGTGTAAGACACACCAGAGAGCGCAGCATGGGAAAGAGGAACCATTTTAAAAGAATTCCTCTGACTGAACAACGTAGGCAGGTGATCGATCAGGATCTTAGGAGTGCTCTCTAAGTTCTGGGGACTAACGTTTTTACAAATAGACTATGCCAGCAGATGAAATCCAAGCTTTTCCAAATCAAAGTTCCCATTTCCACCTGTCTCATTAAGTTTGACTTGAGCCACATTAAGCTCCAGATGTAGAACTGCTCATTTGTTTAAACAATTCTCAGCTGGTTATTGTGTCGCCGAGGTGCCTAAAAGTGTACAAATATAAAAGGCAACTGATAAAGCAAATGAAATTGTGACCAAAGTGTAACAGAACTGCAGAAAACCCACTTTTTTTGCCTGAAAAGATGACGGTGAGGGAAGTTAATCGCATAAATCAGCTCTGATGGGTGCCACAGATAGAAAGAACTAAATCAAAATATCGATATCTGTGTCTCTTCCAAAAAACTCCTGTAGGAGGGAGGCTATCTATCATTTTAAGGAAACTAGCCTCACGGGCATTAGTCTTAACAGAGAAAAATCAGACTCGTCCACATAATAATGCACGCATCCCTTTCACATGAAGCAGATTATACTAACGCAGTGTCCAACACTCTAAGCCAGTGAAATGGCATCTTGTGTGCACTGCAGCGTGTTCGGTGGCCGTCACTGCCAGCTGTGCTGAAATAACATCCCAGATTTCCCATTCCTTTTAGAGCACCAATTAGTTTCCAATAAGTTAAATCACATGTCTGACAGCAAAAAGGAAACCAAGTCGACATTAGCAGACAAAACGTTTTCAAATGTGGTCGAATACCTTTGAAGAGTCGCTGGAATCAAGTGCTCTACTTGTTTTTTTTGTTTTTCTTTGTTTAAATCAAGCACCTAAACACAAGCGGACCGGCTTAGAGCTGGAGAGGCTACGAGTGGAAAACTATGGAAGAGTTAATTTATTTGCTTGAGTCAGAGGTGAAAGCTAAGTGCAAAAAATACTTATTGCAACTCATCAGAATCATCAAACGACCACATAAAAACAGCAGCTGCTTTCAGGAAAAGACGAGGGTAAAGGAGGGAGAGCATCACAGTCAGAAAGGGGCCGTCTGAGAAGCTGTGTACACACTTTGCCATTAAGCAGAACAAAAAAAAAAAAAAAAATAGCTGAGAAATTATGTAAATTAACTTGGCTTTCGTGGCTGCAAATACAGGCAGCTAAACTAAAATTTAACACTGATGGTTGAGGAATTGAAAGAAAAAAAAAAAAAGACAGAAAGAAGCTAAATTAAAAAGTGACCGCAGAAAAGCAAGCCACAGTCCAAGGTTGTGAGCAGAGAATATGATCTGAAAGTCCAAAAAACATGAACCGACTGCTATTAGAAGTTAGATAGCCAGAGATATGCAACTGGTAGCGAGTGGCAGACGAGGCCACACGTGTGCTGCCGGGCCGGTTAGTGCCACCGCTGACAGGCAGCATCCTTTAGGACGATGGAGTAACAGAAAACACGCGTGGGTCGTCCGATCGGGGGCGAGTCTGACAAAGGTAGGTCCAACATTTGGCGAGCAACCCAATCCACTGAGCGAAACGATTTGATCATGGCCCTCACTTCCTTATTAAGGTGGTGGGTGAGGAGGAGTGAGCTTTGGGAGGGAGAAGGGCACAAGCGTGTGGGGGGGAAAAAAAAGAAGAAAAAAAAATCAAGTGGCTTTTGCTTGTCGGGCAGCGCGGCCCGCTTCACTCGTTGAGAACTGCCGGTAGCCTAGAATCACTTCATTTCTTCATTGTCTCCTTTCCGGGGTGAGCACGGCACGAGGAATGTGTGATTTTTGTCCAAACTTCCCAGTCACACACTCACGCATATGCACACATCGTTCTGATTGTGGTTGAGTGATTTGTACTTAAGTGTTGGGAAAGGAGACAAGGAACAGAATTCACTGGGCAGAGCGACACGGCCGAGAGCCTTCAAGCCCTCGTTTTCAGCCCATGCATCCGGATGCCTGTCGGCACATCTGTACCACATCAGCCTTTCCGTCAGCCTTTCAAGTCTTGGACTTGGCATTGAAGGTCACCCCGCCCCCCCGCCACCCCACCCCTCACACATGGGCCGGTCAGATCATCCTGTTGCGTTTGTGCGTCGGGGAGTCTGTGATGACGTCACTGCACTGGGTGGAGTTCCGTTTCCTGGCCCCCGCCGTGGAGCCGGAGCCTGTGGAGTCCAGGTGCAGTGCCATCTCCTCTGAGATAAAAGTGTTCAGGTCCACATCCTGGAGCCCGTTGCGCCTGCTGCGGCACACCGGCCCGGAGCCCGAGGAGCCGCCTCCACTGCCGCCGCCGCCGCCGCCGGCGTTACTGCTGCTCCCGCTTACGTGTGTCGGAGAACCTGGAGCCCCAGAACGCACACTGATACTAGCCATGGCCCCACTCAGACCTGCCGAACGACGAGAGGAGCGACAAGAGACATCACTGAGCACATGTGGCAAAGGTAAGCTAAACACTTTTGGACATGTTGGACCTAAGAATTACTATTGAAAACGCTATTGATACATTAGAAGTAGTTTTTGCACTGTTAAAGGCTTCTGTACTAATTTTCTCATGAGGATTTGAATTCTTTCCATTCAGCATTGACACAAAAGGCGCACAAAACGAACATGGTTCTTCTTAAATGAGCCGGAAAAAAGAAAAAGAAAAAATCCCATTTGTGTGAGGGGGAATTGTCTGGTGATGAGGAAAGGACAGCAAGTCAAACGGGACCATAAACAGAACTTCAGCTTGGGACAAAGACTGGAGCTACACTGAAGACCAAAGTGTCCATAAGGTAAGAGCTTATATGATAAATAGCAGTGACAATATGGAGTAAGAAAACAAAGAAAAAAAAACAAATAGTCAACTTAGTCTCTCCATACAAACATTACTTGTGTAATACAAAATGTACCAACAGCCCAAGGTGTGCAACCCACTAGAACTAAGACTTGAATTTCTGTAAACATATCCATCAAAAACCTGACAACCCATCCTCAACCTCAGGTATAACCTTATCTGGCCTCTGAACCCTCAACATATGATACTGTATTTATTTACACTGAGAGTAAAAGGGGGAAAAACAGTGATTTAACAAAGGAATAAATGTGCACATATCTGCAAATCTAAAAAAAGAGAACAAAATAAACAGAAGTAGATAAAATGGCAAAGTTTCTAGTCACACAGAAAGGCTACATTGAGGCCCTCTTTCCCCATTGGCCCACACACAAGTAAACATACTTATCTTTATGCCACATGTTGTGGAGTAGGGTGACTACGCCACAAACATAAACATGCTGCATCTGTTCATCACAAACTAATACGCAGCCTAAAAGCAGCAAGCATTTACAATGACCATGTATGCAGAACAAGTAGTTTGTCACTATGACATTTACAATCTCAGCATACATAACATTATATATGTGGACCTGGAATTTCTTTATTGCATGTCCATATTAATCAAAGGTTCTCTCCTACTCCTATTGCCAGCTGCATTGTGTCGCATCGCGGACGGATAAATCACTCCGGGGCCGGCCGACTTAACCTTCCTTACCATGCAGTGCTATGGCCTCCCTGAAGGGTTGGAGGTCTGCTTCCACAGATGAGCCAGTCTCGGCTGGCGAGTTCGCCCGGCTGGGGGCCACCATGGCCAGGCGGGAGCTGGTCCTGCTGCTTCTGTGTGGTGGTGCTTTACCACAAAGGAAGCTGATGAGGTCCTCCCTGCGGATGGTTCTCCTGCGTTTTTTCACCCAGGCCAACATGTCCTGCAATCAATTGGGAGATCCAGCCGCTAGATGGCAATTGTGTCGTTTTATGAAATGAGGCTCACTATTTGGCACCTGTCATCAGCTCGGTGAAGAAAACCAAAGTAAGTAAAGAAACGTACCTTATTACGCCGCTGGTGGCCTATCTGGACACCTCGCTCAAAACTTCTCTGATGGGCCTCTGCACTCTCTGAGAGGAGGAAGGACGGCAGTAAAATAATGATCGCAGTTTGCTTTAATGTTTTCCAAAGATCTTTGACAGCATGTGTCATAGGAATTATAATAGCAAACCATGCAGAAAGTATAACACTTGAACATTTGTGTGTCCTTCCAACTTGCAGAATTTAAATAGTTGGCACATTTATCCGCCTCCTTGACACCAATTGGTTAGTTCAACCAAACCACATAAAAATGTTACTCTGACCAAATAGCTTTATAGGGAGTCTCTCGAGACTGTTGACAATACTTCTGTTTGGGGTCTTGATCCCTCTACAAATATTTGTAAAAGTTTTACAAATATTTGTTAAGTTTTCATTTCCCAATAAAAGGTGCTATCTTTTTAAAGAAACTGTAATGGTGGATGCTACGACTGCGTCATCTCTGCTTTAATAATCTCAACCGTTTGACTATAGGGTAACAGTATGGTCATTACATTTTTATTTACAGGTGGAATTACTTCCAGCAGGGTTAAACTAAAACACCTGTTAACTGCCCATGCATAGCTGGAACTGAAACTCGGTTCAACTGTGCGTGTAAACCTGCTGGACAAAACACACACGGCTAAACTGGGCATAGTCCCATTTAGCTTACTAAAAAGAAAAATCACCTTTTAAGCTTTCAAAACCTTTTCTTTCAGGGACTAAAACCTTTCAGAATTGATCAATGTGAAGTTGCCATGAGTGATAATGACCGGAGCTGTTTACGACTGGATGTCCCTCTCCATAAAAACATGTCCAACATTCACGCATCCAGTGTTTACATAGCTGATACACAGCTTTTACGTTTTTGAGGGTGATGGATCAACATAGCCCAGGCACAGAGGGTAGTGGTGGTGTGTATAGTTACCTTTGTAAAGGTTAGTGACTGCTGTAGCAGCATTCTGAAATGGCACCCATAAGGACAGACCCTGCTGATGGCATACCCTATCTGTTACAGAGAAGGGAAGGAGAAATGTGTTCAGGCATTACATAATGCTGCAATCTTCGGCCAAACACCTTAATGATAAGGAAACTATTGTGATCAAAGGACAGCAAAGGAACTGAAGTAGAGTTAATTTTGTAACGCCATTTTGTCTCCCATCTACAATTGCAAAGATGGGGGTTTGGCATAAAAATAGCTGTCTGCATGCGCTAGATAGCCAGCTTGGCAGACTGTTTACTAAGAAAGCACACAACTTAACTGCTCTCTCAGCAGTAAAGTTGTGCACGGAAATGTAAGAACTAAATAACCGAGCGATAAAGAAGCCAAACTTTATTTGTTTAAACGATGATAGAACAGGTCCGAAGACTAAAGGAGACGGTGGAAACAGCAGTAATTCTACAACGAACCAAAATTATCCTCGCCATTTTGTGATTATAACCCTTGCTAAAAACCCACTTCTTACTCAGCATATAGCCCGGCGTTTATAAGCAGCTGTGTACATGTGTCCAGCTTAAAATTAGGACACTTCGACAGCTAGTTGCTACTTGTACAGCAAATGTCCACACTGACAAAATACAGGAGCCTATCAGCTGGGAATGTCGCGTAGATACGATTGTTGTTACTATCGCCATTTTGTAACTAGCCTAGCTAACGTTAGGTTAGCCAGAGTCCAACTTACAGTGGACACTTTTGTTGGCAAGCAATAGCTATTGCAAGTAACGTATCCATGGCCATTAGCCTAACCTTTCTGATCAGTCGTCAGATTTTGAGTGAAACGTCGTGTGTTAGTTTAGTCTTCCATTTTTATCTGCGGTTAGCATTGCAGGGAGAAAAAGTCACCTGTAAACGCTATATCCCCGGCACCGGCGGCTGTTAACTTGGCTAATAAGCTAGGTAGCATTCACCCCACACTGATGCTAACGTAAATTCACAGTAACTATATAAGTCGGTATACGATGACAAAGTATGTTGGTACACAAACAAGCAAATACAGAGAGTAGCTTTCAACCTTTGTATAATTGTGCCACTGCAGTGGCGGAGTTCTGGAAGAGATGCCACAGTTTGTCCTGATCATTGTCGGCCTCTTCCTCGCTCAGCTCTCTCTGCTCCGCTTCGGCCAAACACTGCCGCTCCCATTTTGAGAACCAGTGCTCGGGTCCGTGTTCCTGTATCTCCGAGTCTCCGTCTTCCTTCTTCTCCTCCATTTAATGCCCCAAAACTCGAGGGGAAAATGCTTTTAATCTTTTTAATGAAAATATGTGGACGCTGTTTGAATAATTATTAGAGAAAAGTCATGAATACTGCTAGAAATGTTTCTATTTTTTTCTATAGTGCTGTGGACAAACCTATCCGCGCCATCTGAGAAGATAGCCTAACTATTTTTCCTAGATGCCGACGACGGGATATATACAAGTCAGACTATCCTGTTATGTACTGTATCCCACCCCTTATTCCAGATCTCAATGACAATTTGCTACAATCGATTTGGGGATGGGCCTCAGGTTTCATTCTAAATTACAATTGGTTCTTCAATACGTCCATCGAAACGTCAACACCCTCTGAGAGTTTTCACATGACAGCTGCGTTGAACGAATTTAGTTGCGTCCTATATATTATATTATATTATGTTATATTATATTATATTATATTATATTATATTATATTATATTATATTATGTTATGTTATGTTATGTTATGTTATGTTATGTTATGTTATGTTATGTTATTTGCTCTTATCTATTTTCGTCCATTTGAAATTATTTTGGTATGTAAAGGTATTGTAAAAAGCGTTAAATCACCATATTTTCAAATCAATTTGTGAAAAGCATCAAATACAAGAGGACACACCAAGCTAGCAGGGTTGTCTGTTCATTTAGAATATACACTTGATCTTGTTAAAGGTTTCAGCAAGAAGTACTCCTTCAAAGACATGGTTCATCCATGATGGGTTGCTGGTCCATCACACAGTCAACACGTACTTATTAGACCGATAGAGACCAAAATGAAGCTATGGCACCTGGAGAGATCCAAAGAGAAGAGAATGTAAATCACTCTCAGAGAGACAACAAGCCCGTGTGCAACCTGGTCAAATAGAAAAAAGTCTATCATTTTGGAAATCATGAACAATTTACCCTCTGGGGCAAAGAAGAGAGGGACCATGTGGGAATTTATCAGTGTAGAGTATGAAGGCCAGCATCTGCAGTGCATGGACAACTCTTCAGCTGAGATGGAAACATTAATTCTGAATGATAAACTTTGGTTCTGGAAAAAAACACAATACCATGCTAATGGTGTCTATGTTAGGGATGGCTTTGGGTAAAAATATGCAAATCTGCTTTCTATGTCCATTACAATTATAGTTTTGTATCACAGTCTGTCTGTCTGACAACTTGGCCTGCTTGCTGTCCAGACTCATCTCCAAGTTGAAACAATTGGCTCGTCTTTCATTCCCTCCCCTGAAACATTACACTTTGTAAAAGCCTATGGAATGTAGGCTTTCACAAGAATATTTCTGACCTTATTCAGCATCCCTCTTATTCTATAGTAGTTTTTAACATGATTTGCACAGTCATTGTTACAACCATACGATAAAAAATATGACCAAGGAAGCTCCACAGCTTCAAAATGAAAAAGGTGAATTGCGAAACCACAGCAATTCCTCGGATCTTAAATTGTTTGTGGCAGTTAAGAAAAAGTGATGCAACACAGAGTTAAACGTGCCCCAGTCACAAAACGAGCAATTTACAGATGAAATAATGTTTAAAAAAAGGTAAAGTTGCAGTAGTTGCAGGTAAAGTTTTGACTGTTTTAAACTGAGGTTTTAACAGATCATTTTTATGTTTTTATGTGATTTCTGTTTTTCTGGAGGATGAATTGAAGGCTATGTCACTATGTAATTATAGCCCCATCCATCCACCCATTTTCTGAACCATCCATCCATCCATTATCAATACCGCTTATTCCCTGATGGGGTCGCGGGGGGAACTGGAGCCTATCCCAGTGGTCAACAGGGTACACCTGGGACAGTAAGTTATAGTTATACAAACATTAGTGTTTTCTACATTCATACGCCTCACAAAGCTTTTTAATGTGGTGTGTCACATTCCAAACAACACACTGGCAAACTATGGTCTTTGATATCATGCTGTTCTAGTAGGTTTTCGTTTTTTATTAGTTTATTCAAAAGTAATTTGGAGGAATTTGATCTTTCAAAACAGTGGAAAAAGGAGAAAAAAACTGATGTATGAATAATAACACCAATGGAAAAGGGTCTTATGGTGTGTTTAATCCCCCTCAGAGCCTGGACCTCAGCACCGCAGAAGCTGTGTGGAACCATCTCGACAAGACAATGCAACAAAAGGCAGTGAATGTCCAAAGAAGATCTTAGGGTTGGCTTTAAAGAAGCCTGAATATGATTTTGTGAAATTGTCAAAAAGCTTAGAGGATGTAGACTGTGCTGAATAGCAAATAAAATCCCATCAAAAATTGATTTTCAAAGTCATTAGAATACAATCAACCCCTTTTCTTTACTTGCATTTATTGTCCATTTCGATGATTGTCTGTACATATTTGAAGAAATCACTGCAAGTATTTCCTGTTTTCCTTGCAGAAACCAAAGCAAGCATTTTATCAGGAATTTTGCAGATCACTATGTATTAATGGATTCATTTTAGAAAAAGTAGCTACTACAACGGCAGTGAGGCGTGAAAAGGGTGAATTGTATGATCAAGCTCTCTATGCTAGTGTTAAAAAATGTTTTTGTCCACTAGATGGTACCATTTCATCAAAGTCTGAAGACTTCTGTCTTAGACTGTAATATTGCTTTTATGTATATATATATATATATATATATATATATATATATAAAAGCAGTGTTACAATAAAAACTGGTGCAAACATAGCAAAAGAGAATAGAGCAAAACATGTTATTATTGTGTCATGTAATGCAATCCAAACCTGTAATTTTTGTCCCGTTTTCAGCAAATTGCCCAATTTTATTCAACTTTGAGAAACACATTGTTTTTCACACAACCGGTGAAAGTTGGTCGCTTTGGATTTTTGTGGACAGAAATAAGAATTACAATAGGCCAACAAAACTTAAGTTAAAAAAAAAACGAAATAAAGGTAAAAAAACCTTTATATCGTTTGCAATTAAGTTTGTCCTTACAGTCCTGTCTAATCAAGCAAAAAACTGTCATTGGGGCTAATCATACATCCACAGTAAAAATATGCAAATCGCCACATTGTGATTCCAATAAGTAGCCATTCGTGTCATCATTGTTTTTTTTTTACTTATATTTGATTTTGCCTTTCTTTGATGCAGATGCCTGATCCATGTATTTTATCATGGATGTGAACCTGGCCGGGGATGGGCCCGTGTTTGGATCTCCATGCGGATGTGACATTTCAGAGAAGAGCGCGACCGCCATTTTGAGATTTACCTCAGATTCAACACATCACAAACCACGGGAGGAGCGGGTTGTGAGCTGCACAGCCCAGACCAGTGTAGTACGCCCGGGCACATTCCTCATACGAAACGACAGGTTAGTTAAAAATGCGACGAGGTTCCGCGTTTTGTTCTTTATTGTGTTAGGGGCGGTTTGGGGGAATTGTTTTAAGTCGGGCCGTTGAAGCTCTTGTCTCCGCGAACTTCCAAATTAACGTTAACATAAGTGGAAACTGGTTTGAATGGATAGCATTTTCCTCCGCTCTCCCCCAGACGAGGGACAATCGGAGGAGCACACGGACTGGGGATATCGCAGGCAAAGTTGTTGAATGTGTCCATAGCAAATGACCCTTTGTTTTCGTTGTTGCACCTTTATCTCAATTTGGCTGCCAAGTGTCAGGTAGCTTAACGCTAGCAAGAAACGGGGTATTTGTTTCACGGAGTGCAAGTCGTGCTGCGAGTTCCCTCATTGCCCCTCATTTCCCGGGGTAAAACCTGAGTGATTTAGTTCATTTCAGCGGGCCTCCGTCCTCGGAGCCCAAGTGCATCAACCTAAACCCCCAACGTCAACCAGCGATTCGCACCCACCAAAGGCGCCGAGATTGGGCGAATAGCGAGCAAATACGTCCGCGTTTCTCTACCCGCTCCCCCGCCGACCTCCCCTCCTCTCTCCCCGGCGCTGACAGCGGACAAGGCCGAGGTCGTAACAGAGCAGGCCCGGCCGCCAAGGCTCGACCTGTCCACCCCACCTCCGCATCCCACCGCACCTCACCAGCAGTCCAGAACCCGGTTCCCCACCGAGCCGACACTGGACAAGGTCGAGGGCAACAGAGATAGCAGGGAGCAGCGCATCACAACCACAGCAGCTGCAGTCATGAACCACCACCACACGCAGCAGCAGCAGCAGCAGCAACCGAAAGCCGGCGAGCAGCAGCTCAGTGAACCGGAGGACATGGAGATGGAAGGTAAGCAACGGCCCCAAGAAGGGTGACTAGGCTGTTTTACGACGTGTGTGATTTAATTGTCCGGCTGCACGATGAATGCACGGAGTTTTATTTGTGCGTGCTTAGCTCAGCATTACAGTAAACAACAAGGCCTGAAGCTGGCCGGGGTAGCCGGTTGCTTTTTTGCTGATTGTGCGTCCGTTGCAGTATACTTGTGCGGAGCTGACCTCATTTCGCGTTTTAAGCCAACGGTGCTTTACTTCTTTTAATATGTTTGCAAGTAGCAGTCGGTTGCAAATAAGCTTTGGTCATCCAGATTATTGGAGATCAGCTACATAAATCATTCATTCTGATCGTATACTTCATTTCTAAATAAATCGTTCTACTTTCCTCTCTTTCCCTGCTGTGACAAGTTTTCCGATGTAGTTTGTCAACTCATCGTCATTTAGAATCAAAACAGAGTAATTTAATTCCAGGCCTGCTGACGGTTAATAACCTGGTTACTTGTAAACAATGTAGTTAGACTTGTAGTTCACATGGATTCAATACAAGGTATATTAATCCTGCTACCTTTCTTGTATGGTTGCGGTAGAATTTGACAGTTATTGCTACCAGTCTACCGTCACCAGCTAAACTTTGGGGATGTTGAAGTGGATATGGTTCATGATTCTAAACATTAACGTTAGAACTTGGCCGTTAATAACGGTTAGACATGTAACATTGCGCTAGCCTGAAAATATGGTGGGTTAGCATCGTGTTGGAAGGGGTTTTATCTAAATGCGGCTCTGCAATCTAGCATTCAGAGTTCCAGTCTGTCAGCTGGGCCTGTCTTAAGTAAATTATCTAGATTAATATTTTCTTTAAAATATTTGGAGTTCCTATGGTTTTTTGTTCTCTCTATTTAGCCATTAAGCTTGTAAAAGGCTCTAAACTCTGCTAGCGTAACGGCTAGTTATGAGCTACTAAATTAGCTCAAAGGCCCGCTTCGCTCCGGTTATCCTCTGGCTAGCATGCTAGTTAGCTCAATGCTTTTGCTCTCGGAGGGGGTGTGTGGCGTTTCAAAATGGTGGATTGTATTTTGTATAGTTCGATTTAGGCTAGAGTGCGAAGGCCTTGCTCTTTATCCCAATGTGGATTTTTCATCAGTAGAATTTAAAAGTCAGCCACACAATGCACCGAACAGTGATAATTTTATCCTTGCATTTATTTAAGCTTGGTATCTGCCACGACTGATCCCAGCCATTAACGCCTGCGGATGAATTTGTAAGCTAATGTTTGCTAAGTAGCTAACGGGAACGCAGATGCGTCAATCCCGGGTTGCCTTTTAATGGCCCACGGTGTAACACGTTAAGCCTTTGACGTTGATAAATTATGACACTTGGAAATGTCCAACCTACATTGTTATGTCGGCAAGCACTGTCACTATTTGTGTTAAAATCCGACGGTGTGATAAACGAAACGTGTGGCAGTGCTGGCAAGTGACGGTAGTTGGTGCTGCAGTGAGCCAGGCCCGCAAAGAGCAGCGCGGGGATTTGCTGCTTCATTGTATGGAGGACCAAAAGGCATGGAGCTCGCCATTTTTAATGATCTGTGTTTTTGTTAGTTCGATTAGGGGGCTAGTGACGGCCCATGTCGCGCGTGACATCAGTTTTATGTTTAAAACAGGCATTCAAGATATACTTTGATCAATTTTCTACTGATATCAACTCTGGACTCAGTAAGGCTGCAGGGAGCACGCAGCTTCACTGCGTCATTCAGGCACGGTGATTTTTATTATATTTTCTAACCCACATTAATTTTGGGTTCTTCAACAATACACACAACATGGACTTTTTAACAAACTCTAAATGCATAACAAATACAGAAAATGTCTGATTAGCATATGCACTGATGATTATTTTCCATGTTTATCTGATTGGTAGCCGGTACATTTAGCAGGTTTTCTCCCAAATCGCAGCTCGGGGTTCTCCTTCAGTGAACCAAAGCCATACATGGACAGTTAAGAGGAGCTGTCATATTGAACTGCTCACTTTCTTCTTACTGCTTATAACAACAAATACATAGTAAGTTTCCGTCATGATAAAAGGTTCCACATAGTTGCTGTTTGTTCTAACCATCTGATGTTCTTTATATAGTTATACTCTTCAGACGGTGTAAAGATGATTTTCAAGGTGTTTTGTGGCAGAACATGGTAACATAGTAAGAAAAACATGGTGTCATGGATAGTTTAAATGCTAATGATGTAGTAGTTTTGGGATGGTTCAAATGTCCCACTTTCAAGCCCGAGATTGTTAACATTGAACGAAGTTTAAGGATGATTAAAACGTTTAGATGTGGATAAATGTGCATATTAATGTAATAGTCCAGTCATTAAGCATGTTGACATTACCCCCAGCCCAAACGATTAGTTTCTGTGAGTATAGGATCATATCCTATTCCTTTGCGTTTCTTTTGGCTACACGTACACTGGACGCAACTTAGTTTTATTTCCGTGGACATTTACTTGTTTCTCCATGTAACAATGCTGAGATATGTTATCGTGGTTCTTTCTACTAAAATAGATAACTTCCAAGTAATTGATTCCATTAGAAGCCTTTTCATTTTACCCTAACAGCTAAGGTAATGAAGATCTATGTTTCTGTTAATCCCGCATCTCAGTGTGATACCTGCATCAAGCGCATCTCTTTCCATTTTCAGTGCTGGAACAATGAGCATGTACATCTCAGAAATTAAAAGATACGCCAACACAGTGAGCGTAACACGGTTGTCATACAGTTGACTGACAGACCCCATTAGAGGGGTGTAATCCCCTTGGCAAAACCAGGTCAGTCTGAAGGAATTGCAGCATTACCTGAAGACGAGCGCCCTCAGCTCCCAGTGCTGTCTGTAAGCCTGCAGCCCAAGCAGGAGCACAGATGTACAGAAAACTCTGAGATAAGGTGCACGAGCAGCACACCGCTGGAGTTTCATGGTTGTTTATATCTTTGCTTTGTAGCGTCGGTATTAGCCTCCCAGAATCCCTGCAGATTTCTCTAACCCTTTGAAGCCAAACCCCCCCCCCTGTCATTTAAAATGTTTCTGTATATTGAACCATGTCTTTGCAGGGATGACTATTGTCGTTTGTGTTTGTTTTAAGTGATGACTTGATGACTTGCAGCCTAATCCTACATTATATTCATAATGATAAAGCCTACTGTGGAGCTGCACGCGCACACCAACACACTCTCTGCGGCCCTGCTCTGTCTGCACACAGAAGAGAGGAGACCAGTTTCCCCACTGGGCACAGAAAAGGGAAAAGCTTTAAACTGATGAATTAAAACCACTAGAAAATGCAAGCACAGAAAAGCCTCTACTGTGCTGTCCATAAACTCTCCTCTGCATATGTTATTTTGATATAGTTTCCGCTCTCTGTCTAGCTGGAGACACAGATGACCCTCCAAGAATCCCAGCCAACCCCGTGATCAATGGTAATGTGGCCATGGCTGATGGGCACAACAATACAGAGGAAGACATGGAGGATGGTAAGGGATGCACACTCAAGCAAACACTTTGTCAAATGGCATTTTGAAAGTTCTAAGGTATATTCCAGTGTAGTTTTGGCTCAAGAGATGTGTGCTGCCTTTTTCAGTTAGTCTACATTTAGGATTTGTTGTTTTTTTAGAGTTCTGCCTGGATTAAAGCAATTTCAAGCTTTGTGTCAGCGCAGCCTTATAAGAGCCATGTTAGCAGAAAGTTCCCAGCTACAGGCCATGCATAAGCACGATTAAAACATCCACAGTGTCGGTTAACATGTCTCATGAGGTTGGCTCAGAGTGTTAATGGTAAAACACAGTGTTTGCCTTTTTGAGCATATCCAGTTAGTATGCTAGAGCTAATGACAACAGCTGTGCACCGCTGGACTGTTCTCTCCTTTTCATTATTGAGAGGCGTCTGTGTTGTGGGTTGCACCTAACCTTGTAAGCTTGTCCCTTAAGACTACATATAAAGACCTAACAGGCAAAGTGTTCACACTTTGAACTGTTTTTGTTCAAGTTTGCTCCTTTATTTTTCCACAGACACCAGCTGGCGATCAGAGGCAACATTCCGGTTTGTGGTGGAACGCTTCAGTCGGCTGAGTGAATCTGTGCTCAGCCCGTCCTGCTTTGTGCGGAATCTCCCCTGGAAGATAATGGTGATGCCACGCTTCTATCCGGACCGGCCTCATCAGAAGAGCGTGGGCTTCTTCCTGCAGTGTAACGCAGAGTCAGAATCCACGTAAGTGTCCCTGGGGGAATGGGGGGGGTGCATAATTTACGCTTGCAGCTTTCATAAATTGCATTCACTGTTGGCTCTGCCACCCTTTATGCTGCTTCAAATGGCACATTTTATCTTTTTTTTTTTCTAATGTGAGGTGAGTCATTTTTTGCTGTTCTGGCTTTATCGGTTGCACACACAGGAGCCCACAAGGATCACTTTTGAAGCTTGGCTAATAATAAACCCATTGCATTTTAGCAGTTTGTCAGTTGAGAGCTTTTACTGCGCAGCAGCAGGAAATGTTCATCAGTAACTTTGCCTAAAAAAAATTCTACAGACAGGCACACATCAAGTGGCTGTTTATATTTGGTGTGCACACTGAACACACGATGTGATCAGTTTTTTAAAAAAGTCTTTAAAAAAGAGCACGGAGCGAAAAACGGATACACTGGCTGCAGCTGAAATGCTGAAGTGTGACCTGCTTGTATTTAGGAATAATGAAAACATCATTTAAATTTTTTTTTTTTTTAAACTTTCAGGTCATGGTCATGTCACGCACAGGCCATGCTGAAGATCATAAATTACAAAGATGACGAGAAGTCATTCAGCCGCAGGATCAGCCATTTGTTCTTCCACAAAGAGAATGATTGGGGCTTCTCCAACTTCATGTCATGGAGCGTGAGTATAAGAGCTGGACTAGTTTATTTTATTAGCTAAACAACTAGTTTTTTATTGTGCACACAGGAGCCACTGATATGAACGGCTGTGCTTTCGGTTGGTTTCAGGATGTGACAGATCCAGAGAGGGGCTTCATTGATGATGACAAAGTCACATTTGAGGTCTACGTCCAGGCAGATGCCCCACATGGAGTAGCGTAAGTTGTCTCTTCTATGAGAGCTCGTTTTGTACTGTTAAAGTCAACAAGTTTAAAACTCAAACATGGTTGCTTTCCCTTTAATCAGCTGGGACTCAAAGAAACACACTGGCTACGTTGGACTAAAGAACCAGGGTGCAACCTGCTACATGAACAGCCTGCTACAAACCCTCTTCTTCACCAACCAGCTACGGCGGGTATGAGTTTAGATTTCTGTACTGCATGTTCACTCGTATCAGCCGCCATTTAATGAGGGCAAAGTTTCTTTCTTTGCGTCATTATAACTGATCTTACAGCACCTCTTCATAGCTCAAAATTCGTGTGTAAATCTCCTCTTAGGCGGTGTACATGATGCCTACAGAAGGAGATGACTCGTCTAAGAGCGTTCCGCTGGCACTGCAGAGGGTTTTCTATGAACTGCAACACAGCGACAAACCAGTCGGCACCAAGAAACTCACAAAGTCTTTTGGGTACACTTATGTTTTTTATATTTTGATTGGCTTTTTTTCTTCTATATAAACTGATCAGATAATTGTGTCGAATAGGTTTCAATTGTTTTTATGTTTTAATGAAAAGTAAAACAAGTTTTTAGGAAAGTGACTCTTTTATTTTACACTGAAATGTCTGTGTGTGTGTATTTCTTCTGTAAAGATGGGAAACACTAGATAGCTTCATGCAGCACGATGTACAGGAGCTGTGCAGAGTGGTGAGTCTCCTTGCAGGCATATCCAGGCATTGTATGCACACACAACATGAGTCCGAACTTACATGCTGCATGCACGTGTGTTTTAGCTCCTGGACAACGTGGAGAACAAAATGAAAGGCACTTGTGTCGAGGGAACCATCCCCAAATTATTCAGAGGAAAGATGGTGGTATGTTTTCTCAGTCTTTTTTCCTTATTCGTTTGTTTTGTTTATTATTTTTGCATAAAATATCCCTGAACGCAGGTGATTTTTTTTTTTTTTTTGTACAGTATTATTATGTGACCTATGTTAGATTCTGTAAACACATTGAAAGTGGTACAGGATGTAGTCAGATTAATAATAGAAGCAGTTTAAATCAGAACATGACCCTGTGAGAAATATTATTTTTAACTCTTGTATCAAACAGGCCTGACCCCTCTGTGTGTGTGTGCGCTTGTGTGTGTGTGTGTATGCTTTTCTTTGCTACTATCTAGTCGTACATCCAGTGTAAGCATGTGGACTACCGGTCAGAGCGGATAGAGGACTACTATGACATTCAGCTTAGCATAAAAGGAAAGAAGAACAGTAAGTAGTAACACAACTTGAAGGAGGCCTTTTCACAGTAAAATCTGCCAATTTGTGTTTCTTTACACTGTCCTCATCTCACATTTCCCTTGCTTGTTTTCAGTCTTTGAGTCATTCAAAGATTACGTTGCAACTGAACAGCTGGATGGAGACAATAAATACGACGCAGGAGAGCATGGCCTTCAGGTGAGTGTTCCTGATCCAAACATGGAGGATCAAATTAATATCCATGCCACTGTGATTTGCTAGCTTGAAAAATAGTCAAAAGCCTGTAATGTATTGTAATGTAAGGGATTGTAATGTAAGGGACTGTAATGTATTTGTTTTCACCACAGGAAGCAGAAAAAGGAGTGAAGTTCCTAACCTTCCCTCCAATCCTTCATCTGCAGCTGATGAGGTTTATGTACGACCCACAAACTGACCAGAACATCAAGATTAATGACAGGTGGGGGAAAAAACAACACTCTGTCACAGCGGTTTGGTTTGCTTTACTCCCATATCAACTCCTGTTTAAAGGAGTAATGCGCTTGTGGCTGTGAGTTTAGAGAGCATCTGCTCTATTAACATAGGCCAGAGGTAAAGCATGATTCTAAAATGGAACTGGAGAAGTGGAAAGCACAGGCTGACTGGCTGCACTGCCATGCTGAGAGAGGATGTCACGCAGCCTGTGTTCTTTGAAAAGCTTTTTGGAGCTAATGGTGCATTAACAGTCCAAAAGAATACTTTCACGTCCAGGGAAGATCATTTTCATCTTTTCCCTTCTGAGTCAGCCTCACTGTGCGGCCAAGGGCACCTGCTCTGTATACGTATACACTCAGATGCATGTCAAGTGTGTGGGGGTGGAGTGACGCCTCAAAAGAAACCTGCCTGAATTTTAACTTTCTTCATTTACCATCTAATATTTGATCTTATTCTGCTGTCACAAATGACCTACACATCTTCTTTCTTTGTGTCCATTCTACCAACCCTCCAACAGGTTTGAGTTCCCAGATCAATTACCTCTGGACGAGTTCCTTCAGAAGCCCGACTCTAAGGACCCAGCCAACTACATCCTCCACGCGGTGTTGGTACACAGCGGGGACAACCACGGCGGTCACTACGTCGTCTATCTTAACCCCAAAGGAGACGGCAAAGTGAGTGTCAAGGAACCAATAGTGAGAACAATTTTCTTTATGCACCTTTCACCAGAAATTCAGTGAGCATGGGGGTTGTGATTGAGGTAGTTGGCATGAATCAGCTTTTGCTAGTGATGAACTGTCGGATTATAATCTGTGTATTTGTAACCGTGTCTAATAAAATGCTGTCAGGAAATGATCTCATACTCTGTTTTTATCCCATTTTTAAACTTGACATAGTCGTTTCAGGTATTCGTAATGACGAGGGAGTGTGGCATTTTGTGGTTGCTTGGTCGTGTGTTCCTTTTTTAAAAACAAGAATACTTGACATAAATGGTTGTCTTAAGTAGCTTCTTGGTTTTCTCTTGTCCCCCCTCCCCCCCGTGTTTTCCCTTGGCTCCACGCAGTGGTGTAAATTTGATGATGACGTCGTGTCACGGTGCACCAAAGAGGAGGCCATAGAACACAACTATGGCGGACACGACGATGATCTGTCAGTCCGCCACTGCACCAACGCGTACATGTTGGTCTACATCCGCGAGTCCAAGCTCAGTGAGTAGCACCCCCCTTTTCCACTTTTCTGACAGTGAGCAAAGTCATGTCAGGCCTGAACCATCCTAACCCATATCCCATGACATTAAGTGTATAATTTAGTTTTGACCACTTTTTTTTGACCACCTTTCTGTTTGGCATCACATTGGGAACTTTTCTCTTTTCTCTCCGACTTTTTCTCAGTGGGCGAAAACTCACAGAAACAATATTCAATATGAGCAGGAAAAAATTTGGTACACCAATAGGATAGAGTGGGCTATGTTCTGTTTTTATTTTGCGTGCCACATTTCCCTCAGAGCAGCTCGTTGAAACATAGGAAAAAAGCACAGTGCAGGTTCAATATCTGGTTTTACTCTTTTGAAACTACGTCTTATATCTCAGGTGAAGTGCTCCAGCCAATGACTGACGTGGACATCCCACAGCAGCTGGTGGAGCGATTGCAGGAGGAGAAGAGAGTGGAGGCCCAGAAGAGGAAGGAACGCCAAGAGGCTCACCTCTACATGCAGGTTCAGGTAGGGAACCAGAAGCTCTTTAAAGCGTCAGATTTCCGCAAAGCTTGGTGCAAATGGTACATGAGGGTAAAGCAGAAAAAATGAAGTTACCTTGTTTCACACATCATTGGCTTTTGAAGCGTAATCTTTAAACGGTTCCACATTAGTAGCAGTTAGAAGAAAGACGTTTAAATGGTTTACTTTCTAAGTAATTTGAGCATAACAATCGGGACTAAATCTTCTTCTCAAATCAAAGAATCTCCCAGTGCTGCAGGCGTGCATTAGCGTCTCTTTAAAGCATAACTACATATTGAGAAGTCCTCTGATAACCCCGTTAGATGGGGCTTTTGGGTTGGCAGAGCTGCAGCTGTTGTTGTGACATCTGTACCGGCGAAAAGTGGTGAGTGGCAGGCTCATAGCCAACAGCGTTATTTATTTATTTTTGTGTGTGTGTGTGTAAAGCAGTGTGGATGTGTTGCACTGATCTATGGCAAAGCTGTAGGAAGTCAGTGTATATCCATACAATAAAGGTCAGAGGTCATTCTCTCTAAAGAGCCGTTAAAGGTAATGTTTTGGCTCAGGAGTACGTCCATTTTACTGAGAGCAAATGTTTGCCTGTTTGATTCTGCATTTCTCTAAAATCTCGTCTTTTTTCATTTCTTTCTTTTTATCCCATGTTCTGGCCCTTTGTCCAGTTTCTAAAGCTTGTTCAACGTGTCTCTTTTGGGCAGATGGTGACCGAGGACCAGTTCTGCGGTCATCAGGGCAACGACATGTATGATGAGGAGAAAGTGAAGTACACAGTCTTCAAGTTCCTGAAGAGCTCCACGCTGCAGGAGTTTGTCCAGAACCTTTCTCAGACCATGGTGAGATTTGGGAGTGTGCGCAAAGCGGGAACCGTTGAGATGCTCAAAAAAGCAACAAATATTACTGCACAGGCAGTTGAATAGATTTATAAAGGAAGGGTCTTACACTCCTGATCTTCCTGCTTCCTTGCTATGTGGAATTGAAGCAGAGGTTTATAGGTGCATTCTTAGATCTTGTGCAAGTTGCTGTCTTTTGGCAGGACTTTTGTCCTGAAAGCCAAACCATCATATCCATGTGCCGCAGGGTTTCCCACAGGACCAGATGAGGCTGTGGCCCATGCAGGCTCGGAGCAATGGAACCAAGCGACCCGCCATGCTCGACTACGAGGCCGATTGCAACAAGTCGGTATGTTTTTCTGTGCCTTTCTTGGTGTGTGGCCTGCATAGGTATTCAGAGTGAAAGTCACATGACAAACTGAGTTAATTCATTCTCTCATCCCCAAAAAACAAATTAAGGTCTAATTGACAAAATTAAATATTATGTGTCAAACAGAAATCATAAATTAAGCGTTGGGATATAAAAGCATTTGGTTTCCCCTAGCCCTGAGCTGTATCATCAGAGGACACTTCACTCAAGTACCTGTGTCCGTTTGTTTCAGATGATCGACTTGAGTGACAACGAGAATCCCTGGACAATATTTCTGGAGACGGTGGATCCGGAGTTGGCCGCCAGCGGAGCCACGTTACCCAAGTTCGATAAAGACCGTGAGTCCTCAGCTCCCCGTGCCCTGTGACAGCGTTTCACACGCCGTCAGAGTCGGCCTGTTCTGGCCTGACGCCGCGGATGTGGGAAATGCTCAGAATTCTGCCTCATTTCACTTTGAGAAGTTTCCTTGGGGTGCAGCTCAAATGACATCTTTGCATTCTGGATCTCACCTCTTTATTTTGTCTTGTTTTTTTGTGTGTGTTTTTTGTTTTTAGATGATGTCATGTTGTTCTTGAAGATGTATGACCCCAAAACCAGAAGCTTAAATTATTGTGGACATATCTACACACCCATTTCCTGCAAAATAAGTAAGTAATGGCCCTGGGAAAGTCGCTGTGTGCTGAAAATGCTTTTCATTAAAAAATATGTTTTTTGTTTTTTTCTCATTTCCCGCTGCAACCAGGAGACCTGCTGCCAGTCATGTGTGAGAGAGCAGGGTTTCAGCAGGAAACTAGCCTTATCCTCTATGAGGTGATGAATTTATGTGGAACGTTTTGCTGGCACATCTCCCCCTTTCTCTTTCTCTCTCTTTAACTTTTCTGGCACTCTCGCCATTCACACCTCTGTGTCTCGCGCTCAGTTTTTTAATAAAATGGTTTCTCCCTAATTGCTCTGCAGGAAGTAAAGCCCAATCTAACCGAGCGAATACAGGACTATGATGTCTCTCTGGACAAGGCCCTGGACGAGCTCATGGATGGGGACATCATTGTCTTCCAGAAGTAAGTTTTCATTGGCATCTGAGACATGGCAAAGACAGGAAATCTTTTGTGTGCTGTGTCCCTGTTTGCATCCCTCACCGGTACAATCTCCTCTGCCTCCTTCGTTTGATGCTTGATCCTCTGTTCCTGAATCGTTGTGCTGTCCTTCCTCCCACCACTTAGGGACGACCCAGAGAACGACAGCAGTGAGCTGCCTACGGCCAAGGACTATTTCCGGGATCTGTACCACCGGGTGGACGTCATTTTCTGTGACAAGACCATCCACAATGACCCCGGCTTTGTGGTCACGCTCTCAAACCGCATGAATTATTTTCAGGTACGAGCGGCCCATGGTGGCATCAGCCAAGCTGCAAAAGCAACAAAAGCTTTCTGAACAAGTTCTGATTTAGTCAGAGAACCATCCAGATGTTTTAGTCTTAAGATCCAACCAGGAAGCGAGTATGTCAGACAGGGTGTCCCCCGTTGCTGGTTGGGGCCCAGCGAAACCTGACGGTTGTTGTGTGTTTGTGTTTGTCAGGTGGCCAAAACGGTGGCTCAGAGGTTGAACACAGATCCAATGCTGCTGCAGTTCTTCAAGTCACAGGGGTAGGAGGCTTGTCTCATCCACATGCACACAAACAAATGCTGATGTTTTTTTTTTATACTGGTAGAAAGTTAGTCTACCTTCATATCCATAAGTCAAAACACATTTGGGGATGTTTGAAGTACATCTGCCCTCTGCAAATATGCACATTTGCCCTCAATTTAAGAACTTGCAGTTGACAGTAGAAATGTTGCGTAACCTGTCCCCCCTCCACCTGTCTTTTTGTTTTCCTCTCACTCCTCCCTCTCCGGCTGCCTCCCTTCTTCCCACTTCTGTACATCTTTCCTTCCCATGTCTCCCACGTCCCCGGTTTTTTCACTTTCCCCGTCACAACTTTTCTCGCACCTTCTGTTCTTTTCCCCCTTCATTGTCCTCCCCCCCTGCCTGGTGGTGTGGTGGCCAGGTACAGGGACGGTCCAGGGAATCCTCTCAGACACAATTATGAGGGAACGCTGCGAGACCTGCTGCAATTCTTCAAGCCTCGGCAGCCCAAGAAACTTTACTACCAGCAGGTAGGGATGTTTTGAAAATTGGAGGGTACAGTTTGTTCAAGACATGTGCTGAAGCTTCAGGCAGATGCTTTAAAACATTTTTATAGCTGTTGCATCCATGTTCTACAGAAAATCATATTTACAGTGCACAAGTCTCGAACACCTACCTGGGAGATGCATTGTGTCATAAAGGTGTCTCCACCTGCCGGACTGTTTGCTCGCAATCAGATGGCCTTTTCTGTAGTGGCTGAGCCAGGCTCAACCAACAAGATTTAAGCTGGATGCAGTAATGCTGCGCCTCAATAGCTTCAGAAGTCAGATCTAGGTTTGACGTCATACCAGAGCCGACAAGTTTTGCAAACTGGCAGAAGGGGGAGTAAATGGTTCATTTCTGCTATTGCTGGCACTTTGTGGTGCATTCAAGGAAACAGACATCTTAGAGCTCACAGCATTCAGCACAGCTGAGAAAAGGACGCAAAGCTTTCTGTGTCCACAGTTTGAACTATGACGTGTACATAATTAAAAATCCATGAGCCAGCTCCACATAACCAGGGCAAAAAATAAGTTGTCGATTGTTAATGGAACTGAAGTCATTGTTCCACTTGGCATCGCTTTAAGATGGAAGGTCATGGGTGAAAAGCACAAGGTCCCTATTATTAGCTCTTCTGACATGTATATATATATATATATTTATTTTTTTTCCTTTGCCCGTTTTCTCTGTCTACAGTTAAAGATGAAGATTACAGACTTTGAGAACAGGAGGAGTTTTAAATCCATTTGGCTCAACAGCCAGTTCAGAGAGGAGGTAAACCACCGCCAACAAATGCTCACACTTAAACCGCACAGCTAGCACAGCGTTTGATCCAAGCAGACACATGAGCCACTGGTGTTTTGTTGCAGGATATCACCCTCTACCCTGACAAACACGGCTGCGTGCGGGACCTTTTGGAAGAATGTAAAAAGTCAGTGGAGCTGTCTGAAAATGGCTCTGAGAAGCTCAGGTAGGCACTGGTCCCGCGTTCTCCAGTGGTTTCAGCACCGGCATGCAGGCTTCAGGCTCACCTTCAGCCAGTTTTTTTTTTACCCTTAATGATATTTTCCAATTAACTTTTTCCTAATTGAGTCAAATCTGTCATTTGATTGGCCATTGAAGCTGTGGGGCCATGCAGTTTTAAATAGATGGCCCTCATGCTTAGAACTCGGATGTGACAGATTCCCTTAATTTCTCCACATGACTCAAATCCTGACATATCTGGCAAGGCCTCATCTCTTTTCTGTAAACCCAATTGTTTCTGACTCCTAATGGGATTGTTGTCTGACTGAAACGGTTTCTCCCAGATAGTTCTTATCCGTGGCATAATGTGATTATTTTTTTTTTTTTTAATGTTCTGAAAATCGGCTTTTGAAGAGCCCCAACATCTGTTGGCGCTCATTAAGCCCTCCTCTCTTTCCTGTCCCTCCCATACGCAGGCTGTTAGAGATAGTAAGCTATAAAATCATCGGGGTTCACCAGGAGGACGAGCTGCTAGAATGTTTATCTCCTGCTGCCAGTCGCACCTTCAGAATAGAGGTGAGTGTCGCCATGACAGTGTGACCTCTTTAAGACCCCCGTCCTGCTGCTGGTGGAGCCCCCGGTCTGCTGCTGTTCAAAATGCGACGGCTGGCTTCTCAAACAGCGAACGCCAGGCCGGCTCTGAACCACACCCCTCCTGTTCCTCTGCGTCTCAGCCAGAACCGACCAGCAGAGGTCCTCGTTCCGCCGTCTTCCAGCCAGCTCACTTTCCCAATTTGTCTCCCTGTTCCAGGAGATTCCTTTGGACCAGGTGGACTTGGACAAGGACAGTGAAATGTTGATCCCTGTCGCCCACTTCCACAAGGAAGTCTTTGGCACCTTTGGGATTCCCTTCTTGCTCAAGATCAGACAGGTGTGTGTGTTTGTGAGTGTGTGTGTATGCAGATGTTCATCCACCTCAGATTAAGCTTTTCATCTAGCTGATTCATGTCTCCGCTGTCATTCCCTCTGCAGGGTGAGTCATTTCGGGAGGTAATGAGGAGGATCCAGACAATGCTGGACATCCAGGAGAAAGAATTTGAGAAGGTAACACATCATTCTGAGTTGTCCTTTTAGGCCGCTGTTATTTGTTTAATCAGTAATATTATGTAATGTGTTATTGGACCTAACCAGAACTGTTTGGTCCACATCTCCAAGGAAAATGTCTTTGGAGGTGTCTTTGAGTGTTTGGGTGGCTTTTAGAGGGTGTGACATTACTGTTATGTAATTATATTTAACGCACCAAAGAGCGAGTCAAAGCCCCCTAGAACCTCTGGTGGGAGAACCGCACAGAACCCTGAAAGATGGAGCCTAGCAGCTAAACAGGAAGTCAATGATTGGGGGGGGGGCAGAATTGTACAGTAACCTCGAGGTCTGTGACAGGAGTTAAATGTTTAGTTTTTCTTTAAACGTTCTGTTCATTGAGGTCCCAGCTGGCACCACCTTTGTGCCTCAGCTGCTGGTGTTGCCCATCAGTCAGTGGCTTAAAGCTGGCCGCCCCCCGGCTGCACAACGTGCTTCTATCATTGAGCATCGTCTCAGCTTCCTGTTCTCACTTTCAAACTCGTGTTTCCTGTCCGGGTTCCACACGAGTCCAGAGCAGAACGGTCAGGAAAAAAGACTTTGATCCTTTTGTTTCAGTGGTGAGCATTTGGTTAAAGGTTATCTTTAAACTCCTTTGAGCCTGGAGCCAAATCTTTTTAATTATGAGGAAGTAACCTCCACATAACTTTTTTTTATTAATATTTTTCAATATATAAATACAATAGCTGTTTATGTTGGTGCACTTGAGTAAGTCAATGGACAGTTGGTGGTTTTGTTTTTTGTTTGAATTATCAGCATTGTTTTTAGTCACAAAAAAATAGGTGTTTTTTCCATCACAGTGTAGAGAAAATGGATCAAATGTCTCGCATACACTCCTGAAAACATTTTACAGTTGGCACAATGCTGTTTGTGGTTCCAGAGCACTGCTCAGCTGAAGTCCAGATGCCCAAAAGTAACCTAAGTACTGACTTAACTGCGTGTCATTGTTTGTTTTCCAGTTCAAGTTTGCAATTGTGATGATGGGCCGGCATCAGTACATCACTGAAGATGAGTACGAGGTCAACCTGAAGGACTTTGAACCACAGCCAGGTATTTCCTGTTTGACGCAGCTCCTGTTATGGAGACCGTTTCTATGCTAGAGACCTCTGAAGCTCATCAGACTACAGCCTGATGCAGGGAAGGAACAGAAGCACACAAATGCCGCCACAGGCTTCTTATTAAATAAAGGTTCTGCTTTACAAAAACAGTCTGCCATTAGGCCTCTTTATGGGTGCACTGCTGTGTGAGGAGTCTCTTTACCCCGATTAAGGCTTTTCCAACACCTTGAAGAGCCGTGATGGATTTGTAGTGTTCACACACTCCTCAGATGATTCCTGTAGCAGCTCACCTGGGAATTCTCAGTGGATTTGAGCTGTGCTGGCGAGGGCTAGGCTAGAAAGGGCCCAGAGTTGCATCAGGTATGCGAACGGCAAAAAACATTCGAAAGTGTAAGTTGCTAATGCTAATGCTACACCTTAACCAGAGCTGACTGAAAAGCGGCTCACAGCTAAGCTGCTGTAAGCTGAGGTCACACTTTCCAGGTTGTTCTAGTTGACGCTCTACCAAAAAAAAAAAAAAAAAAAGCTACAATGTTTCCGAGACGTTAAAAGAATAACTTGCGGTGGCGATGAGAAGAGTTTCAAAGGGGCTGTCGCCGACACACTCAGAGCCTCCCAGAGGAAAGGGCGCGATACCAGGTTAAAGCTAACCACCATGTCTGATTTGATACTGTCTTTTAAAGGTGGTAACATAGCGCCCGGCCCTTATCCCGACACTGCCATGTAGCCCAGTGTGTGAGGGCTGGTCACAGGCCCTCTGAGAGGAGACGGCCGGAGGCAGCCGGCCTGAATCTGGTCCAGCTGTTAGTCACATCTGTCTTCCACTGAGCGCGGCAGAGCTAACCATCTCTCTGGACGTGTGTCCTTCACAGGTAACATGTCCCACCCGCGCCCCTGGCTAGGGTTGGACCACTTCAACAAAGCTCCAAAGAGAGGTCGCTACACCTACCTGGAGAAAGCAATCAAGATCCACAACTAAAAGCAGCCCGCCCTTCCTCCTCCTCCTCCTCCTCCTGTCCTGCTCCGCCTTCCTCCCTACGTTAACAAAACCATAACCACAGACTGTAACCAACCGTGTGTGCATGTGTTTGTGCGCTAGAGGCCGTTTGGGTGTGTGCGTGATCTCGTATGTGTGTGTGTTCATCACTGAGGCCCCGCCTGGACACCTGCAGCTCTGCACCGGCACCATGTCGCAGCAGCTGACGGATTATTCTCCAACCACAAAATGAACTGCACCAACCACCTCCCGACTGTTGATTTTGTTGTATATTAAGTTTTTTCTTTTTTTTTTTTTATCGTCTCCCTCTACGCTTGACGCTACTTTTTTTTGTTGTTTTTTTTGTTTCTTTTATGGCTTCTCTACCTGTTGACTGCCTGCTTTTTGTTGCCTGTCTGGAAATGGGAGACATGAAATTGGTTTTTAAGGTGAAAGGAGTGAAGCGGGAACTGGGACAGAGATATGTATGTTTTTTTTTTTGTTTGCCCCCCTCCCCTCCTCTCCCACTTGACTCGTCAGCCTTTTTTTCCCTTCTGAGTTTTGGGGGTTTGTTTTTAAATAAAGTTGTTTAAAGAGGAATACAGCTGTGTGCAGAGTTTGATGGAGAGGATGTTTGCCAGGACTTGACTGACAGTGTTGCTGAACTTCTTTTTTTTTTTTTTTCTTTTTTTTTTTTTACCCCTTTCTTTCTGCAAAACAGAAGCGGCTGCAAGCTGGCGTTCACTCCGAAGTTCACTAGTCGCTCTACCTGAAGTTGTTTATAGTTCCTGCTCCCACCCTATAGTGCAACAAAAACCAGTATTTGAGTTTACACCAGTTCTCTTCGCATAGTTTGGTTGGAGGATAAAGTAAATTTTTTTGTCTCTTTATGCAGATCTTGTATAATAAAACAAAACAAATAAAAAAAAACATCTGCAAAACGGCATCTGTTTAAAAAAAAATAATAAATGGAGAAAAATGAGATTTGTCTGTATTTCATCTTGAACGTTGGCACTTAATGTCGGAGTTCTCAGGATTGGCAAAATGTGCTTTTTTTCCTGTCTTTTTTTTTTTAGCTTTAAAAAACACGTGCACCAACATTTCCCCCTTAACTCTTATTTTTTCTTCTCTTTTTTTTTTTTTTAATGGAGGGAGGGGTAGACTTTTTTTCTGTCATTCCTCTGAGCGCTAATGCACATTGAAGCTTCGGCCCCTCTTGAGTCTGTCGCCCCCCGGTGGTTGCCCGCGGTAACTGCGTTGTGCTTGTTGGGACTGCAGACTCTCGGACTCCCTGCAGGAGTCTGAGGGTTGTGTAGAACCAAAACCAGCATTGTAACAAACACTTCAAGCCCTTTCAATTTATTTAGCTTTTTTTTTTTTTCCAAGTACAGACGGAATGCACCCCACGTAATGCATAGCTGGCTCTGTAAAGACAACATTTATTAATTGTATATTTAAAAATATGAACGTGTAAAATTTAAGAGACACGCGCCTTTCTTGTTGGGAACAGAAGGAGCCAGGTGTTCATATTTCTTGTGTGTAGGTTTCTTCCCCCCCCCCCTCTTCTTTTTGCGTTCCTGATGTACCATTGACATATTTTTTCTTTTCTGTTACATTTGGATTGTTTTGTTTTTCTTTCTTCTGAAAAACTAACTGCGGTGGTTTGTCTTGTTTTAAAAACTTCAGTACAAAGATGACCTGCGGAATCACAACCTTGATTTGATCTTTTCCAGTTTAAAATCATCAGTGTAGCAGCAGTGTACGACAACTATTCCTGTATATTGCCTTTTTGCTGGAAAATGTATGTTGAATAAAATTTTCTATAAAAATTATTTCACAAGTCGGCTGCTGCTTGTCCATAAGGGCAAAACTTTGGAGTGTTTGGAAATTTACTATCTATTAGAATATTGATGCTGCCCCGAAAGCTGGTGATTGTGGTGATAGAATTCAGTGTAGGCAGAATGTGGAGAACAGGGAAAGTGTGATGGAAGTACAGCCTGTAAGGGCTTCTTAAAGTAGACAAACTAAAAAGAGAAATCTTAAATGTGCCAGTAATAAGAAGCATATGAAGGCATCTGAAATGTTTTCATTCAGGGCTTGTGTTGCATAAATGTACAGGTGGAAAGCCTGGGAGAATGAGGAACGGCGGTAAGTGATTCTTGTTTTAACCCATGTGTTCAGCAGTCTTTCCAGCAGAGTCCCCGTGTTTCACGTTTCCTGCATGTGTGATCCCAACTGTGATGCCTTTGGAATCGTCCTTTACTTTTACATGTGAGTAGAGCTGAATGTTGCAAGTCTCCTGGTCGGTTTGTCTCTATTGATTTATTTAGCAGATTGTTTAACTCTATCCTGCATTTATATTTGGTTGATTTTTTTCCATCTGTGTGTGCATATTTACCCTTTTGCTCTTCCTTAATCTTTTTCTTTGTTGTCGTTGTTGGCTTTGTTTGGTTGGTTTTTAATCTCCGTTTGAAAAAATACTGGTCTTTTTCTAGGATAGCTGCTGTAATCCAGGAGTTTCTTTGGGTAATGGCTGTCCAATCCTTTGGGGGTAAGACTGAGCTCTGACCGTATGAAAGGATGGTCATACATTCTATAGGTTCTGTAATAGTGTCAAGACATGAGAAAAAGGACTTGTTCAGTTCACATTTGATCCAACAGAATGATGCTGGCTGCTGGTTTTTAGTCTCAACAGGGTGGTTGGCAACACGACAAAGAATTACGAGGCCTCGGACATTCATATTATAAAAGACTAGAAAAAGAGTTTCTTCATATTTACATGGCCTTTTTTAAACCAAGGGAATTGTGTGAAACCTAAAGGCCTGCTTCACTTCACCTCAGGCTTTGCTTGTAAAATTCAGCCAATTCCTGCATACACTTTTTCCAATTCAGAGTCTCGTGGAAGCTGGTGCCAACTAAACAAATAAAGTTCAGCTATTTGTCATTTTGGATTTTAGTGCCCTATATTTTCCAGCAACATTCAGTCCACAGTCTCTTCATCGGTGGACTTTTTTCCACACAGTGGGCACAAATGGGTTGAGTCACATGTCCGATTATATCACATAAATATTATCTGAGGTAAAAAACAGAAACACACAGAGTGACTTACTACCTCTTTAATATACTTTTATTAGATAAACTATTCTATTATATGGTTCATTAGAGTAAAGAAGCATAAGTCAGAGCATACTCGGTCCTGTCCAACCTCAGTGTGAAAGTAGACATGCTTTTCCATTCTCACAGCCGAAAGTTGTTTTCAGCAAGGTAAATAAAAAGGGGGGATAAAAGATATAAGTTTATTTGTTTTATATTATCTGATATTGTCAATCTCCTGTGTGCCAACACAGTTTTAAAACCTCATTCTTGTGCAATCTACAGCTCAGGTTGCACTTCGTCCGCTCACGTTAAGACCTAAATGGGAAATATTAGATTAAGTGGCAACATATCAATACTGCACATATAAGCTGTGTGTAAGACATAGAACACGTCTTACAAACGATGCAAAAAGAAGAAAAAACAAATTCCCAACATTCAATTATTGCAATCTTTTTCACTCTGACGTTGATGAGGTGAGCTCTTATTTCCTTATAGCTTAACAGCCCCAAAACTATCAACAGCCAGTTGACAAAGTATTTGATAAAATCTATGTACATGCCTTCATTAAAATAATATTCTGTTAACGAAAAGTTTATGACAGTGTAGCGGTCCCAAACGAAAAGTGCACGGAGATTTTCAGCATGTGATACTTGAGCTCTGTTCAGACAATCACTCCCAGTGTGTTTGCTAATAATGTGATGCTGTGTGGAAGTCATTTGTGTTTGATTTTTCCTTGACTAATGCATTGATTCATCCACAGAAATAAGATGCAAGTCGAGCGTGACCTCGGAGCATCAGAGTGAAACACAGCAGCCTGTATTCCATCGGGTGACCCAAAGGCAAATGTGACAAGTTGTATTTTCTAATTTCTATGGTTCCGTTTCTTCCTCCTGCTCGTCATTGACAGCATTTCTTCTTCTCCACATGCAGCACTCTTTTGCAGTTGGGGCATGTGTGCACCACGTCCTTGAAGGTTTTCACAAAAAAGGGGATCAGGCAGCAGAGTAGGATTAACCTGCAACACAGAGATTGTTTCATAAAGACGTGTATTGCTTTCATTTGTGAGACTTTATTCAAAGGCACTCATCTATATACGTATGCTGTAAGCTGCAACGCACAAAAACAAAGTTGTAAAGTTGTAACGGAGACGTTTTTATCACTAAAAAAGGAGAGAAAAAACAACGGCAGCGGTGGACATCCACAAGAGGATGGGTTTTTAAAAAAACAACCTTTGGGGCAACTTTTTTTTTATTATCACTCTTGATGTGGAACTTCAAAGTAGAGATATATATTCATGTTCATATATTCATGATCCTCTCTTCCCTCCTGTAGCTCCTGTGTCCACTCACCCGCAGCAGATGAAGAGCAGGCACATCAGCCAGGCGAACCTTCCCGCTTCGTAGGAGACCTCGGTCATGACCTGCTTCTGGCAGGTGGGGCAGGTCGCCATGCCGGGAGAACGCCCCAGAGACCTGTCATAGCTCACATACTTCTGCCTGCCTTCTGAATTGTCGGCGGCCGAGCCCAGGCCTCCCGCCGCGCCTGTGAACACTGCAGGAGTCAGAGGAGGGCAAAAAAAGAAGAGAAAAGGTTTGGAAAAACTCACACAAGTGCTTCTGACGTGTGTGTCGTAAAAGCTTAGCCTCAGAAGGTGAAATTACCTATTGGGACCTGAGTCGCTGAGGTCTGCTCTGTGTTGGGAGGATCAAACGGGGTGTGGACGTGGTAAACCCTCACTGCGCCCCCCTGACCGTCAGTCTGAACCTCTGAAGCAAGGGGAAAGATGAAGTGACAGAGTGAGAGAGGAATAACCAAGTGAAATGGCTGACAATAATAATAGTATTTCTGTGAGCGTGTGGGTTTCTAACTGTACCTGGTGTGAGATAGGGAGGGGGGTTATTTGCTCTCTCCGAACTCATAATGCTGCAACGAGAGAAGAGATGTGATTAGTTTCAATGAAATTCTGTTATGTTGTTTGTAGCCTCCAGATGGAGTTTGATTAGACCAAAATGACTCATCCTTCAGTCTTGTTCTTAGATAAATAATTTCCCTCGTGGATTATTAAAGTATTTCTGTTTCTAATTCTGAGATAGCACACACGTATATGGTTCATAGGGAAGGATTACTGGTTCAAAAATACCTGGCACTGTATAGATGTTTTGTGTCAGGTGACAGGAACACTCAGGTGCGTCTGCCGGGGGAAAACTGGCTAAGATAAAAGCTCACAACGCTGGCCGTAAGTAGTGTTGGGTCTCTTTTTGGGTCTTTTTTCAGGCTATGCTTCACATCCAAAATCATGGTGAACATCCAAGTTTTTGACGAAACTTTTCAGAAGTATACTAAGCTCATATTAACCTTTTTTATAGGTAAATCTTTTTTTAAAATAATAAAAGCCTATCATTTTTCTTTTGTCAGCAGCTTCACTGGCACGTCTTATCACATTTCATCTGAAAATATTTCATTTTAGCTCATGTCGCTTTAAGCCTTAAAAGCGACATGAGCCTTTAAGCCTCAAAGCTCTAGGTTTTGAGGGGTTTTTTTTCCTGAAGATTGTCACGATAGCCTCCAGGAACAAAATTCTCAGGTACATTATACAGATATTTACATAAACATACAGAGAAACCCCTGCAAGGGCAAACCAGCTGTTTCAGGCTTTACAGAACTGTGCCTTTTGTGAATGTGAAAAATACCTCAGCCCGCCTTCCAACCCAGCCTCACAATCAAATATGAAACAGTACATGAAATAGTATGAATAGTAAGAAAATGTAACTTAATGTCTCGATGTGACTTTGGCCTCACATTTAAGAGGCAGGCGAGTCTTTTTCACCACTGCTCATTTAAAGCTCCCATCTTAGAATACAGTCACTTTTTTGTTGCGTTTTCCTCATTACAGAAATGCCCCAAACTGTTTGGGGCATTATGGTAATCTTGGAGAAAAATAATACCTAGAATGTAACAACAACAGCCAAACAGAAAAACAACCCACATTTTTTACGTGTAGAGTTTAAAAGTATTTAAAAGTATTTCAGATATATCATACAGATCTCTTATTCATTTGGTTGAGATTAGACCACAATCAGGGAAACAAAAAGCAAATAAATGGTGTCTTCTGGGCTCTTATCAGTATTGGACGTATCATTAATCAGAAGTCAACCAACATTTTAAATGAGCACCACATCACCAAACCAAAATGCTACCAGGTCAAAATGTTTCCTCAGAGCCTTGTAGACATTACTACAGAAGGAAAGGTACAGAAGAACCTTGATAAATGGGAATTTAACTAGAAGAATGCAAGAAAGACGATAGCAAATTGAAGCTAATGATCATCAAACATCAGTAACACCAATCCTGACACTCTGCGTACCAATACACGCCAAATCTTGACAATAAGATACATGAAAGAGTCCCCTGATGGCTTATGTTTTATCTAAGGAACTGAATTACTACTTCATGCTGCTGATTTAAAAAAAGAGAAACATAGCCCAGTTCAAACTCGATAATTCATAAACTGCTAATGAATGAATTTATCTTCATTCGGTTTGTACTAGGCCTGTTAACATGAGTGAGAGCATGCATGTCTTCACATCATGTACTCAGCTTTTGGCGCGGTTGGCAGCCAACTGAAAGGTTCCCTTACAATGAATTAGAACGCTTTCCTTAAAGTCTGTCCCCACTATGTTCATGGTATGGGCCAGAAACGTGGCCCCAGCCCGGCGCTCCTTCCGCCCTTCAGTCATCGCACGCAGCGGGATGCTGCCACACCCCAACACTTGTGATCTGGATTGACAGAAGATCCCTGCTTTGTCATTGTGTCACACGCAGGAGCACAGACAGACTGACAGGGCGGGCGCACACCCATATGCTCGGCAAGGAATGCAACAAAACTGGATGCTTCTATCTGTGTCAGAGACTGAGGGTGTGTCAGCCAAACCTGCCGATGATGAACTCCCTCGACGGAGATAAAACAGCTACCTCTTACAGATTAGACCTGACCCTGCTCAACCTGCCGGCCCATTTACAGACAGGGATGTGTCACCAAAAGCCAGATTGGTACTCCACCCGCAGAAACCGATTTAGAGGCATTTCCAAAAATCTTAATTATGTCACATCCAAGTTTGGAAGGTAATATATTTTACAAATCCATCTTCTGCAAACACACACAATGTATTTTACATCTGGCTGCTCTGTCCTTCACTGGCTCTGTTCCACTGAACAAATAGAGGCACGGAGCAGAAAGGAAGGGTGTGTTGGATTCAGGTTTTTCAAGTAAACCGCTGATCTTAGGATACGTTCCAAGATGCTCCAGAAGCCTGAGAGTTGTTTATTTAAAGCACATGACACTAATGAGGACAAACAAAATGTATGCAGGAAAATTGAGTTCTGGCAGCAGGTAAGGATGCAGTGATTGTTTTAAGGTCCTCTGAAAAAAGTGTCATTCCTTTGCTGAATTAGGATTATCATAACCCTAATTCAGATTTATATAACCCCAAATATGTCCTTAAATTGAACTTGAACATACTTTTTGATCAGTCAAAATTCCAATTATATTACTTTTCTGGTACCATAAATTGAATTATTAGGGCAAACTTTGGAAAAAAACAAATAATAAAACAGATAATGATCAAGTGAATGAAAGGTGTCTGAACAGATACAGGCGGTTTCCCAGATGAAGTGACCAACGCCTTTGAGTTTCTGTCACCAGGTGGGAAATCTGGCTGGTGATGGAGACGGGGACTGGGTGTGTCTTTCAAACAGTTAATCAGCCACATTACATAGATACTTTTGGACTGCGGCGGGGGAAAGTTACACGCTCAAAAAATGTGTCCTCTTGAAACACAACAGCTGATAGCTGCAGCCCAGACTCCCAGGCTTTTTTCTAACGTGTTATCTGAAAATTAAAGGTACGTGTATGTTTCACAACACTTGACAGGCAGGTTTCAGTGATTAACTGATGACCTGTCACTTTTTTCTCTTTGCCTAGACAATGAATGGGCACATTCCTCATGCTAACACTCTGAATCAAACCTAATGTATGTGACATATTTTCATTGTGGTTGGGTTTCTTTAACCTTGCATGGCTGATACATCACTGAATAAAATGCATGTAAAACAAAACAAATTTACGTCCTTGTGTTTTGGGAGAAAAATCAAATTAAAAAGATAAATAGGTAAGCAAATTGTCGTAAGAATAAGCTGAAAAGAAACACGAATGGAGTCAGAAGCAATCAATTATTGCAATATATTTTTAAGCCAAATTCATGGATATAAAGAGAGAAGTAGCCTCCCCATGTCAGCCTCCTTACTGAATCAAATATTCTTTCTCTCAAAAAGCTTTCATCTAAAATCTGACTTTTTTTAAACAAAAACTCTGATCTCGTGCAGTCTTACCTTGTACAGGCGTTGCAGGCAGTAGGCAGAGGTGTGTGTTGAGTTGTGAATCCAAATTGACTGTTGCTGAGACATCCACCTATCTCACCTGTATCTCCTCCAGCCTCACCTCCACCCGCCCATCGCACCGCCCTCACCAAAACAAAGAACAAGCAGCAAGAATGACTCACTCTGTGGTTTTGATGTTAGATTCACAGGCGGTTCTGGTGTTCTTTTTAACTCACTCTTTGTTTGGGAGAGATTATTGAGGGAGTGTGTATGTGACACTGAATCTGTTTTTTTTCCTCCTGTGGCTGAGTAGTCTCGTCATCTAAAATATAGAAATATGACCGTTTATCATAAATAATTCATATATGTACACAAAGCCATTAATCTAATCTTCTCAACTTTGGATGTAAAACATCTATACACCAAAAACAAAAAAAAGAAAAGTTTAAATGTTGAAAACAAAAAGCTAAAATCCGAACACAAATATGTGACTGTACAAAAAATTTGCTGCCTTTTGAGATATTTTGATGACATTGGATCAATTTTAAAAAAGGATGAGGGATAAAATAATTTCAGATCTTTACATTTATGTTGATAGTGTGTTCTGATGGATATTTTCTGTATGTGGTGGACCCAATCTGTGTGAAAATGTGTTTGATTTTGATGCTAAAACCTGTGTTGCACACTTGCGCCTGTAATGTTTGATAAAGATAATTTAGGACTTCCCTGACACGTGCGGGGTCACAACACATTGATAGCTCTTTGGAGAACTTAATGTCAAGATGCTTGTCTGCTTAAGCTGAATGCCCATCATACCACATTTTTACTTTTGCCAGCGAGCTAAGTTTTCTGCTCAAAAGACTATCAGGAAGTGAGGGACAGGCCAGCTCTGCCACATTTTTTCTCCGTTGGTCACTGGATCATTTTGTTCTTGTTTTTGTTCACATAGGCTTGGCTTTTATGTTATGATGAGAAAGACAAAGCTTTCTAACTTACATATTGAAACTCTTGATCTCGAGGATGAAGGTCCATTTCTCAGCTGTAATTGGGTTAATAAAACTACCCAGACATTCACTGACAAAGGGAAAGCTGGCTTTAGCGTCTTCATATCGTCCTCAGCCCTAAACCTACTAACATTTCCACAGATAAATGTAGAAAATAAGTTAAGACTGACTGTGTTTTTTATCTTTTTTTAGTACGAGTTAGTATATATTTTTTTTAATGGATATGATTAAATGCTATTGCATTTGATCTCATTCAGTCTTAGAGTCGTAAAAACAACTTTAGATGTTGCTCTAGATGATCGGATGCAATTTTTATGAATTGCAATTGTAGGAATTGTATGGATGTATGAATTTAATGGGGACACATGGCAGCAGAAGCATGTTTGTTTTTCTCAAGTTTCGGTGATAGTGAGATTAAAACTACAACAATTGAAAAGGCTAAACAAAACAGGAATTTAAAAAATGTTTAGTACTTTTTTTTGCTAACTGAGATGCTATTTTTTTTCTATCATCCTAAATCACTCATCTGAAACATTCACCGTTGCTGGGTGTGTTTGAGAGTCTGGGTGTTGCCTCTGCTCCATGTCAGAAAGGCGAGGCGGCCACTTCTGTGTTTTTCGACGAGGCAGATAAACGGCATTCTTAAAAAAGAAAAAAATCCATTGCATAATTTGGCAATAGCCCTGAGAATGCTGGCTGGTTATCAATGAAATCTCAAAGCGACTATGGTCCATGTCACACTGAGATGGCTTTTGTGTAAATCAAGGGCTGAACATTTTTAAATCAGTCTGAATTTGGAAGTTTTCATCTCAAGATGACAACATGATAACATTTCTTTATATTGATTATAGCTGAAGACGTGTTACTAACCCCATTTTTGCCTTAAAATCAAACAGATCAGATCCGAAAACATCAGTTTGTCTACAGTTTGTGTTCATGACTCCGCCAACCAGACACTGCTTATCTTTTTTTCCCCTGAAATTTAAGTTTTGTTCGAACTGCTAATCCAAGTTAGCTTGTTATGCCTTGTTAAGACAGAAGTGAGTGTCATCTGCATTGAGAGGCTTGTTTCTCAAAGCTGAGTGGCTTTGTCCTGGTCTGAGGCTCCTTTCTGACCACCATTACCCCCGCCCCCTTTGTTTACATGAAGTGTTCATGTCTGTATGTCTGTATTAATGGCACCGATTGTGACAGGAAGATCCAGGTTACTGGAATGAGAGGTCTAAAAATAGTGTGTGACACTGCAGGTATAAATACTGAGCGGATGGAAGTCTCAGCACTTGATGTTTTTCTGTAACTGCTGTTGGCCGTCTCTCTCGGCTCCTGTTTTCATGGGACGTTCTTTCTTTCCATCTGTTTATCTGTGATAGCGTGCTTGTTTATTCTGTAAACATTTTTGAGGAAGAAGTAACATTTTTCTGAAACGACATGGAATTGAAACGACAATGTATTTATTTGAAATGACGCATATTTGCCATATGTTAATACTGTAGGATTGTAGTTGTTTTCACACAAATCAATTAATTGATGGTATAGTCATTGTTATACCCTTATGATAATGGAATAACAGATGTTTTGAGTTACATTTTATATATCAGGTAACAGTAGAAAGAGAAAAAAACAAGCACAGAGTGAAAAGTATCTTGTTACACACTAACCAGTCTTTATAGTATCTCAAAAAGCAACATCTACCGTTTTGTTGTAAAATCCTACGAGTGTTACAGGAAGTAATAAATCCAGAAATGTGGCATGTTTAACCAAATAATAGTTAGACTCTAGCAGATAATTATACAGAAAGCAAAGTCAAAAGAAAACATGACATTACAGTTTAAAGTGGTTCGTCTCAAACAGATTTGCATTGGTCAGTAAGAATTCAAAATGACCTCCCCTTTGGTGCAGTTTGATCATAACTGGAGTTCCTTTGTGGCGTCAGTAAAAATTGCACAATGCTATAAATAATTATGAAGTTTGATTGATCAATATTTGAATTAATTGAAACCTACAACAGAACAGATGCAATATGCTGAGATGTGATCACAGTTTTAGGTGTGGCGGTTGGTTATCATTTTCCAAGGAATAGAAGACATAGCCATTGGTTGCCAAGAAGGCGGTGATAATTCATTCCTACGCCTCAGTGCATCGAGTCTGCATAATGAATATTTTCTGCTGGTGTCACCAGAAAGGCTTAATTCTTTCTTCACACTCTTACATATTTTTCTACTAAAAAGGTAGCAGATAAATGGAAAACCTGCTCCATGCTGACTGAACATTAAGCTTTATAAGTTGATGTAATAGAGGTATTACATTTTTCAGATAAAACCATTATGCACCAACTGTTACTCATTAGAGAAAGTTCTACTTTGGCACATTAAACTTGGTACTAATAATTATGTATCAATACACTGTATGTGAAATTATTAATTTAAAACTAGATAAACCCCCAGGTTTCCTACATTGTTTCTTTGGCTACCACAACTCATCTCGTGTTTTCCGTGCAGTGTTCAACATTTGAACAGATTTTCACTTTTTCCTTAGACAAGCTCTCCCCAAATACAGGTTTTTGAATAATCTTTATTTTCTCATTCCCATCATTTGTCTTGAGTGTTTAGTATCATGTGCACATTTAAACAGCTGGAATTTGGCCATTTACAAAAAGGGCAGGCGATGGGTGATGCTGAGTCAGACCCAAACCAACAACACTGACAAAGCACCGTGGCATGAGATGTTGCCCATTCACTGCAAATCCTCTAAACTAGTTCTATTCAGTCTGGAACATGTTTGTTGACTCAGTGAATAAACCAGAGATGAGTGTATTCAATGCTTTGCATCTATCTGCTGAACTTGTTCTTTGACGCCTTTGTAATGTGCATTTTATGCACGTGTTTAGATATTTTTATGAGTTCTTTATCATAATTTGATCATTTTCATCTGCAAATAAATGTCCAAAAAAAAAGCTGCAGGTCTGCGTTAACACAACTTGGTACTGATTTCTCACAACTGTGTTGTTGGTGTACCATGCCTCACAGCTCTCCTTCTCTTGACCAAATAATATTATTTTATCATAGAACAAAAATAAGTGGAAACATACATACGCAACATTGCTTCCTGAAAATATTGTGTTACCTGATAAACTAGGAATACATTTAAAAAAAATGCTCCCTGTCAGACTTTATCATTTTAGATTTTGAATATTTTGTGAAGGATTTTTTGACAAAGAGCCATTCGACAGAGCAACACAACCTTTTGAAACAATGGGGTTAACCATGCATTACTAGTTTTTGTAAAATAGGTGAGGCAGTTTTTTCAGTTTCTACCATTGATACATTAGTTTCACCTGTGTGTTTCATACTGAGAGGCTTTTGGGTGTACATAACTGTAGCTGTACTGACTGTAACCGCGTTTGAGTTAGACATTATAAGATGTGTGCAGCCATCCAACCAAAACACACTTGGGTTTTCTGTTATCGTTATAGAAAGAATCTTAATTTTAAAAACTGAAAGTATTAAAGTTACTTTTGAGTTTCGGTAGCAAATTAAAATCTTCTAACTGAAGGCTGGAGTAGTTGAATTTGTAATTTTCCTCTAACCCTCATGGAAAAGTGTTTGATTTGTGTACCGTTTTACTTGAAGCCATCTATCAGGAGGCTCACTAAAATGTTAGCATTGGCTGCTCACTAACTTAGAGGTATATTGCCTTTTTTTCATGTTGAATGGTCTACAGGTCTCAGCTTGGCAATACACTGGGATCACTCTGGTTAATTGTGAATGTGCGTCCTGTCCTGAAATAGTTCTCTATTTCCTCCAGCGAGCGGCCACGAGTCTCCGGGATGCACACAGCGTTGAAGAGCAGGCAGAGGACGCACACCACGGTAAAAATCAAGTAGGGTATGTATAGGCCGTAACTGTCCACCAGGTGAGTGAAGGCGTGCGTGAGCCCGAAGGCCGTCAGCCAGCTCACGGTGACGCAGAGACCAGAAGCCTTGCCCCTGGCAACCAGTGGGAGTACCTCTGACATCAGCAGCCATGTGATCGGGCCCCAGCCCATGGCGTATCCTAAGAGACAATGACAGAGTACACAAAAAACTCTCAGGTTTAAAGTGTTTTTTTTTTGTCTTATTGTTTACAATGGGTGGCACTGTAACAACCAGTTCGACTATTTAGGGTGTAATTGTGTGGATGTTGATGAGCAATAGGCATCAGTCAAGTTAGAGATAGCTCACAATACAAGAGCGTGACAGGTTAGCTCAAGACTAATGATTTCTGAAACTTCAACATGATTAAATACAAGAAATGATCTACAACCAGAGGAGTCGACTCCTGCTGGCATTGATAGAGTAAAAGTTTGTAATCTGTGATGGTTTCCTCAAAGGCTTTACTGTTTATTCCTCAAAGTATTGTCAGAAATGCTGATGGAATTGCTTCACAGCTACTGAAGCATTTGTGCTCCAAAGCTGTGTTCCATTTGCCTCAGACGTCAGACTCGAAGCTGGGAATAACACCACACTCAGGCTGACCTTGTTCCAGTTGGAAGTCCAAAAGCCAGTTGGATTTGTTGATTCTACTCGTGATCTCTGGTCCTAATGCTCACTGCACCGGCCACTGGTCTGCCTGCCCAGTCTGCTATCATGTGGACATAATTAACTTTTCCTCTGGAAACTGGCACTGTAACCTTCTGCCTCCAAAATAATAGCCTCTCATTATCAATTCCAATTTGAGGAAACCTTCTGTTTGTGAGTAAAATGTTTCAGCCATCCAACTGAAATACTTGGTTGTGTCACAAGGCTTTGCTCTAGAACCCCTTCTCTTTACTATCTATATACAGCTCCTGGGGCAGATGGTGAGCATGGCTTTGATGCGTATAATCCATCATTACAGGTTGAGTTCATACTTCCAATTTATTATTCCTCTTACTCATTTAGAGGATGCACAAACCATTTGTTATTTTAGAATTTCACAATATGTTAAAAAATCATGCCACTTGCAGGAGTGCAGGTGGATGTTCTCCAAATCTGCTAGATGGCATAAAATGTCAACTCAGACATTTTATGCCATCAGATCCTGAATCTAGTCTTGGATTCTCAGAGGTGGTGTGTCTTTGACTCCACTTACAGCACTTACGTGGATTAAAAAATACAAAAGTCTTTAGTTTTGAGGAGGTATCTTGCTTACCAAATATAAACACAACAGTGCTGATGAGAGGGATGAGGCCCGCGGCGGTTTGCGGGGCGGCCTGAAATGCGGACCCGAGGTCCTCATGTGGGCTGTGGTGCAGAGCTGTGAGGTTTGGGGGAGCGGGGCCCGGCGGGCAAGGCGTGGTGTGTGAAACCATGGTCAGAGTCAGACTGGACAGAAACATCAGCATGCTTGAGGAATACAGCAGGTTTTTGCGTCCTGCTTTGTCCATCAAAACGGCTGCCACGGCAACAGAGAGGAGGCGGACTGCACCCACAATGGCAGCATCGTATCTGACGGATTAAAGACACAGAGGCGTAAGTGTTTGAAGGTGATAGCGCAATGGATTTTGACATTTTGAACGTGTGAGATGCAAGATGCTCCACCTGGGCTCCAGGGTCACTTTGCTCTTGGCAAAGATGGGCTCCAAGTAGACCAGAATTGGCGTGATGCCTGTCATCTGCTGCAGGAAACGCATCACGACGGAAATGACGATTGGCCGAGAGTAGGTGGGTGTGGCCAGCTGGGACCACGTGATGTTAGCCTGTGCCTCGATGCTCTGCTACATTTATCAAGTTGAAACAAACATACACTTTGTAATTCAGATTAAAACACCCTGAAGCCAGTGTTTAGCAAAAGTCTGAGTTAACAACAAATCCTTGTCAGTGTCATGCTTGAAAACAAACGACCCTTTTCTGCTGTTAACCTGTTAAAATAGTTGCTTGAGTTTTACCTTAATGGCACTGAGCTCAACATGTGTGTCGTAGTCACTTCCTCTCAGCCAGCGGAGGACCCTCTCAGCGTGCTGCTCCCGGCCCAGAGAGAGGAGTCTCCTGGGGGAGGAGGGCATGAACGCCAGCAGCACAACCATCAACAGTGGTGGCACAGAGCCCGCCACGGCCAGCCATCGCCATGGCACCACCAGACCTGCACGCCGCGTGTTAACATGTGCAGAGGAGGAAAATCACAAAGTAATGCAACAGCAGAGTCTCTTTTTCAGTATGTCACTTAAGGACTGATCAGTGCAACAACTCAGTATCAAACAGAACTTTTCTGTCTCTGCTTTAAGTATCAGCCCTCGAATAAGAGCAAACTGTGATAAGGTGACATGACTGCCACTTACCAAGGGCATAAAGCGTCAGGGTCCCAAACACAGCTGTGATTTGAGGACAGGAGCCAAGAGCTCCTCTCAACTTTTTGTGGGAGATCTCTGAGATGTACACCTGTGACATAAACACACAGAACACATCCCCAAAGTCACAACATCACTCAAAAAGGGCGTAATGAACGTGCTGTACTAATATACAAAGCATTTAATTTACACCAGTTGCATTGTTCTTATGACTGGTTTCCTCTGAGTCACTGTACTCTAAGTCAATTTTTCATGTCTTAATAATCCTTTTATAATAATCTTTTGCTTGTTTTAAGTAATCCATAATCACTTACTGGAATGGATGCTGCAGTTATCCCTCCAGCCACACCAGTTAGAAAACGTCCCAAATGGAGCATCCACAAGTCCACAGCTCCTCCCATTAGCATGTACCTAAGATGCATATCTTATATTATTACACAGTGAAATCAGTTAGGGCGTGCCTCAACTCAGTCTTAATCCACGCCAATCTTCATTAACTTCTCTCTTTGAATTTGAGAGCAGCATCATAAAGCCAGTGTTTTTGTAATGAAAACTTGTGAGCTTCCTTTGAGCGAGGAACCCAGCCTTGCTGTCTTTGGAGAAAGTTTTTGTTTTAGTAGTCTTTCACATACTGGCAAACCACTTCCTTTTTCCCTTTTGAGATACGCGGCCACATTGGTTTTCTCATTTATGCTCCAACAGATGCTTCCACATTTGTTTTTTAATTGAATTATTTCATGTTCTTCACAACTTTTACAATCTTTCGATGTTTCTATGACAGATTATAAAAGCTTCACGTTTAACCTACGACACATTTATTTTAAGCTATTTTCCAATATTATTTCGGAAAATATTGAAAGTGGTCATTGTTCTAACTGAATATCTATCAAACAATTACAAACTATTCTACAAAGCTGCTTATTATGTTTTTTTCCCGTGACTTTGTCCATTCTCCTCCGCTTATCTGGGGTCGGGTCGCGGGGGCAGCAGCCGGAGCAGGGAAATCCAGACTTCCCTCTCCCCGGCCACTTCGGCCAGCTCCTCCGGGGGGATCCCGAGGCGTTCCCAGGCCAGCCGGGACACATAGTCCCTCCAGCGGGTCCTGGGTCTTCCTCTGGGCCTTCTCCCGGTGGGACGAGCCCGGAACACCTCCCTAGGGAGGCGACCAGGAGGCATCCTGATCAGATGCCCGAGCCACCTCAACTGGCTCCTCTCCACGTGGAGGAGCAGCGGCTCTACTCCGAGCCCCTCCCGGATGGCCGAGCTTCTCACCCTATCTCTAAGGGAGAGCCCAGCCACCCTGCGGAGGAAACTCATTTCGGCCGGTTGTATCCGCGATCTCGTTCTTTCGGTCACTACCCAAAGCTCGTGACCATAGACGAGGGTGGGAACGTAGATCGACCGATAAATTGAGAGCTTCGCCTTTAGGCTCAGCTCTCTCTTCATCACGACAGACCGGTACAGCGCCCGCATTACTGCAGACGCCGCACCGATCCGCCTATCGATCTCACGCTCCCTCCCCCCATTCGCAAACAAGACCCCGAGATACTTGAACTCCTCCACTTGGGGAAGGACGTCCGCTCCGACCCGGAGAAGGCACTCTACCCTTTTCCGGTGAGAGACCATGGTCTCGGACTTGGAGGCACTGATCCTCATCCCAGCCGCTTCGCACTCGGCTGCAAACCGCTCCAGTGAGAGCTGTAGGTCCCGACTTGATGGAGCCAACAGGACCACATCATCTGCAAAAAGCAGAGATGCGACCCTAAGGCCACCAAGACTGACACCCTCAACACCTCGGCTGTGCCTAGAAATCCTGTCCATAAAAGTTATGAACAGGACCGGAGACATAAGGCAACCTTGGCGGAGTCCAACTCCCACCGGAAACGAGTCCGACTTACTACCGGCAATGCGAACCAGACTCTGACTCCGGTCGTACAGGAACCGAACAGCCCGTAACAAGGGGCCAGGTACCCCATACTCCCGGAGCACCCCCCACAGGATACCCCGAGGGACACGGTCGAACGCCTTCTCCAAGTCCACAAAACACATGTGGACTGGTTGAGCGAACTCCCATGCACCCTCTAGGACCCCGCTGAGGGTATAGAGCTGGTCCAGCGTTCCACGGCCAGGACGAAAACCACCCTGCTCCTCCTCGATCGGAGGCTCGACTATCCGACGGACCCTCCTCTCCAGAACCGCTGAATAGACCTTCCCAGGGAGGCTTAAGAGTGTGATCCCCCTATAGTTGGAACACACCCTTCGGTCCCCCTTTTTAAATAGGGGGACCACCACCCCAGTCTGCCAATCCAGCGGGACTGCCCCTGATGTCCACGCGATGTTGCAGAGTCGCGTTAGCCAACGCAGCCCCACAACATCCAAAGCCTTAAGGATGGATGGATGGATGGACTTTGTCCATGTTTTGTACCTAAAAGCCTCAGTATCACCTAACTGCACTTTATGACAGGATTCATGACGGATTCTACAAAAAACTGATGTGTAATTGTCTGACAGCTATTCTGATAGTTATACAGTTGCTGCTCATTCGTCTTGTCATAATTCAAAGCTACCTACATGTAATGAGCACAGTAGTTAAACACAGCAGTGCCACCTTCTGTTTCAGGTGGCTTTTCAGACTGTACATTCTGAACTGTACAAAACAAACAAACCCTGAACTTCAACCCAGCATGACGATCAGAAAACAGAAAAACATTTTGTCCGTGCTGAGACCCACCCGACGGTGGAGGGCACAGCTGACATCATGATGCTTAACTTCCGTCCAGTCAGGTCATTGAGCAGCATGGCCCCCAGCCCGCCGGCCGCTGCGCCCAGGGAATAGATGGACCCGAACCAGGCAGCCTGCTCTGTGTCCATCCGGAGCCGAGGCTCAGCATCAGGACTCTTGAACTTCGACAGGACGGGAGATGAGTAGACCAAGGAATAACCGAAGTTGAAGTTTCCCAGAACTGCCGAGAACACGGCCAGATACAATCTGCCATTTTTAATCTGAGATAAATGGGTGTGGACAGGTTAGGACCCTCAAAACATAAACAAACAACATCTGATATCAGTAAAGGTCTGTACTGATCTGAGAACACATGCATACAATTGATTTAATCTGGTAAACGTTCAAAGAAAGATAGTTGCTAAAAACCTTTAAATTGATCATTATTTCTGCATTAAATGCTTTAAAATTAACTTCACAGTAACAAGTCCATACTAGCATACACAGGAGGTGATCTTTGTTTCCTGTTTCCAGTTTCATTCTCTGCTAAATGGACAGGTGACTTTGAAATGTTTTTTTTACTGAGTTTCTAATACAATCATAAGAAAACAGGTCAAAAACATTAGATAACTCTGACGTAGTGAATGATCACAAGAATATATTTAAATGGAGACCACAGGCATTTGTTTCATTCAGTTATTCATTTTTCATGATTCTTGCTATTCATGAACCCTTTTAGACATTGTTTTCAAGTTTGATCTTACAAGCTGGTCATGTTAACCTGCAGTACTCTTTATGTGAACCATTTAAAACGAGCAAAACTGATGATATAGAATACGTGTAGATTGAATTATCTTTTCATGACATTGAGTTACATACACTATATTGCCAAAAGTATTTGCTCACCCATCCAAATTATCGGAATCAGGTGTTCCAATCACTTCCATTGCCACAGGTGTATAAATTCAAGCACCTAGGCATGCAGACTGTTTTTACAAACATTTGTGAAAGAATGGGTCGCTCTCAGGAGCTCAGTGAATTCCAGCGTGGAACTGTGATAGGATGCCACCTGTGCAACAAATCCAGTCGTGAAATTTCCTCGCTCCTAAATATTCCACAGTCAACTGTCAGCTGTATTATAAGAAAATGGAAGTGTTTGGGAACGACAGCAACTCAGCCACGAAGTGGTAGGCCACGTAAACTGACGGAGCGGGGTCAGCGGATGCTGACGCGCATAGTGCGAAGAGGTCGCCAACTTTCTGCAGAGTCAATCACTACAGACCTCCAAACTTCATGTGGCCTTCAGATTAGCTCAAGAACAGTGCGCAGAGAGCTTCATGGAATGGGTTTCCATGGTCGAGCAGCTGCATCCAAGCCATACATCACCAAGTGCAATGCAAAGCGTCGGATGCGGTGGTGTAAAGCACGCCGCCACTGGACTCTAGAGCAGTGGAGACGCGTTCTCTGGAGTGACGAATCGCGCTTCTCCATCTGGCAATCTGATGGACGGGTCTGGGTTTGGCGGTTGCCAGGAGAACGGTACTTGTCTGACCGCATTGTGCCAAGTGTAAAGTTTGGTGGAGGGGGGATTATGGTGTGGGGTTGTTTTTCAGGAGCTGGGCTTGGCCCCTTAGTTCCAGTGAAAGGAACTCTGAATGCTTCAGCATACCAAGACATTTTGGACAATTCCATGCTCCCAACTTTGTGGGAACAGTTTGGAGCTGGCCCCTTCCTCTTCCAACATGACTGTGCACCAGTGCACAAAGCAAGGTCCATAAAGACATGGATGACAGAGTCTGGTGTGGATGAACTTGACTGGCCTGCAAAGAGTCCTGACCTCAACCCGATAGAACACCTTTGGGATGAATTAGAGCGGAGACTGAGAGCCAGGCCTTCTCGTCCAACATCAGTGTGCGACCTCACAAATGCGCTTCTGGAAGAATGGTCAAAAATTCCCATAAACACACTCCTAAACCTTGTGGACAGCCTTCCCAGAAGAGTTGAAGCTGTTCTAGCTGCAAAGGGTGGACCGACGTCATATTGAACCCTATGGATTAGGAACGGGATGTCACTTAAGCTCATATGTGAGTCAAGGCAGGTGAGCAAATACTTTTGGCAATATAGTGTATGTAACTTACTTGTATATGCTAAGTAAAACCTTAGAAATTTGACATCTGTCCCCTAACTTTCATGACTGTTTCATGACCTTTTCCCACAGACTTTAGATCTAATTACAGTGACCTCCTCATGTGACACAGCTCAGTGTTTCTGAAAAGCGAGGCTGAGGATGAGGAACACTTTCGAATAGTGTCTTAATAACTCTTTAACAGTTTATGCTGAAAGATGGTCAGATCAATGTTTAAATAATCATGACAATTAAAAGAAACGAGAGACCTGGCAGAACAGTTCAAGGTGTTTCTCTTACTTTGAAATTATGACACAATGTTTACAATCAATCAAAAATCACATATGAATGTTATCCATACCTAATGGGTTTTAAAGACGAAGCATAATAACCTGTTACCAACCTTGGATTGATCTGATGTCCTTCTGTTCAGCAGTGGTGTTTCTTCATCCATTTTTGCAGCAGGCACCTGAGCAGTGGTCTGTTAACTAAAGGGAACTTTTCGTAGAGCCGCTTGATTTATTGACTTACTTTTCCAAGATCTATTATTTTGGTTTCCTGTCAGAAGGTTTCTGATGTGCACATACTGAAAATTTAAAAGAAAACAATGTCCAAACTTTTTCTCTTGATGTGATCTCTTGCTCTGACAGCAAATAACTGAGCTTTTAGTATTAAGTCATACGTGCCTTGCCTTTTGTGGACAGCTCACCGCACAGGGGTTTCCATGCAGAAATAAAAATGCATGGCTGTATGAAAAGCTAAAGTGAAACTGAAAGTAAAGAGTGTGCTCAAAATGGATTTTCACAAACATGGCTTTGACTCTGAGAGCAGATTTTTTTTCTAACATGAAGCTTTTTTTATTAGTGAGGTCAGAGAGGAAACAATGATAGGTCACATGTAGTTAGATTCTCAAATGATTCAGTTTCAAACCGAGTTAAGATGGATTGTTCTGGCCAGACGGAATAGTTTAGAGTTGCAACACCATCAAAAGGAAGAAGGGAGGAGTAGGTCGTATGATTCCTGAATTGGGCCATTCAAAGAAAAAGCAGAAGAAGAAGAAAGCCATATCCCTTTATAGTTGAACTGAGGAGGAAGAGGAAAGTACAGATAGCTTTTCCTTCCACCCACACATCAGGAGATTTACCGTAGCATCACACACGCACACACAATGACTATGACATGAGCACCTACTATGTGCAGCAGACTGCTCACTTGATTGTTAGAGAAACCGTTTTGTTCACAGGAAAATACTGAAAGCTTTGAATAAATGAAAACCTAATTTCAAATGTATAATCCAGAAATATGATTAAACAAACAAAATAGAGCAAGGAGAAAAATCGGAAAAATCCTCAAATTGAGTTTTTAAAATGCTTTTGTATGCTATCATTTTGGGTGATAAATAAGGAGAAAGAAAAGATAGATGTCCTGACAAATACATTTATTAGGAAAATTTCATGTCAGCTCTTGTCAGAGCTGTCTTTAGTCATCTTATTAAAGCACAGAAGGTTGCAGATATGAGGGAAACATCTCTGTAGCAATAAATAATTTTCTTTTGAGTATTTTCCCAACATCTAAGTTGTTTAACCAAATAGATGCAAACATTTGTTTTTGTATGAATTTAGCAGACACCTTTATCCAAAGCCACTTACAATGCAAAGATGAGAGGCGTATCTGAGTTAACAGGCAATTATTGTAAAGAAAATTACGGGTATTTTTTTTTTTGCAACTCAGGCATGGTCATTTCCAACTTTTCTTATATTAGGAAAGCTTAATAGTAAGAGTCATTTCCCCACTTTCTTGGGTTGGAAAGAAGAAGCATGTGACTCAGAAACGTTCAGCACATTTCACATGTTGAAGATACTCTGGGGGGAAATATTTTAAACAAAACTATTACTTTGCAGTTTTGGAGGAATTTATGCATCATTTTCACACACCTTTAACATGAATCGTTTTTTATGCAATTCAAAAGTATGCCTTACGAATCAATCATTTCTTATTTAATTGACCTCAGAGAGTGGATTCGGAAAATCAAAAAGAATAAGCGGATGGAAGAATGATTAGGTTTTATGGGGAAGAACCTAAAAAAGAAGTGGCTGAACACTCTGAAACTGAACCCTTTTCCAACATGAAAAAATGTTCACTGTACTACAAGTTTGGAAAGTAGTGCAGTTGGTTTTTAATAAGTGGTTGTTAATAATCATTGAAATTTTGTTGGGAAAAGAAAGGTAAAAGTCACAGGTAACAAGACAGCCAGTTCATTTCAAAGTCATGTCTTGAGATTTCTGTAAAAGGTAAGCATTTTGTTACAAACAGCATACAGACAGTTTAAGACATTGTTCTCATTGAAAAATGCTTTGATGTCTTATGTGAATATCATATCATTATAATATTTGGAGTGTCAGTAGAAAAAAACAAATAAACAAAATGTCATATAACAAAATGTTATAAACCACACGATGTCATTTAAACAAACAAAGTCGCAGGTTCGTTGTACACTCCAAAAAATACTTCAAATCTCAGAATTCAACACGTCGAACATTTTTGGCCCTGCTCGCGTGCCTTACAAAGCGTCACGAGACAGAGTAGTAATCATGGGGAGATGAGAAAGCAGTAGTTGGCCGTAAACAGCTGCAGTTGTTGAAGTTATTTACTCGAGCCTTTTGGAGCGTTGAGCTGGCGGAGGTGGCCATGGCCAACATCACCAAGAAAGTGTCGTGGTCCAGCCGAACCGACGAGTCCGGGGTGGCCAGCGAGGGGACCCCGCTTCTGAACGGCGCCGAGCAGCCCAGGCACTCCAGACAGGTACCGCTAGCACAGGGGCTAAGCTAGCCTGTCAGCTGTTCGCTGTGCAGCCCGAAAGAGATGCCGTGTCACGTTTATTAACCTCTTTTAAGACTACGTAGGGCCTGGTTTTAAAAAGCTGCATGGGTTATGTATGCCTGCAAGGACGTAAACGCCTCCGCCACACACACACAGCCGTAGTGCTTTCTTGTGTAATGGCTTGTTTTTGCAAAAATGCACATGCAGATCATAATAATAATAATAAGCTTTGTTTATGGCATTAACTGGAGGGACGTAAAGAAATGAAGTTAGTTTGTCAATGCACCTGATTCGATTATGCAATAATATGATGCTGATGCTGTGGAGACCTTGTCTTTCACATGGATAGTTTTTTAAAATCTGTTGTTTGAAACAAACTGGAAAGTGCTGATCATTTTTTACATAAAGACTGAGACAGTTCTGTGTAAAACGAGAAGTCATACACGAAGATGTAAGCACCAATCCTGCCATAAGCTATCAAGCCTGTTGATCTTCGTTAAAATAACTCAGCAAATATGTTACTAAACTAAAAACAACTTCCCCTTTTCCCCCCCCTTATTCATCAAGCCACCATATACAGACAGTTTTTCCGGTTCTGGTCACCACAGGTGGAACTAAAACTGCTGCATCTGTTTCGTGTTGGAACTGATTAAACTAGGTTTCTAACTGGCTTTTTGCAGTACACCTGAGTGACGTGAAAACGTCCCACTTAAAGCAAAAACAACCCCCCAAAACTTGATAAGTTATTTCTGAGTCTCACAGCCATCTTTACAGCTTCTCGCTGGTTCACTAAACTATGTCCAAACACCTGTAATTCTCGCTTATATTTAAAACAGCAACTGTGTGAGTCACATTGGTAGAAGTGAGTAAAATATATGATGCAATTCTCAAAATTTAGGGTGGATTAGGATTAGCTGGAGTCCAGTGTATGTTTGACTACAATGATACACACAGCTTTACATATTTCTGTTACTCTTTGTGGTGTCTGTAGCTGTCTGGAGGAGGCTCTATATTTCAGATAGGCAGACTCAGCACAGTGGATTTGGAAGAGGAGATAACGACAGAGGAGGTAAAGTCCAAGCTCCAATTACCATCACGCTCTTTCTGTGTCTGTCACTCTTATTGGTCCAGCCCACGCTTCATTAGAGGGGTTTAATTGAGTCACTTTAGATAAGAATAAAGGAAGTGGTTCATTTGTGCTGTTGTCGTGTTTGATCACTGTGCCCCTGGTCCAAATGGTAGAATTGAGCTGAGATGAAAGGCTATGAGACTTTTCCATTTTGTTTGGAGGTTAAACCTGACACACCAGAAGCTTTTGACTCCTCGGACGTTATTGCACTCATCCCAGCTGCCGCCTTTTTCTGGATGTGGAAGTAGCCTGACACAGACGGCCGAATCGGCCCAGTGGCGGCTGACTCATACGGGGCGCTCGTAAGGCACGTGTCCCGGGAGTTTCCGACGTGAAATGCAGCAAATCAGGAATTAATTCAGGGCATGAGTTCGCTTCTGTGCACGCCACTGACCCCTCAACAGTCCAGTGTTTGAAAAAAAAAAAAAAACTGCTCAAACAGATGCTATTTTGAAGGAAAAAAAGTCATTACTCAGGACATTTCTAACATAAGCACATAAAAATGGAGTAAAGAGGAGGTCACTAGATGCTGAGACGGTCAGAAGGAGTTAAAGAAAGAAAGCAGTTATTCGCCCCAGCACAGAGCCGTCTGACGCCTGGTGGGACGATCACACAAACCATCAGACTGCTCACTTTTTTACTGCCCGATGGCTGTGACTCCACACATGTGACCTGCTTTGGCTTTAAAGTTAGCCTGCTATGCAGTTAGTTTGTCTCTGCCTTCGATACGTTTATTTGTTCGTCTCCTCGTTTCTAATTAGTCACAAATGCCTGCTTTGCCGTGCCAATTGGCCACAGATATGTTGGGGGTGGGGCTGATTAGCATGTTGCTGGCTCCCATTAGTCCACACACAACTCCCATAAACCCGCATTCCCTCCACCGCTTAAAATGCCTTTTATGTAGATTAATAATGTGCCCACAACAATCTCTTCTTTTGCAAATTTCATTATCTTTAAATATTTCTCTTCAAGATGCTGTGGAGGAAATGTAGCCCTCACCCACCCCTCCACCCACCCGGCCTCTCCCTCACACACGCTGAATCTCAACCTGTTTGATTATCAAAGCATGTAGAAATGTTGTCTGGAAATGCCTGAAAGGTTGCTTCACACCCCTCTCATCTTTGTGGAATACTTCAGTGTTTCTTGCTTCCTGTGGAGAGTCTTGCCTCCAGTCATAGGTCAAAGGTCGGTCTCGGTGTGTTGATTTGTGTCTTTCACGCACTTTCCTGCAGGATTCTTTAAGAGGGCGGCTCAAGGAGATCCCTCACAATGAGAAGCTGCTGTCACTAAAATATGAGGTAAAACAAAAGTCAGAGTATTCTTTGAATAAGCAGTTCTTCCAGGAGGGCCTGAGTGCCCTTTGATACTTCAAGGAATCATAGTTGTCACATTTTAAAGGGTTTGGATATTTCCTCGAGTGTCATAATTGCCATTTTAAACATGTTCAACTGATTATTTTTTTCTTTTTAAACTAAACTTGTTATGTGTGTGTGTTTATAGAGCCTTGACTATGATAACATTGAAAACCAGCTGTTTCTTGAAGAGGAAAGGCGGATGAGTTTCATGGTGAGCAGAACAGCCATTGTTTGAACATACTTGACCCAGTATGAATTCACATGTCATTGTTCTTTTATCTCCATCTGTTTATCTGTTATTTTCATCTTCCAATGCCCCCCCGTCTCATTGCTTCAGTCTTTTCGCTGCCTTGAAATCAGTCGCTGGGTGATCTGCGGTCTGATTGGCTTCCTCACCGGCCTCATCGCCTGTTTCATTGACATTGTGGTGGAGCAGCTTGCTGGGATCAAATACCAAGTCATCAAAGAAAGTATCCTGAAGATCTCAAACGGCATTTGAAAGGCTCTCAGTCTCCTCTAGGACTCTGTGACGATGTCTCCACTCCAAAACTGTGCTATGTCTCTAAAAAATCATAAAATATTAAACAGATATGATATTAAGCTCAGTGTTGGAAAAGCCAGAACCATCTATGTTCATCATTTTCAGTGTGCAGGTGCACAGCGTGATGGAGGCCAAGGCTGTTTTAACCTGTGGGCAACTACACTTAAATTGTACTTTCTAAAGCCTGCTTTACACCCAAAGATTTTTTTGATCATATAACATCTGCTTGGTACAGGACAGACACCTTTTGGTTACCTATTGTTTTAAATACAACCTCCTCCAATTATTAAGTTTGACTGATATCAGACTTGGTCTCTCAGTTCAGTTCCTTGATTCATAGTCTTACAGACATTGTGAAGTTCACAGAAGTGGGTGGACTGTCCATCTCCCTCATCCTCTGGGCTGTCCTCAACTCTTCCTTTGTCATGGTGGGAGCCATCATGGTGGCATTCTTCGAGGTACAACCCAAAGCGGAATTTGTGTGGCCCTAGTGGTTGGTTGGCTTTTATTCCTCTTTTTTGTGTCCAATCTCATTCCTCAATTGTAAGAGTCGAATTTAAAGAAGTATTTATTTATCTTTTTCCTCAGTCAGACACCATGTAACAAGTGGAAGGGAGAACTTCCTTTGACAGCGTGTTATCTCTGTGTCTAGCAGAATGTTTGTCTTTCCTTGCCATTTCGGTCAGTCCCGGTTTAACTGGAGAGAACAAAGCAGTAGTTTAGCCTGTTGTAGATTTCACAGCTCCTAAGAGAATTAAAGCCTGGGTGACTTAAATCCATCTGTTTTCTCTCTGTTTTTTCCTCTGTGATGTGTTCAATTTGGTCCCCCCCGCCTCCTGTTCTATGCCATCCAGCCTATCGCCGCAGGAAGTGGTATCCCTCAGATCAAATGTTACCTTAATGGAGTCAAGATTCCAAGGGTGGTACGACTCAAGGTACAGACACAACGCACACTCACAACTACACACAGGTTGTTAAATGTAGCGGAGCCTCCGTTTTTGAACCGGAAGGGTTTTCATGCGGCTGCCTTTTTTTGTGTTTGTCCTCCTCAGACTCTGCTGGTGAAGGTGTGCGGTGTCATCTGCTCAGTGGTCGGAGGCCTCGCTGTGGGGAAGGTAGGCGCCTTTGCAGTCTTTAACCTCGGCAGATTTTACGTTTATCCATCTTCTATTGTTTTGCTTTTTTGGTTGATGTGACGTGCTGTTGTTTGCTCTCCTCCTGATTACCCACAATCCTTCAGGAAGGTCCCATGATTCACTCAGGTGCTGTTGTAGCTGCGGGGGTGTCCCAGGGCAGGAGCACCTCCCTAAAGAGAGACTTTAAGGTCAGTATCAAGTGATTTCCTTTTAGTGTTTGCGATTGTTGATGGTTATTTTATTCACTTAAATTTAAACGGCACAATCTAAACAACAGATGAGTTCCTTAATTCTAATTGAAATTGATAATTGGTCTGGCTGGAGGAGGTCCGATTGATCAGCATTGTGAGTGTTTGAAGGAGCTGCAATGATTTCTAATAAATGTCTCTTTCTCTCTATTTTTTTTCTTTCAAGATTTTTGAATACTTCCGGAGAGACACCGAAAAAAGGGACTTTGTTTCTGCCGGAGCAGCTGCTGGAGTTTCTGCGGCTTTCGGAGCCCCAGTTGGTAAAAACTCAGTATAAAAGGGGCTTTGTTATTAATCAGCTTTAGCTGTGCTGGCAGTTTGGCCAATTTTGTGTCATGGCAGATTTTTGGAAAGAAAAAAAAAAGATTTTCCTTTAATAGGGTGTCAGAAATTATTGAATCTTATTGAGAGAAATGTATAATAACAAGGATTTGGTATGCATTTAATTGCTTGAAACCAAATTTGCCATTTGCACCATTTATCCAGAGGAATACTAGAGCAGGTGTCTATACTTGAAAACTAAATTAAAATAGATCAAGTGAATATGTGGCACAAATTGAAGACAGCTCCTGCAGCTGTTTCCTTTGATGAGTTTGACGTATAAGTCTGCAACCAGTTTAAAATTTTGTCAGACATTAAGTCGACCATTCGACACCGTGGGTATGTTATAAACATTTTCTAAGGGCCAAACAGCTGCAACTTTCATCTCCCAAACAAAGCCAAATAAAATTGATCTAGGGGGTACCAGAACCTTTTTTGTGGTAAACACATTTACTTTGTGACTGATGGAGAACATCACTGTGATTTCCTCTTTATTTTCAGGCGGTGTTTTGTTCTCTCTGGAGGAGGGAGCCTCTTTTTGGAACCAGATGCTGACATGGAGGATTGTAAGTCCTGTGTTCCTGTGTGCGACTTCTATTATAATAAGCGTATAATAGACTCCTTCCATTGAATGATATTCAACCCATAGGGCATGTGTGCAATGTTCTCAGGCTCTGGTCCCGTTTTCTCTCTCCTCTTCAGTTCTTCGCCTCCATGATCTCCACCTTCACTCTGAACTTCTTCCTCAGCATCTACCACAACAAACCGGGAGACCTGTCCAATCCGGGTCTCATAAACTTTGGACGCTTTGAAAGTGAAGTAAGAAGCTTCTAATCTGTCACTTTCTTTCCGTCCCGCATAAAGAAAACTTAATTTGATTGTTTTTTTTTTCCCCCAGAGTATGGAGTACAACCTGTATGAGATTCCCCTGTTCATTGCGATGGGTGCTGTAGGTGAGATGTGTACAACTCTTGAAGTCTTTGCTCCAATATTTGAATGAACTTCTAGAAATACCATATTTGTTTCTCCGTCAGTTTAGAAACTTTAGAGCAACAGTTACTACACACTGATGTTGTACATCAATTAAAAGTCAAATGATTCTGACCCAGCCATTTTACCAGTAGTCCTTTCTTTCAAAGTTGACAAGGAAACTTTTATTTAATCATTTTTATTGCAGTCCAAACCAGGTGAACAAGAGAAATATTCATGAAAAAGTAAAGATTACAAAGCTGTAGTGTGCAGCTGCTTTTACTGGTTTACTTTTACTGGTCACTAGTCCAAAGGGGGAAAAAAAGGGAGCAAGGGTACATGTGTCCACTGCGGGCTCATTTGTGTACTTTCTTCTCTTGCTTTGTAGGTGGACTTTTGGGAGCTCTGTTTAATGTACTTAACTACTGGCTGACCATCTTCAGAATCAGGTAAGCTTCAATAAGAGGTCGAACACCTCAAAGTGTGAATGTTTTTCACTCTGAAGTTTACTGTGTGAATTTATGATGTGGTGAGGTTTTATCAGAAGATCAACATCACATGATCTGAGAGGGTTAAACATTCGAAGCAGGTAAACGGGTAGTGACTGGATTATCTGAGGGTAAACTTCCACTGTGACCCCTTCCTGGCTTGGAGCTGCATACTGTGGAAAGTTGACTCACTGTAAGAACTGATATCATTGCAAAGGTTTTTGTTCAGTATGAAACTGAAGTGCTTAGAACTCTGCAGCATCATCAGCAAAGAGGTAACTTCTATCAAAGAGAGGCACGGTGATCTCAAATGAAGAGGTTGAACTGCTAGAGGGCTGCACAGCAGATGTTCAGTACAGATAGAAATAGCTTGGCATCCAACATGGATTACCATAACCACTTGGCTGCGTACGGTAACAAACATGGGTTTGAAGTCCCCAAATCAAAGTGGGAGATGCCTCGAAAAATAGCTGACACTGCAGGTCAGGAGTTGTGGTCCTGCAGGACCTCCAGATCGGGACTGGTGAGCAGGGGATGGCTAACCAGCCGGACATGGCGGTGGGCAACAGCTGCAAAAGCAGGCCGTCGTTAAAAATGCAGAAATAATGTACGCGATGGCAACATCAAGGACAGGTAACATTAGAAGTTTAAAAATAAATCAATAAAAACAAGGCCTGAAGGAGGAAGTTGGACAGATGTGGGAAGTGAACACATCAGAGAACTCATGCTGGGTGGATCCTGCTGATCCTGGGAACATCATCAAAGGTGTCTGTCCAAGATACTGCGGTTATAACTCAATTCAGCTTGCTAATGAATATATATGTCTTATTAGATTTAAGCCAGGTCCAATATCCTACTTCAGCTGAATTAAAACCTGCTGAAAGAGATGTTGTGATAAAGAATTTATTGGGAACCCCACACACATCCACATTTGAACGTTATGCAATGGGTAACGGCAATGCTAATTTTTTATTACAAAATGTGTGCCTTTGTTGTGATTCTCAGATAAATCATGTAGCAATCATCCTGAAAAATGAGCTGCGTGGGAATAGAGAGAGACTTAATGCTGAGTAGAAACATGCCACCAGAACCTGTCGGGAGCATGTCAAACCCAGTACTGGTAATGGATGAAGAAGTTTGTTGATGTCCTGGATGAATTGAGCACTCACTTATTTATATGAGCAGTCTGGTTTCTAAAAATACCATCTATCTGGCATAGTGAGTAACTGTAAGGAAGTCCGTTTTGGTGCGAGGAAGAAGATTTAACAGACAAACTGTGATTCCCTCCCATTTTTGTTCTTTTTTTATCACAAACTTCATGTTGTGAAAGTCATACTGGCGCATTGTTTGTCATAGTGTCTAATCCTAATGCCCCCCCTCCCGGTTTTGCTTGTTAGGTATGTTCATCGCCCGTGTCTTCAGGTGATGGAGGCCATGTTGGTTGCTGCGGTAACAGCAACTGTGGCTTTCACCATGATCTACTTCTCTGATGACTGTCAGCCTCTGGGGCCGGACCACACTGAGGAGTACCCCCTGCAGGTAGCTGCAGTCTCTCACCTCCCATGTGTGTCACCTTTTGGTCAGCTGTTCAATTTAATTGAAAAAAAAAAAAAGCGTCACTCCGGTGACGACATGATAAAGTTAGAGAGTTACTAGAGGTTTGAATGGACTCTGCGATAAATGTGTGATATAGGAAATGAGAGAGGAAATGCAGACTCTGATCAGACAATTCATGCTCATAACGAATCCTGCTGCTTCCTTTTTTTCCTTTTTGTGTCCCTTTTCCACTTGACCGCACAGTTTCAATGCGTTGCAAAAGGATTTAAATGGGGTTGAACCTACTCTTTCCCGTCATTCCTTTTTAATCATCACGTCACATGGATGACTGGCTGCTCACGGACAACAGTGTGCATTTCAAACATTTCTTTTTTTGACACTCTTGTTCTCCCTGTTTCTTTGTCCAGTTGTTCTGTGCAGATGGGGAGTACAATTCAATGGCAACAGCCTTTTTTAACACTCCCGAGCGAAGTGTGCGAAGCCTCTTCCACAATCAGCCAGGTAACCTGCACCAGAGCAGGCCAGCAACAGGACTAAACGTGCCGCTAGACTGTGTGTGTGTGTTTTTGTGTGTGTGTACACATTTAAGATGGCTGAGCTAATGGTATGAAAAGATATAAGCATCTGGTTTCCTAATTTTTTCAGTTAAAGTGTGTGGAGATTGCATGGATGGATATAAAAGTAACAATAGACATATTTTGTATATTCTTAGCATAAAGGGAGGTATCAAAAATATTCATCCATGAATATTGACAACAAACATGTATCTGGGTGATATTTTGATCACATGATAATGTTTGACTATATTAAGGCAGTTATTATGTAAAGCAGGTTGCTAAGGTGCAGCGGCTCTTAAATACAATCCTTTTCTGTCCTCATGACCTTTTTTCCTGTTTGATTTAAAGGAACCTACAATCCTCTGACGCTGGGTGTGTTCACCCTGACCTACTTCTTTCTGGCGTGTTGGACCTACGGGCTCTCGGTGTCCGCTGGGGTCTTCATCCCGTCTCTTCTGATCGGAGCTGCCTGGGGGAGGCTGTGTGGAATACTGCTGGCCTCTATAACTTCAACCGGCTCGGTCAGTGCTCTGGAAACCCCCTTCTGTTCTTATCCGGAAGTCTTGTGAAGCTAGGACGGTGAATCATTGTGGGTCATTTTAATGGAACTGTAACGAGGCATGGTCTTGTGTGTTTTAACAGACCTGGGCTGACCCTGGAAAATACGCTCTGATCGGAGCTGCCGCTCAGTTAGGTGAGTCACGTCGTCCTTAAAATAAGATCAAGTTCTTATTTTTACCCAGGCATTTAGGGGTTAGGGCTGAAACGCTTAGTCACCAGAGCCTGTCAATGTGCTGCGCTCCAGGTGGGATTGTGCGGATGACCCTCAGTTTGACTGTCATCATGGTGGAGGCAACGGGAAACGTCACCTACGGCCTCCCGATCATGCTCGTCCTCATGACTGCTAAGATAGTGGGAGATTACTTCCAGGAGGTGAGTATAGAATGATGGCTTCCATCCGGGCTCGTGTTGATTCAACAGCCTCAAAGCTGAACAAGCGCTCACAACGGCAACCTTTCACAGCGAGGAACAGTGAAAAGAGGAGGCGGTGCTGGTGGTGTAACGGAGCCTCAGAGGAGATGTGAAATGCAAAACATTAGATCCAGTGATTGCCTGCAGTAATTGTCACTTCTGGCGGGCTCGAATGGGCCAGCTCATCGAGCAGCTGTTCCCGTTCACGTGAAACTGTCAAGTGTGTGTATGTGTGTGTTTATGAGCAGTCTTTCTTTTGTAGGGTTTGTATGACATCCACATCAAGCTGCAGAGCGTTCCCTTCCTGCACTGGGATGCTCCTGCCACCTCCCACTGGCTGACGGCCAGGTAGGCCCGCTGCTGACCGACAGTCATTTTGTCGAAAGACTCTTAAAGGGATTATTTGGAGTACCTTAGTGGAGTCAGTAAACGCCCATCAAAAAAATGAATAAATCAGCGCTGAAGCTAACAGTGGCAGCCTGGGTAACTACTACACCTGTTAATGATTGATGTGATTGCTTCCCCTGCTTAAAACGTCTATTGTTGCCTGTGGCATGTTTTCATTATCAGAAAACATCGGTTTCCACATGCTGCCTTTTGGTGCAGTTTGATTGAACTGTTGGCCATTCTTGCACAGGGAGTGTCCAGATGCTTCACAATTTAAGTTTTGTATTGATGAGCTTATCGGTTAATATGTATAAAATTTATTTCTGACCACTGTAAATCCACCTGCTCAGACCTGGTTAGTTCTCCCTCCTCGGCTGCCTTCTGTCAGGTCCTGTCAGATCTGTTTGGATAACTTACTGCTACCAGTTTTTCCTCAAACCGCTCTTTTTTCTTTCTTTCTCTATTTCCTCTTTGTTCCCCTCACCGCCCGTCTCCCATTGCCCCCATCCTGTCGCCTCCTTCCAAAATCCAGGGAGGTGATGAGTTCTCCAGTCACCTGTCTGAACAGGATCGAAAAGGTGGGAACCATCGTAGACACCTTGAGCAACACATCGACCAATCACAACGGCTTTCCCGTCGTCGTGCGGGTGTCCGATAACGATGAGGTATCGTCTGATCGTTTTCTGCCTGTTTTTGTACTGGAGAGTTCATTTAGGATTCAATTAGAAAAGGAACTTATGTTGACCCTTAACACAAACCTACTGGCTTTGCTCTCTACTAACTGGTCACCCAGCCAGCAAAACTCTGCGGCCTCATCCTCCGCTCTCAGCTCATCGTTCTGCTCAAGCACAAGGTAACGCCGCCGTCACCCGCCGCCGTCCGCCGGCGCTAAAGGCCCTGACCGTTTCCGGTCACTTCCTGTCCTGCTCTGTCCGTGGCAGGTGTTTGTGGAGCTGGCCCAGTCCCGGCTGACTCAACGAAAGCTCCAGCTAAAGGATTTCAGGGACGCCTACCCTCGCTTCCCCCCAATCCAGAGCATCCACGTGTCCCAGGATGAGAGGGAGTGCATGATGGACCTCACCGAGTTCATGAACACAACGCCTTACACCGTCCCCCAGGTAACGGAGCTGGGCGACGTGTTTGTGTTTGGTCTGCCACACGGACGGAGCTGAACTAAAAGCTCTGATTTACAGGAAACATCTCTGCCCCGCGTGTTCAAGCTGTTCAGAGCCCTGGGACTCAGACACCTGGTGGTAGTAGAAGACAACAGGGTAAGAAGATGCCCCCCCCCCTCCCTGTCAGCGGCCTCGTGGCATTTAAGCTGCATTTCTTCTTATTTGCGTGTGTTGTTGTGCAGGTGGTTGGACTGGTGACCAGGAAAGACTTGGCCAGATATCACCAGGGAAGACACGGACTGGAGGAGCTCCAACTGGCTCAGACATAGCACACACACACACACACACACACACACACACGCACACTCGCACACTCATGAACTATGACCACCTGATGCCTCGGAGGCTGCTGAACCCACCAGCAGCGCAGCCATAAAAGACGCCTTCAGAGCCAGAGAGATCTGTTGCTCTGTAGAGAATTAGAATGAAAATTCAAATACCTGCCGCCTGCCCCCGTTAATTAAGAAGGATGCTGAGACGAGTCTGATTTGCACCTCATTCCAGACGTCTATCATTATTTAGCTTTCAGTTTCTCGCGTTCATCCTCTTTTTCACTCGACGGGGGTGTTTCGCCTCCTCCGGTCACACATCTACAGACCAGCTCCATTGACCCACAGGAAATAGAAACTAAACTATAACATACTGACAACGGCCACCTGTAAAGGCTCCACTTTAGGCTGACAGCAGGATTATAGATCAAGCTTTAGCTGGTTAACCCTCTTATCTTCCATGTCAGTTCTCTTCTGTCTCCCCACAGACACCTGAACACTTAATGGTACTTCCGTTATGAAATGGTCTATCTGCTGTAGTGAAGATGAGGGCATACATTAGCATCGTATTCTTTTAATTTTAAACCCGGGGAGAGGAGTGTGTTTGACCTTCTGCTACTGACTCGCATTTAAAAAAGGTTTTCCCAGATAAAAACTTTTCAAATGTTGGCTATCTCTTTGTCTGCCTCTCTCTTGAGATTTTTAATGTGATCCATGTTTGTGTAGTTTTGCACTGAGACAAAAAGCTTTTATTTATTGTTGACTGGTTGTTTTATTTAAGAGGATGCGCTGGGCTGCTGTGTGGTCAGGCTTTGGGTTTTACATCTCACGATTCAGCACACCGCTTTGGAAAGGAGGAAATTGTCTGAGCACGCGTCCAGCTGTTTCCTCCATCTGCCCATCTTTTGAGGACACACACACACATCTTTGTACTGCTGTGCAACACTATGGATTTTCTAGAAGTTATTTCCAAAGTCTGCACTTTTGACCTTTTACAGAAAAAAAGAAAAATCTATGAAGTTTGCAAAAGTGCGCAAAAGTGTCTCCGTTTTGAAGATCAAAGTGAACGTGAACCTTTGAAACAAATATTCAGTTTTTTTGTCACCCGGAACAGAATTTTCAGATGATTTAGTTTGCACATCTAATATTTCTTTGACTGTCAGTGTTACTTTTTGTGCACTTTCTTTTCCTCTGTCCTTACGTGCTCCTCGTTTAGTTGTACTGGGTGTACAAATGAGTACACACCTCTCTTTTAGAATCATGGGACATGCATTTTGTGAAATATTAAAGTTGAAATCTATCTTCTGTTGGATTCTTCTGTGTGATCGATTACTCTTTTAACAATCTTCAAAATGTTCCTTCTGATTTTACTCTTAACTCAGGAAATAGAATTTTATCAGTGAAATTAGTTTTCAAAGGAGTTTTTATGCCATTTAAAATCCATTCCACAGAATTCTTTGTAGTTTTTACTAAATGTTTCTTATGGAAGCTTATTAAACTGTAGAGTAGATTGTGCTCTCAAATCAAATTTTAACACTTGTGTCTTTTAATCTATAATGATGTTGGTTATGCTACTTGAAATCCACTTTTCATTTCTGCTTAGTGGTCTGATGGTTTGATACATTGACACTGAAGTTGAAAGTAGAAATACCACTTAGAGCGGAGAAATAAATCAACAATTTTTCTGTTATGGACATTCAGTTTAGGCTGCAGCTCATTATTGGTGCCTTTCTTCCTTGACACTGTTAAACCAACAGATGATTAATCCTGCCACCTAGTGGTAGAGATACACATCTACAATTTTTCTGTTGTATTAATCTCAGTGGGCAGTGTTTGTAAAAAATGCACAAGTACAATTTACTGGCACGGTCATTCCTTTGTCCCTGTGTGTATATAAATGGAGAGGTATCGCATGTGCTGGTCTCTGCTGGAACTCGGCTGCTTCTGGTCCTTTTTTTCTTTGTTGGAATGACTTCTGTGCAGGATGAAGGACCTCCCCCTGATAGGTTCATGTCCATGGTTTTGGATCAGAGATTATGTTTGGGGTCAGAAGGGATAAACGGTCCCACACTGTTTGTTGTAAGAAAACCAGCTCGGCAATGCTTATACGTGCTCAGAGATGGCTCATATTCTGATTGAGCGTGTGAGATTAAAAGCAGTTACATGCGCCCACAGTTTACCGGACTAACCAAATCCAGGCAATATCAGTTTGTGAATTCAGTCAGAGGTTGACCACAGGGATTATGATTGTGTTTGCTCTTTTCTTTTGCATTTAATTTGACCGTCAAGACATAGCTAAAGTGATGGCTCAGACTTTTAATGTAGGAAAGCCCAGGGCTGTTGTCTGTCTGTGATCTGAGCTAAAAGATTTTTCACCATGCCATGAAGATGAAGTAAATTTGCGTCTGATGCCCTCTGAGTGCCTGAAAGGTTCCTCCTGTTCGAGGAGAGATGGGAATAAGAACATCACATGATGGGCCCTGACTGTAAGGCTCTCTTTATGACCCAATCATTGTCTTCCATGTTCCCATGGACATTTCATTTATACAACAGCCCCCCCTCTGCAGCCTATTACAGAGTCCGATTGATGTTTTCATAAAGCAGCGTGACTATGATCACTTTCAATGATCGTTTGGGACGCAGCTGCCACTGATAAACAGGGCAGCAACATTAAATGTTAGTTACGTTTAGTAAGCAGGAAGTCATCAGCATGGAGGGGAATAGCTAGCTTAGAGTTGATTTTGATCGAATACCGTTATTATATGTGTTTAATCCATTCCATGAGAATCACTGCAGCCAGAATCTCTGGTGTGTTAGAAACTTGTGTGTGTGAGAACAACCCGCTAAACTTCTGTTACCATGCTGTAGCCTAGAGTTTATACTGTTAACAGGAATTTTAAAGTCCCTCATTTATAAAATGATCCCATTCCACTTTGTAGGATTAGTAAAATTACTGTTAGTTTTAAGAAAACTTAGTAAGCTAATACAGTTTTTTTAAGGAATGGCATTGAGAACAGATCATCATTACATCCCAGTTTAACAGCTTTTGTTTTGGTCGTTAACTGAGCCGAAACCAACCCTCATAAATCCTCGTAAACCGATTTTCAGAAAAATTAGATTTCTTTTTTTTGCAATTCATACTGTAACTCACACAGCCTTCTATATGTGTCATTTATGACATTAAATATCACAGACCCTATGTGAAAAGGTGGGTGTCCTTTCATCGGGTTTGGAGAAGCAAGTCCTTTTTGCAATCTCTCTGATTGCTCTTGGAGGGATTTGGAAATTAAAAAAAAAGAGATGAATAGAAATAGAGTTGGGGAAAAAAGCAAGCAGAGGAAAATCAATGCATGACTGAAGCGTGCAGCTGACAGGGCGTGGTCACCCACAGGAGATAAAGATGAAGACAAAGAGGTGGAAGTTGATAAAGAAGACAGGAGCGCAGGGACAGTCGGTACGACACGGTGATGAATAAGTGGAGGAAGAGAGTGGACACCCCAGGACATTTAAAAAAATATATTTTGTTTTCCAAAGTGTGGACGAATCGGAGGCATGCAGAAAAGACACTGCTGAGTTTGAGGAGTGAGGAGGGATGAGACACAGAGAAGGGAAGGAGATGCAAGGAAGAGCAAGAGCGATCCAGGGAGGGGAGGAGAGGAGAGGAGAGGCAGAGCAGGAGCGAGGGGAGGGTAAAGGATGAGCTCATTGCAGTCACTGGGCTGATGGGGGGGGGGGGGGGGGGGGGGGGGGGGGGGGGGTGCAGGAGGGGAGGGGTCTGCTGCTTGTCTGCGAATCGATAGCCAGCGTCTGAGTGCTGAACACACACACACACACGCACACACACATACACACACAACTGCAGACAGCTCTGCCGGCTACACAGGCATCTGCTTTACCTCTGTTAAGCTTCACGCTAAAAGACGAAATGGCAGCGTTTCAGCTTTCAGACGTCCAGGAATCTTTTCTTTCTTCAAGTTTTTAATCTTTCTTTTTGTTTCTGTTTTTTTTTTTTTTGCAACTGAACTCCTGCCTGTGAAGACAGGAGGAAGTAGTGCAGAAAACCAGCTGATTCGCATGTCTGCTGCTTCTCCCACACCCTCCCTCCCTCCCTCCCTCCCTCCCTCCATCCTCCCTCTCTCTAGCTCACACATCATGTCCACACCCACACCCAAGGATACCCTTCTTGCCTCTCTGCTGCCTATTTTCCTCACTCCAGTTTTCTCCCACTCATTTTTTATTCTTCCTCTCTTCAAGCCCTACAATTAAATAGACATTGTATATTTATTCGTCTATTTTTTTCATTTCCATTTGGGAAAGAGATGTTCGCCTGACCCTACATCTCTCCAGTCAAAGACTTTTGTGGATGCTCTTCCCTTCAGTCCACCCTTGTTGCACTAGTTTGCTGCTACCTGTGGAGGTCCTTTGATTCTCCGGTTCTTCCTCAGCCAGCCGCCTCACAGCCCCGCGGAGAGGAGCCATGCTGGGAGTGGACGTGTGTGAGTTTGGGGGTCAGGTGCTGGAGCTGCTGTGGCTAACCATGTGCTACAGAGGTGAGGCGATCAAGGAGAGTGTGTGTGTGTGTGTCTGTGTGTGTGTTAGTGTGTATGCATTCACAATAACTTTAGCTGTTCAAGTTATTTCCCTGATGAATGAACAATCTCTGTGCCATTTGGTTTAGATATTGAAATATATGTTTCAAATGAGTGTGAGTGTCAGAGGGGACTTTCCTTTGGGCGTTTTAGTGTATTTTAAATCTCTCACTTGGCGGGTGTGGACTGTTTGATGTGTGTCATGACGAATTAAAGGCGATCAAAAACTATTGATCACACCTTTGTGTGTCTCTGTGGCAATCTGAATGTGGGTTGCCGTTGGTTTGATTCGATTCCACTTCCTGCTTATTCAAAAGTGTGCCTGCTTGAAAAGGTGATGTCACCAACATCTGCAAACACAGTTTTTTGCTTTTGATTATGTAACTCTGTAACAATATGTGCATGACAAGCCGGGCGTGTGTGTGTGTAGGTGTGTGTGCGTGTGTGTGTGTGTGTGTGCGTGTGTGTGTGCGTGTGTGTGTGCGTGTGTGTGTACTGCAGTGCTGTTGAAGAGTGACAGGTGGTGAAACGGTGCTGGGGGTTCCCTGCACAAAGATGTGTATCAAAGAGTGGGATTTTTGCCCAATTAGGATAAAAAAGGAGGAAAAAAGAGGGAAGGGAGGCATATGAAACAAGCATGAGGTAATCTGAAGAGAGGCGC